CAGTGTGAGTAGTCGGTGCTTGTTTGAGTGTTGATACTTCGCGTGTTGATTGGCCAAGCGGTTGTGAGTTAGCTCCTGTTGGTCGTCCTGCGTTCGAGGTAGTGGTAGGCTGACTCCCATTTTGTGGTGCCTCAAGTCCCATATGTCCTTGTTTCATACACACGATAAAATGATGGCGGTTTTTGCATATACGGCACCTCTTCATGCTTTGGCATTGATTGAGAGTATGGTCGTTCCTGAGGCAATTGAGACATCTATGTTGTTCCAGTAAACGCGATTGACGTTTCTGCGGTGTATTCCATGTTGTACATTGACTTGGTAAGTGTTCGGACCCTGTACTGCATAGAGAACATCCTTTATCAATAGCCATGGATGGTGGTCGTGGAAGTCGTTCATAACGGTTGCTAGCTGGTTGGACCGCGATAAAAGAACGTGAAACTTGTGCTGGACGGTGTTGAGGTTGTCTGTCTTGAGGTTGACTTCGTTGGCGTTGGTCGTCTTCCCGAGGCCTTCGTTCAGGCACAGCCGGTCGCAAGGTCGTGATGGTTCTCTCCAAACGCTCTTTTCGTTGAACAATGCGTCCCAGTCCGGCGCGAAGGTGAGCCAAAGTCCATTCCTCATCGTCCTGCTCCCAACCAATCAAAATCTCCAAGGCTTCGCGTGGCAGCTTAGATCTGATTATTCCACACACGATTTCGTCCTGGGTTGCATTAGATCCCTCTGGTGATTCCAGCTGGAGACAAATTCTTTCCACATGTTCCCGGAGGTTACGCATTGAAAAAAGTGAGTTGTTAGCCACTTGGAGTTGTAAAAGCTCGGCAATCAGTCCTTCTCGCAAGGCTTTTCCATCGCCAAATTGACGCCGAAGTATGCTGACCACCATCGGGTAGTTCTCATCCGACGGCGGATAACCATCAATTGCACGTCGCGCAGCAGAACCAGGTACCAGACTTTGCAATAAACATAGGTGCTTCTCAAAAGGTGGAAGAGGTTGACTGTTGACAGCACGGTCGAATGCCAGCCAAAATGCAGTCCATTCCTTGGGATCGCCAGCAAACTTCATCGGTTCAAGACGAAAAGGCCTAAAGGTTGAGTAAATCGGTGCACCGTTGTACGTTCCCTGCTGTTGGTACGGTGAAAATCCGGCTTGACTTGCGGAGTTGGTGTGATGGGCACTCGTTCCATTACCAGTTGCTTGCTGTTCGTTAATCCGTGCTTGAGTTTGGCGTCGTAAAAATCCATCAGGGTGTTCAGGCGAGTAGTTTTGTTGACCATTATCTTGTGTGTGATGAGCCTGGCGACGTGCGTTATCATTTTGCTCTTTACCAACGGTGACGGACTTCTCAGTTCTTCGTGAGGAGACTGAACCACGATTGCCGACTCTGCGTTGCTGGAGGCAAACATTAACCAAGTCCACTAATTCATAGGAACGCTCAATCTGCGCCAACGCAGTAGGTTCATCATCCTCCCTGACTTCGCCTCTAGGCGGCGGAAAGGCTTGAAGGATGTCCATCTCGTCCTGTTGTTCCGTTGGCATGAGTCGCGCAATGAAGTCTGACCATTTGTCCACCAGTGCCTGTGCACGACCAGCAGCTTCTCTAAGTTGAACAGCATCTGCCTCCAAACGGTCATCTTCATCCACAGTGGTGTCAGTGGCATTCAACGCGGTTAACACGGCACGCCCTTTTACTTTGAGTGTTGATAAGACGGTTGCTAACTGGAGACGAATCACCGCTGACATGGTTAATTGGTGTAGCTCACTCAAAACAGGTAATTGTAGTCGTAGTTGTCCGACTTAACAAAAGGGGAACGGGTAGTTGATTGTTAAAGCCTATCGCACTAGCTGAAGGAGAGAAATAGCTATAACCCAGTTGCTTTACTGTTGTTGTGGTAGTTGGTGTTGTAGTTGACCACGACGGCGTCCCGGGTCGTGGCACCAGTTTGTCGGGAGACGGGCTTCCCGACAAATTGGATTTTTAGGATCGTGGCACCAGACTGTGTTGGTTGTGCCAACACAGTCAAATAACAGAAGGAGAACAGTAAGTGAACCTCGAGGCGGTTCACTTTTCCACTCAAACAAAATACAACGACAAGTCAACAATAAATTTACTTCTTCCACAAAAAATAATAGCCAAAAAAACAGAGCAGTAAAATAAATCGAGCACTAATTAAACAAAGGTAGAAGCCGCGGATCAGCCAACCAAAAGATGAGAGTTGAAATTGAAAACTGGAAGCGGTTGAAAGTAAAAACTGGAGGTGAATGGTAATTTTTGGGGGGGCTGATCCTCGGCTTAAATAGAGATTAAAAGAGGGCGGGTCTTGGCAAAAAACTCAAAAAATGCGAACTTGAAAAATAATGCTTAATAGATTATAGAAAACCAAATGTGTAGAGAGAACGGGGCAGAGAAGACAATCGGAAAAAACAATAGGAAAAATTTAAGTTGTGACAGGCGCAAACTGTCACTAAAAAATAGAGAGAAAAAATTTTGGCGGGAAAAAGGTTTAAAAAGATTGAGTGGACAATGAAAAAAATAAAGGGTGAACGGCTAAAAAATTAACGAGGAGTGAACGGGGGACAATTTAAAAAAGAGACAATTCAATGAAAAGTCGCCAAAATTGGCGACAGTCACTAAAATTTCCGAAATTAAACAAACTAAGGATTTGGAAAATAAAAAGGCTAAAAAAGAAGACTCGAATTTAAATAAAAATATTAGGGAGGATATTTCCCCCAAAGTTTCTTCATCTGAAATTTCTTCCCCAAAAAGTTCTCACGATGAAGTTAGTGAGGTTTCGTTTTCTGATGAAAATATGGATAAAATTAAAGGTAAAAAATGAGCAGGCCAACATGCCGCAGAGCTATAACTTCGTGTAGAATTGTCGAATCCGGGATGCCCTGGTACAGTTCGATTCAGCACGTCGAGGCGCATCGAATCATACCAGGGCGTCCCGGATTCTACAAATTTAGACAAAGTTATAGCTCTGCAGTATGATGGAATCGCGGTACGTTTGGGTGTACCCGGTAAAAAAATATTTTTTTAATTACTAAAATAATTTAAAGAAATGTGTAATTTCTCCAACCAAAATCAAGAGGATACTGAGTCTATAATAATGACAGAGGAACATTGTTTGGAAGAATTGTATATTTATTATTTTAGAGAAGAAAATAAAAATATTAAAGAAAATATAAAATTAATATTAGACATTGTTTTGTTCAAAAAATTAATTTGGGAAAAATTGGCAGCTTCGCAAATAATTATTTTGACTGACAAAGTAAATGAAGACAAAAAGAAAATGATAATGGAAGTGAAAGAGGAGTGGATAAAATTCGAGAGGGAAAAATTAAATAATTTTTTTCCGGAAAATTTTAAGGAAAGGGAAAGAAGGTTGGGGTTGATAGCAAATAAATTATATGAGATTTTTAATTCTTTGGAAAAATTAGCATTCTTTGTCCCTAAAGAAGGGGGAAAATTTTTGGAAAAATTTATGAAAAAATTGTTGGTTTTTTATTTTTATTTAAAAAATATTTTTAAAGTAAAATAAAAAAAATTTTTAATTTAAAAAATATTTAGGCAAAAAGAAAATTTTAAAGAAAATGTTAACACTAAAGGAATAGATACAATTAGAAAGATTAGTGTACAGCTTCATTTCCACACATTTTGTTTAATTATTGCAAGGAAAATAGAAATGTCTGAGGATTATATTAAAATTCCTAAAGAAAGTTTTACTCCATTTTCTGAATTTGTAACAAAAAATGGAATTGTTGAATTTAATTTTTTTGAAAAATTGAGAAATATTTTTGAGGTTGAAAATGCTCAACCTATTTTTATGAAAAATGAAATGATTTTAAAATTTATACAAAAGTTTATAATTAAAGTTAAATCATTTAAATTAATTTTGGAACAGCAAAGTTTAGGTAATAATAACCATTTATATTTAATATTTGTAAAAGTACAATTTTCCGGAAGTTGATATTACAAATTGTAATTTACAATTTAAAAGAGACATTTACAAAAATATAGGGATTTGAATTTGTAAACCAGACGGAATTGAATTGAGAAATTAAATATTTCCGGAAATAATTTATTAAATTCCGGAAAGGTTTTTACAATTTGTAAAATATTTAGTTAAATTCCGGAAAAGTTTTTACAATTTGTAAAATATTTTATTAACTTCCGGAAAAGTTTTTATAATTTCCGGAAATGTTTTATTAAATTCCGGAAAAGATTTTACAATTTCCGGAAATATTTTATTAAATTCCGGAAAGGTTTTTACAATTTGTAAAACATTTTATTAACTTCCGGAAAAGTTTTTACAATTTCCGGAAATATTTTATTAAATTTCGGAAAAGTCTTTACAATTTGTAAAATGTTTTATTAAATTCCGGAAAGGTTTTTACAATTTGTAAAATGTTTTATTAACTTCCGGAAAGGTTTTTACAATTTGTAAAATGTTTTATTAACTTCCGGAAAGGTTTTTACAATTTGTAAAATGTTTTATTAAATTCCGGAAAGGTTTTTACAATTTGTAAAATGTTTTATTAAATTCCGGAAAGGTTTTTATAATTTGTAAATAATTTTTAAAATTTGATGTTAAACTACATATCAAAATTTATGTAAATTATTTTAAGATGAGGATTTATTTAAACAAATAGGAGAACTAAAAGAAAAAGATAACGAATTTAGTAAAAGAGAGGATTTGTATTTCAAAGATTTTTTCTCCAAAAAATTTTATGAGAAAAGTCAAGAAATTTATCAAATCAGGAATTTAAATGAAAATAGTGTATGTAAATTAAAACTATACTATAAATAATAATTAATTATTTATATTTAGTTGAAAAGTTATTTGAAGGAAATTTATAAGGAAGATAAAGAGAAGAAAGAAAATAAACAAAAATTAACTAAGTGGCTGAAGGAGGAAGTTGAAGATTGGTTGAGAAATTTATGCAAGGGAAAAGGGATTGAATATGGAGGTGACTTTAAATGTTAAAAATAAATTTTAAATTTATATAAAATTAAAGGGTTTTCAATGATTTTGGGTGGATCTGAATTACTCGAAACAGCAGCAGCCAATTCGGATTTGGACATAATTTTTCTTATACATCAAATTTATGAAAAGGATAAGGAAAGCTTTAAAGAATGTAAAATGTGCTTGATTAAACGGGATTCTTCAAGACCTTGTATTGAAGAACATGATTTGATTTTTGGGAACAGCAAACTTTCTTTGTACTCTCATTTGAAAAAAGCAATTGTAAATGGAAAAACAATTGAGAGATTAAAATTAAAAGTGAGTTTTAAAATAATAATTTAACAAATTGTAAAATAGGCGGGATTTGTAAGATTTTCCGGAAAATGTTTAATCAAATTCCGGAAAGTTGTACAATTTGTAAATATCTCGATTAAGTATTCTAGAAAAAGTAAGACATCAAAATAATTACAACTTATAAAAAAAAATTTAATAAAAAGGAGAACGAGGCAAATATCAACCTAGTTGAAAATTCGCGAGTTCCTCTTTTAGCAATAGAAATACAAAGTGTAGAAATGGATGTTATGATTGCCAATATCCCTGATTCAAAAATTGATGATAGTCTAGAGTTAACAAAGCACGATGACATTGAAAATATTAAAGGAAATTTAAATTTTATTGATGGAAAGATTAATTCAATGATTAAATTGAAAGATCCTTTGTATATACAAAGTATTTTGATTTTATCAGGTAAGATTCTAGATTGTAAAGGAGACGGAATTAATAATAAACAGAGGTTTTCCGGAATTATATTTTTAAATAATATACCGTATTATCTCTAATAGAATGGCCGGCCATTCTATTTTTCAATCATCAGCCAGGGGGCCATTCTATTAGAGGCGGCCATTTAAATGGAGACGGCCATTCTATTAGAGGTAATACGGTAATTGTTTTTTTAAATTGTAATTCGGAATTATTTTACAATTTGTAAAAATAAATTTTTACCGAAATTTTTTCCGGAATTTAATTGTAAAACGAGTAAAATTACATAATCAGATTTTCCGGAATTTTTATATATTTTTATTTTTTAAGGTTATAGAATTGCTTATCGCACAAAATTTTTTATGTTAGATAAAAACAAATGGGAAATATTTTCCGATTTGATGCGTGCCGTTAAACACTGGGCAAAACGTTAGCTTTTTTATTTTTAAATAAGGTCAAATATTTGTTGACTTAATCATTGAATTAATTACATATGTATTTCCTAATCACTAAAACTTTAGAAAAAGGACTCTATTCAAATGTATTTGGATATTTGAGCGGAACAGCTTTGATATTAATGACTGCTAAAATTTGTTTAATTTATCAAAGTGCAAGTTTAACATTTCTTGTGCAACGTTTCTTTCAAATTTATAGTTTATGGTAGGTTCTAGTCTATTTGAAAAGACCATCTCTCTTCCGGATCTTTTTACAATTTGTAAAAATTAATTTCTCTCTTCCGGAATTACTTTTACAATTTGTAAAAATTAATTTTTCTCTTCCGGAATTTTTTTACAATTTGTAAAAATTAATTTTTCCCTTCCGGAATTATTATTACAATTTGTAAAAAGCATTTTCTCTCTTCCGGAATTACTTTTACAATTTGTAAAAATTTGTTTTTCTCTTCCGGAATTATTTTACAATTTGTAAAAATTAATTTTTATATTTTCCGGAATTTTCTGCATTTTGTAAATAATCTATGAAAATCTACACTACTTGTTTATATTTTAAAAATATTATTTCAGGGAATGGCCCGTGCCTATTATACTTGAACAACTAACAATGTCAAGTGATTTACCACAATTATCCAACAATGATTTTATAAAGTCTTGGAATTTATTAAATTTAAGAAATGATTATATGCCTATAATTTCCCCAATATTCCCAGAGCAGAATACTGCATTTAACACAAATGAATTTACAAGGGATATAATTGTTAAGGAAATGAAGAAAGGTAAATACAAGAAAATTTAAAGTTATCACTTTAATTTCATTTAAATTCCAGCATATGCCCAACTTGATCGTTCGACTTCATTGCTAACAGAAAAATTTTATAAAGACATATTATTTAAAAAGCTTGAATATAAAAAACAATACGAACATTTTCTAGTACTTGTTTGCAGTGAAAAAATTAAAATTGAGGATATCAATGAAAATAAATCCTGTGAATTTGTAAAAACAAAAGTTCGGGGTTTGCTGGTTAAATGGGCAAAGAAAGCTACGTTAAGATTTAAAATTGAGGAGAATATTACAGAAAATGTAGAAGAAGAAAATTATAAGATTTACAAATTAAGTGATTATTTGGAGGAATATCATGTTTTGACAAATTTAGAATGGAAATGTAATGATGGAGAGTAAGTTTTACAATTTGCTATTTTTACAATTTGTAAAACCCTTGTTTTCCGGAAAACACTAAATTTTAAATATAGTTTGTAAAATCTATTTTTTTTTCGGAAAAATAGAGAATAAATTGTAAAATGAGTATTCTTCAAGAAATATACCCGATTTACAATTTGTAAAACTATTCTTCCGGAAAATATGCTTTTTCCGGAAAATAGTATTTTACAATTTGTAAAACCTTTGTTTTCCGGAAAACGCTCACTTTACAATTTGTAAAACCTATTTTTCTGAAGAAATACTCTTTTTAGTCATCTCTAGCTTTTCCGGAAGCTTTTCCGGAAGAATAAATATACTAGGCATATAATTCTTTTTAATTATTTTTCCGGAAGACTTTTACTTACCTTTTTATTATTTAAGCAATAAACGATTAACAATTTGGCTTGTTGGAATAAACTTTAAAAAAGAAAACTTTGAAGATAGAAATATTGAAAAAGAGAAAATATTATTATTAATACCTTCATTTAATTTTTTTACAAATTATGTCATTACAGAAAATTATCGGTTAGAGGGAATTCATATAACCAGAAGAAACATTGGGGAGTAAGTGGATAGATTTTGCTAAGAAATTTTATTTTTAATTTAAAGACTTGATTTTCCGCATGAAGATGGAAATGTAGGTTGCCCAAAAATTGAAGATATTGAGTCGAAAGAAAAAACAAATGAAATATGGAAAAAAATAAAGGGTATGTGCTATTTTATTTGACCTGCTCCTTAAATTGATAGCTCGGGGAGAAGGGATTTTTCTTAAGAAAACTTGATCTTAAGGACTTGACAAATTATTATTGGGGGACTTTACAACTAGGCCCGTATCATAAGAACTCGGTTGCTGGATAAGTAACCACCAACCGGCGGTTTTAACCGGTATTTAAGACGGTCGTAAGGTAACCATGACCTTGTGGTAAGGTAACGATGGTTAGGTAACATCATCAGGTGACCGAGTTCTTATGATACGGGCCCTGATGTCAGCGAGTTCCTCTTCCTTGAGTTATGAGCCCAAGACTTAACCTAACTTAAATCCTAACAAATTATCTATATTTATTCAAGTTGAACAAAGAAGGCTTTATCTGGCAAACAACCCAATAGAAATTAGACAACCACAAAATGAAGAAACACTGGCTGAGAAAATTGATATTCTCCCAAAGCCAAAGGACATTAAATTTGAAATGTCCAATCCACTACAGGATGATTTCTATATAAAAATTCCAGTCAACACAGAATTTTATAAAAAGGACGACTTCAAAGAATATCGAAAAGAGCCGCTTAAGGAAGAGAAAATGAAGAAGAAGGCTAATGAGAACAAGGGCAAGAAGATGGATATTACCTCTTAAATTCAATTGAAGAACAAGAACTATAAGAACATTCCTATGAAAAATTTTTTTTATTTTTTGATAAACACTACCAAAAGATGTAAAAATATTTGGAAATTGAGATAGTAACTCTAAGTTTAAACTAGAAACACCCATGTTTTCGGAGTGGACCCCAAATCAGGCTATCTCAAGTTCTAATCATCATTATTCATCTACAAAAGTATTTTACATCTGATTGTATAAAGTATATACCGCATTAGGCATTGTGATCAAGTATTATAGGCAGAAAGGCCTGCCGAAATATTTTTCAATGTCGTAAATTCCGTTAAGAAAAGTCTAATGGCGTTTTTCTAATTTTTAGCAATTCATTAAAACATTTAAATGTAGACAGTACACGTATAAGTTTTAAATTTTATATACAATATATAATAGAAAGCAGGGAATACAAAAACTCAGCCTGCAAATAACACATAGGTACATATAGGGAATATAGGGAAATATATAAGGAAATTTGGGTATATAGGGAAAATAGAAATAGATTATACACATATATAGATGGGCATATAGCCTAATTTACGGAAATAGGTGAATATGGGGAAATATATAGGTAGATAGGCAATATAGCCATTATATGTAGAGATATACAATTTGTTGAGAGATTTGGAGAGAATATAGAGGATTTGGGAATCTTTAATATCTTCTCAACTTCTAGTTTTTATTCTTAGCCGCAACCTTCTTCATCTCCACAATTTACAGATCAGTCTCATTAGCCTCCTACTCAGTTGGAATATTCGATGTCGTATCTGCCTGTTTGCTCTTTGCAGCGTCTGTCTTCTTCGGAGCCGGGTCCTTCGGGGTCTTATCCTTCTTCACCTTGTCGTCCTTCGTCTTCTCATCAGATCTTTTTATCAGGAAAAAACCCTCATTATTTTGTTTCTTAAGCATTTTACCCATCGCCACGCTTACTTTAATGTTGAATTCATCCAAAGTCTCGCCTCTTTCATGGAACAGTTTATTCTGAAAAACAGTTGAATTTATTTTTAATTTTGTATAAATTCACCTTCTTCCTCCACTCCCTGAATGTACCAATAGTTTTGAAACCTTTTTCCTCCAATAACGGTAGATACAATTTGAAGAGCATCTTTTTGTACATTTCCGCGTTCCCCAAATCCTCCCTCCTCATCCTTTGATAAATATCATTGACGAAATCGTATTCCAGAGAAGGCACCTCTGCAACAGAACGTTTCATGTTTTGATCAGCAATCTCCGCTTCGTCGCCAACGTTGGCCCACCAGATTCTGAAAGTAAAAAATGTGTAATTATTTTACTTCACTCTTTCTCTATTACCTCTCTTTCTCGTCCTCATCTTTTATTTTTTTATATTCTTTAAAGAAGTGGAAGCCGACGACACCGAGGCAAATTACAGCAATCACCACAAAAATCACAAATATCCAAATCCAGGCATTACTTCCTTCTTCGGTTTGCACATTTGTTGTATTTCCTTGCTGCGATCGTGGCGTTGAAGCTGTTTTGTTTTTTGATGGTGATGTGGTGCCTAGTTTTGGTGTTGTAGTTGTGCTTGTAGTCGTTGTTCGAGGATCGACCTGAAGAAATTCGTAGGCTGGCCTATCCTGAAAGATAAAAATTAGTTGAGTTTTTTGGGAAAAATGTAAAAGTTTACAAAGTGAATGAAGAGATCGCAGTTTGGTTTTACTCTACTTGGTGGTTCCTTGACGAATTGTCTTCCTTCAAAGTGTCGCGTAGCCGTTTGCGGAAGTAGATGAAAGACTAGCAGATATTTATCCTTCAAGTCTCCTTTTATGATTTTCCATGTTTCTGGTCTGACAATGGCAATGCCTTTTGTTGTAGCGCAAAGTATTTCATTTGTTTTAAACAAAGGAGTTTCCATTTTGAAGCTGCTATCATCATATATCTCCAGCCTGAATTCCTTCTTATCACCACCCTTTGTTTCAAACATGTGCTCCAAGCCTGTCACAAATTCGCCAACTAAAAAAATATTTTAAGGTAAAAATAATCGTCATCTTACTTAAATGAGTGTGAGCGTATACAAAACCAAGACATTGGCTCCAGGAGACTTCAAGAAATGTTTCCTTCATGCACTCTCCCCCGCACAAGTCTTTTGCACCACACTTTGCTTTTTTATCATAGGACGGACTTGCGCTGAGATTTTTGAGGTCCTTGTTATTTCTGCCGTAGGCGAAGGGAAGGCTAAAACGAGGTTTGTTAGTTTACTTCCTAACCGGCACAAATTAAAACTCACAGATTTGAAAAGCCATCTTTAAAGCTTCTGACTGCATCAGGATCAGAACATTTATCCAATTCACAGTCTTTTTTCAAGTACACTCCAGTGGTTAAGTTGATCATGTTCATTTTCTTTTCGGTGATCAATTCCACAGTACACCCTGTGCCTTCATATAGAAGCTCACTAGAAAATTAAACACGATATTTCTTCAAATCTTAATGAAAAATCAACTTACATGTAATCCTTGTTGATCTTAAAATTGCAGACGGTAGGAAAGCGCTTCACATACTCGGCATAAGTTAAGTCCTCTCCGGCCTGCTTACTTACTCCTTTGAGCGTCACACTGCTTCCATTCTTGGTGTGATTGGCGACTCCGACTTCCGTAACGTTGGCCTGTCCAGGAACTGCAAGCACTAGGAGCGCGGCGATGGATACCAGCAGCAGAGCACAAAGTGTTGTCGTCGACTTCCTTGCCAAAGGTCCGGTGTTGTGGTCCATTGGATGAAGGAGGCAGAAGAGCATGAAGCGTTGTCCTTGTTGTTTGTTTGGACGATGTTGACGTAGAGTTGAGGTGATTGAAGATTTTGTGGCGTTTGGAAGGAATAATGAAACAATCAACAAGTCTTTTATAGTAAACTTTAATTTGTTGTAGCTTGTCAGATTTGTCAGATTCAATAACCTTTAGCATTTAATTGTAAATCTCTCAAATGTTTAGCTAATTAAAACAATTATTTTTGAAAAAAAAATAGAAAAAAATCATTTATTATGATTCATTCTATTGAAATTTCTCTCATTTTTGAATTCTTTCTATTTTAAACACGTACAATCAGTGTTCTTCAATTTCCTTAAAATTACTTAAATATGTATTTTTTATTTCAAATATGTACTATGTACATAAATACAATCAGTGTTTTTAATTTACAATATTGACTTATTATTTTTACAATTTGTAAAAACATTTTCTCTCTTTCCGGAATTTTTTTACAATTTGTAAAAACATTTTCTTTCTTTCCGGAATTATTTTTACAATTTGTAAAAACATTTTCTTTCTTTCCGGAATTATTTTTACAATTTGTAAAAACATTTTCTTTCTTTCCGGAATTATTTTTACAATTTGTAAAAACATTTTCTCTCTTTCCGGAATTATTTTACAATTTGTAAAAACATTTTCTTTCTTTCCGGAATTATTTTTACAATTTGTAAAAACATTTTCTTTCTTTCCGGAATTATTTTTACAATTTGTAAAAACATTTTCTCTCTTTCCGGAATTATTTTACAATTTGTAAAAACATTTTCTTTCTTTCCGGAATTATTTTTACAATTTGTAAAAACATTTTCTTTCTTTCCGGAATTATTTTTACAATTTGTAAAAACATTTTCTCTCTTTCCGGAATTATTTTACAATTTGTAAAAACATTTTCTCTTTCCGGAATTATTTTTACAATTTGTAAAAACATTTTCTTTCTTTCCGGAATTATTTTTACAATTTGTAAAAACATTTTCTTTCTTTCCGGAATTATTTTTACAATTTGTAAAAACATTTTCTCTCTTTCCGGAATTTTTTTACAATTTGTAAAAACATTTTCTTTCTTTCCGGAATTATTTTTACAATTTGTAAAAACATTTTCTCTCTTTCCGGAATTATTTTACAATTTGTAAAAACATTTTCTTTCTTTCCGGAATTATTTTTACAATTTGTAAAAACATTTTCTTTCTTTCCGGAATTATTTTTACAATTTGTAAAAACATTTTCTTTCTTTCCGGAATTATTTTTACAATTTGTAAAAACATTTTCTCTCTTTCCGGAATTTTTTTACAATTTGTAAAAACATTTTCTTTCTTTCCGGAATTATTTTTACAATTTGTAAAAACATTTTCTTTCTTTCCGGAATTATTTTTACAATTTGTAAAAACATTTTCTCTCTTTCCGGAATTTTTTTACAATTTGTAAAAACATTTTCTTTCTTTCCGGAATTATTTTTACAATTTGTAAAAACATTTTCTCTCTTTCCGGAATTATTTTACAATTTGTAAAAACATTTTCTTTCTTTCCGGAATTATTTTTACAATTTGTAAAAACATTTTCTTTCTTTCCGGAATTATTTTTACAATTTGTAAAAACATTTTCTTTCTTTCCGGAATTATTTTTACAATTTGTAAAAACATTTTCTCTCTTTCCGGAATTTTTTTACAATTTGTAAAAACATTTTCTTTCTTTCCGGAATTATTTTTACAATTTGTAAAAACATTTTCTCTCTTTCCGGAATTATTTTACAATTTGTAAAAACATTTTCTTTCTTTCCGGAATTATTTTTACAATTTGTAAAAACATTTTCTTTCTTTCCGGAATTATTTTTACAATTTGTAAAAACATTTTCTTTCTTTCCGGAATTATTTTTACAATTTGTAAAAACATTTTCTCTCTTTCCGGAATTTTTTTACAATTTGTAAAAACATTTTCTTTCTTTCCGGAATTATTTTTACAATTTGTAAAAACATTTTCTTTCTTTCCGGAATTATTTTTACAATTTGTAAAAACATTTTCTTTCTTTCCGGAATTATTTTTACAATTTGTAAAAACATTTTCTCTCTTTCCGGAATTTTTTTACAATTTGTAAAAACATTTTCTTTCTTTCCGGAATTATTTTTACAATTTGTAAAAACATTTTCTCTCTTTCCGGAATTATTTTACAATTTGTAAAAACATTTTCTTTCTTTCCGGAATTATTTTTACAATTTGTAAAAACATTTTCTTTCTTTCCGGAATTATTTTTACAATTTGTAAAAACATTTTCTTTCTTTCCGGAATTATTTTTACAATTTGTAAAAACATTTTCTCTCTTTCCGGAATTTTTTTACAATTTGTAAAAACATTTTCTTTCTTTCCGGAATTATTTTTACAATTTGTAAAAACATTTTCTCTCTTTCCGGAATTATTTTACAATTTGTAAAAACATTTTCTTTCTTTCCGGAATTATTTTTACAATTTGTAAAAACATTTTCTTTCTTTCCGGAATTATTTTTACAATTTGTAAAAACATTTTCTTTCTTTCCGGAATTATTTTTACAATTTGTAAAAACATTTTCTCTCTTTCCGGAATTTTTTTACAATTTGTAAAAACATTTTCTTTCTTTCCGGAATTATTTTTACAATTTGTAAAAACATTTTCTTTCTTTCCGGAATTATTTTTACAATTTGTAAAAACATTTTCTTTCTTTCCGGAATTATTTTTACAATTTGTAAAAACATTTTCTCTCTTTCCGGAATTTTTTTACAATTTGTAAAAACATTTTCTTTCTTTCCGGAATTATTTTTACAATTTGTAAAAACATTTTCTCTCTTTCCGGAATTATTTTACAATTTGTAAAAACATTTTCTTTCTTTCCGGAATTATTTTTACAATTTGTAAAAACATTTTCTTTCTTTCCGGAATTATTTTTACAATTTGTAAAAACATTTTCTCTCTTTCCGGAATTATTTTACAATTTGTAAAAACATTTTCTCTTTCCGGAATTATTTTTACAATTTGTAAAAACATTTTCTTTCTTTCCGGAATTATTTTTACAATTTGTAAAAACATTTTCTCTCTTTCCGGAATTTTTTTACAATTTGTAAAAACATTTTCTTTCTTTCCGGAATTATTTTTACAATTTGTAAAAACATTTTCTTTCTTTCCGGAATTATTTTTACAATTTGTAAAAACATTTTCTTTCTTTCCGGAATTATTTTTACAATTTGTAAAAACATTTTCTCTCTTTCCGGAATTATTTTACAATTTGTAAAAACATTTTCTCTTTCCGGAATTATTTTTACAATTTGTAAAAACATTTTCTTTCTTTCCGGAATTATTTTTACAATTTGTAAAAACATTTTCTCTCTTTCCGGAATTATTTTTACAATTTGTAAAAATTAATTTTTCTCTTCCGGAAATATTTTTACAATTTGTAAAAATTAATTTTTCTCTTCCGGAATTATTTTTACAATTTGTAAAAATTAATTTTTCTCTTCCGGAAATATTTTTACAATTTGTAAACTTGGCACCGGAATTTCTCTCTTCCGGTGCCGTATTATTTTTACAATTTGTTCGTACCTAAATTATTCGTACCTAAAACTATTTATCACTTAGGGAAAATTTTTAACATTGTACCTTGGGCGTCGGTACCTCGAATTTTTGTATGTTAATAATTAGAAAATTAAAGTTACTGCCCAAATCACTCAAAATTATTTTTTTAGTGTTACTCAAATTGTTTTTGCGTGTAAAATTATTTTTTAAAAAACGTTTACTGCCCAAATCACTCACTGCCCATTTAACTCATTGCCCAATTCACCACTGCCCAAATCACACGGCACCTCCGGTGCCAACTAACAGAAAATTTAAAAAGACATATTATTTAAAAAGCTTGAATATAAAAACTTTAATGGGCTCCTAGATCTTTTGAAAAAAATTTTTGGAACCAACTTTTCGGAATTTTAGGCTACAAAATAAATTTATTACAACAGTTACGAAATAAACATACAAAAACACTTACATATTATACAATACAATATATAATGAAAAATAGCAGGAAATACAATAACTCAACCTGCATAATATGGGAAATAGACATACATAGATAGATGGGCAAATAACCGAATTTACGGATATAGGTGAATATGGGGAAATATATAGATAGGCAATATAGCCATTATATGTAGAGATATACAATTTGTTGAGAGATTTGGAGAGAATATAGAGGATTTGGGAAATAGAGAATGAATGATTTACAGATTATTTACAAATTATATTCTGTATATATCTTTAATATCTTCTCAACTTCTAGTTTTTATTCTTAGCCGCAACCTTCTTCATCTCCACAATTTACAGATCAGTCTCATTAGCCTCCTACTCAGTTGCGTCTGTCTTCTTCGGAGCCGGGTCCTTCGGGGTCTTATCCTTCTTCACCTTGTCGTCCTTTGTCTTCTTCTCTTCGGCCTCTTCTCTTTTCATCTGGAAATAATTCTCGACATTTTCTTTCGTATCTCTTTTTCCAACCGCGCTCGTTACTTTTATGTTAAATTCATTCAAGGTCTCGCCTCTTTCATGGAACAGTTTATTCTGAAAAACAGTTGAATTTATTTAAAACTTTTAATTTTGTATAAATTCACCTTCTTCCTCCACTCCCTGAATGTACCGATTGTCTTGAAACCTTTTTCCTCCAATAACGGCAAGTACAATTGGAAGAGCAGAATTTTGTATTTTTTCGCGTTCTCCAAATCCTCCTCCTCCATCCTTTCATAAATCTCCTTGACGAATTGATCTTCCAAGGAAGGACCCTCTGCGGAAGAGCGTTTTTTGTTTTCATCAGCAATCTTCTTTTCGTCTCCAAAGTTGGACCAAAAGGCTCTGAAAATATAGAGAAGATTATTTATTTTACTTCACTCTTTCTCTATACCTCTCTTTCTCGTCCTCATCTTTTATCTCTTTATATTCTTTGTAAAAGTGGAAGCCGACGACACCGAGGCAAATTACAGCAATCACCGCAAAAATCACAAATATCCAAATCCAGGCATTACTTCCTTCTTCGGTTTGCACATTTGTTGTGTTTCCTTGCTGCGATCGTGGCGTTAGAGTTGCATTTACAGGTTGTGATGTGTTATTCAGTTTTGGATTGGGTGTTGTGGTTGTGCTTGTAGTCGTTGTTGGAGGAGGGTTGACCTGAAGAAATTCGTAGGCTGGCCTTTTCTGAAAGATAAAAATTAGTTCAAATTTAAGAAAAACGATCATACAAATTGAATGAAGAGATCACATTTTGGCCTTGTTCTATTAAGTTTCCCTTCGACTTTGCCTCCGTTGTACCATAGTGTAGCATTTTGCGGAAGTAGATGAAAGACGAGCAGACGTTTATCCTTCAAATCCCCGTCTTCATTTTTGATGTTCCATGTTTTTGGCTTGACAATAGCGTTCTTTTTGGAGACGCAGACAATCCCTTTTGCATCAAAATTAATATTATCTTTCATTCTTTTGTTATATGTCATCTTGAAGCTATTATGAGCGTTTATCTCCAGATTGAATTCCATCAGGCCTTCTTTTTCTTCTTGAGATTGATCCAGGCCCGTCTTATATTCACCGACTAAAATGAATAATTTAAAGTAGAAATAATCAACATGTTCTTACTTAAATGGGTGTGAGCGTATGTATAATCAGTTTGCCCCTCACGACATTTACTCCACGAGACTTCAAGAAATGTCTCCTTCATGCACTTTTTGTGTGCGACGTCGCACTTCCCTCCATTATCACAGTCGTCGCCATCGAAAATCGGACCCTCCTTGAGCTTTTCGGTTTCCTTATTGGTTCTACTGTAAGCGAAGGGCAGCCTAAAAACGGGGGTTGTTTTCATTACCTATCGACTTTAACTTACAGATTTGAAAAACCATCTTCAAAGCTGGCTTCACCATCGTCACATTTATCCAGTTCACAGCCATCTTTTTTCATGTATCCAGTCGTGAATTTTATACCATCCGTTTCGTTTGTGATCAGTTCCACGGTGCACCCTATGCCTTCGTATAGAAGTTTACTAGAAAATTAAAAACGTTATTTCCTCAAATCTTAAGAAGAATCAACTTACATGTGTGTCTTGTTGATTGCGAAATTACAGACTGTAGGAAAGCGCTTCACGTACTCGGCATAATTCAAGTCCTCTTTGGCCTGCTTACTGACTGGTTTGAGCGTCACACTGTTTCCATCTCTCTCCAAGGTGTGATTGGCAACTCCGACTTCCTCAGCCTGTCCAGGAACTGCAAACACTAGGAGCGCAGCGATGGATACCAGCAGCAGAGCACAAAGCGTTGTCGACTTCCTTGCCAAAGGTCCGGTGTTGTGGTCCATTGGATGAAGGAGGCAGAAGAGCATGAAGCGTTGTCTTTGTTGTTTCTTTAGATGATATGTTGATGTAGAGTTGAGGTGATTGAAGATTTTGTGGCGTTTGAAAGGAAGAATGAAACAATAAAAAAGGCTTTTATATTAACCTTTTAGATGGGTCTAATTTAATGTTTAATCGGTTTCATGTCCACTTTTTGAAAGTTCCGGGTTGGAATCAGAGCCACAATTCTTGGAACTGTAGTCCAAGAAAGCGTGGGTTCGGAAACCAACGTTTTTCGGGTCGGGAATTTTATTTCGGCAAGATCCAAGCTACCTATATATTTCATATCAGATTATATAAATCGTATTAGGCATTGTGATATATTTTTCATTGTCATAACGTCCGTTGACGAAAAGTTCATTGACAAAAAGTCAAGTGACGTAAAGTCCGCTGGCGTAATGTCTGTTGTCGTTTTGTCATTGCCTTGAGGATTTGTCAGTTTTCAGATTTCTAATTTTTTCTAATTAATTTTTAGCAGTTTATTTACACTAGAAAATGGACACAGAAAAATCCAATCAACAAAATCAACTACTTACAGAAGTACCCCCAACATTACAACAATTATTGCTTACTTTAGTCAAAATATTTTATGGAATTGAATGTTATGTTATTTTTTGTTATATTCAAAAGAAAATTATATTAAAAGAGGAAGAGCTTCGACAAGTCTGCAAAATTGATCAGAGACAATTGAGAAAATTTTTGGTGACCTTGAAAGTGGAGAAATTTATAAAGGAACGGTTGGTGCCGCAAGAAGGTTTAATTTTTTAATGTTTTTGGGGGAACTATTCTAGGTATCGAGCTGGGTTTGACCAAGGCTTGGATTTATTCTGTACTCACAATCAGAGTCCAGGCCCAGGCATTTTTGACTTTCTTTGGTTTTTCTTAGGCATGGGTTTTACTTGACTGCAGGCCCAGAATCTTGTCTAGGTCAAAATAAACCAAACCCAGGAACGCTCAGGCTTTTCAAAACTACCGATCTTGAGTCTATTCTGTGGAACCCTTATTTTTTATTTAATTGTTTATTAAATTTCTAAATAAATTTAGAATATTCAGAGACTTTTCCCTAGACTTTAAGCCATTTTTTTCGTTTCTTTAGGTTGCATTTGGTATAATGGATAGGGGTTGAGTCTGGTCATTTAAATTCCCCTGGTTCCAATTTTTTGATTTTTACTTGATTCGTTATTTTTTTAAATAAAGTTTTAAAAAAAGGATAAAGTTTTTTGACTCATTCTGCCTCCCGTTTAAAGTAAAACTTTTTAAAAATTTTTCTAGTTGATGGCAAAGTTAGAAAATTTACTTATTATTTTGTCAATTACAAAGGAGCTTTAAATGTGACCAAATACAAAATTGACCATATCCGACAAAAATTGGAAGTTAGAGAGAAGGATGACATTCACAGAGCTTTTTACCGATGTTCTAATGAGGGATGTAAAAGGCAATATGATGTGATGGATATGGGGAAGATTTTTGATCCTTTCACGCAGGAGATGAGGTTTGCTTTGTTTTAGACTTGGAAATGGGAAAATAAGGTAGGCATGGTTTCTGGAAGCTTTAAATGTTGCCAAATACAAAATTGACTGGTTCCTGGGATTTTATCGATGGAATTTTGTTGAATCACAAGGAACCATATGTTACTGTGAGTGCGAATTCGTTATTTTCTTGGTACCATTCGACATATAGTTCCTAGTCAGTAGTCAGAGTTCCCGAAACTCAGGTATCTTTTACGTCCTAAATAGCCAAAGAAAAACGGTTGCACAGAATTTTCTATGACCAAAAAGTGGGTTGGGGTTGCAGGCGCCAGGTTAATTTTTGCTTGTAGAGCATTTGAGGTCTTTTGTCTTAAGAGTAAGGTTGTCGGTTCCAGGAAAATCTTCGGATATCCGGAACCGAACTGAAGAGCTGAACCGTAAAAAAACGACGGTTCAGTTCGATCCAGAACCTACAACCCCACTTAAGATATTTGTCGCCACAGGCAAAAATTAGCTGATCGTTTATCAACCCTACTTTCTTTTTCTTTCTGAATTCTGAGCCTATTTTGTATTATTTTCCTTGTATTCCCCTTATTAGCTTTTCGATAGTTTAACATTCACCTACAAAATAAAAGTTATTTTGGTCAGCTTTGTTTTCCGTTTCCACGTTGAAATTTTCTTTCAATTAAATACTTTATTTTTTCATTATTTTTTATCTCCACTTTTAATCTCCGAATTTCTCTCAATAAAAATTTTTGTAATGAGGGATGTTTTTCTAATGAAGGACAATAGATGTAATGGATATGTTTTTTTTGGTTTGGAGGGAGGTTTACCTATGAAAACGGGTACACCCCAACCTACCGCCGAGGCTATAACTTCGTTCAAAATTGTTGAATCTGAGACAACTTGGTATGTTTCGATTCAGCTCGTCGAGGCGTATCGAACCATACCCAGGCCACCCGGATTCGACAATTCTGAAAGAAGGTATAGCCTTGGTAGGTAGGTTGGGCTGCGGTAGATTGGCCTGCTCCCTATGAAAACTTCATATTTAGGCAAAAAAAGCATTTTTTACCTCTCCTTCAAACCTTCTTCCTCATCTACTTTTATTAATTAATTTTTAAAATTCCCCCTTCACCTTTTAACTCAAAAAAATTTCGATTTTATTTAACCCAAAAGGTGTTGGCAATGTCACAGTTTAGTAGAACAAGACGAACTTGCCAGTGGTCCATCCTCAACAACACGTTCCTCTATGGCCAAATTTAATGAACAAATGACTGGAATATTTTCTTTAATAAAACAAATGGATGGAATTCGTTTTGGACGTGAAATAACTGAGCCAACAATACAAGCACCTATATTTAAATCTGAAGGGGAAACTATTGAACTTGAAACGAGAAAAGTTGCTAGTGTTAGTTTTTATTTTTTTTGAAAATTTATTTTTTAAATTTTAATAATGTAAGGGGATTTGATATTTAGGCAAAAGATTTTATTCGAAAAGAATTCTTTTGGAATTTTTTATTTGAATTAAATGGGTAGTCTTTGTTGTCATATTTACAATTAGCTGTAGAGGGATTACCTTTGGAGAAACATATCTTTGAAAAAATTTTTTTGAATTAAATGTGGTCGTTTGTCAGAAGTAGTATGAAAGAGAACTTTGCTGGGAAAACTTTTTTTAAGCAAAAAATTTTTTAAATTATTTTTTGGACATTCGGAATTTATTGGAATGCCCCCCCCTCCTCCTCCTTAAAAGGGAATGCCCCTACTTTGATTTTAACCGAAAAAAAAACTTTTTTCCTACTCATTGTCAGTGCCATATTGAAGGGAGGTTTACTTATGAAAACTTTTTTTGGAAAAATTTTTTTAATTAAAATTATTTTTTGGGGGAAACGTAGATGTATTTAGGGGCGTTTAGGGATGTTGTTTCTACTTTAATTTTGCAAAAAAAAATTTTCTGATGGGATAAATCCTCTCCCCCATTTACCACTGTTAAGACTTCAAAATTTCTTCATCCCTATTTTTCAGCTTGGACAACGTGCATTTTTTGGTGCTGGTAAAACTAGAAGTGATTTATATGGAGGTGATATTACTGTTTCAATTGGTGATGATAATATTGAAAAAACGCTTGAAGCAAAAGCAGAAATTCCTTGGTTACTTAGTGCTAAACAAGTGGATGTGGATACTACACGTAAATATATTTTTTTTTAAATTTTACTATAAAATTAACTGAAAAAGTGTCTGGTTCTCTAGCCTATCCAAGGGAAAATTAATTTTTAGGTTATTGGAATTTGGGCTGGTACTTTTCCATTCTCCCACTTCCCCCTAAATTAATACAAAAATGTCATATTTAGTGTAGAAAAAGGTGCTGATTCGAAGGTTCCACTCTTTTTTCCGGAGATGCCTGTGGACTGAGATATATGGCTCGAATTGGCCAAAACCCTTAGGGTGGAATTCCGAAATGGTCAAACTCATAGAGGGAGGGAAACATTTTGAGCATTAATGTAGGGGAGGTGTTAGAACGGAAAAGTACCTTTGGGCTCTGAAAAGTCGGGTTCTAAGATTGTTTCTTAATTTTGACTCTTGAGATTTTTTCTTTCAATTTTTGAAATTTTTTTTTAAAATTTAATTTCTCGGCGCGAAAAAGGAGTAATTCTGTGTCTTTTGTTCAAAGAGTTAATTTGACTTCTTATGCCTTTTAAAAGGACAATCCCCTTAATTTTGTTGTGACCGAGTTGGGAAGGGTTTGGGTTTGTGTTGAAAATGTATTTCAGATTCTAAATCCACACGGAAAAATTAATTTTTAGGGTACCTAAATTTGGGCTCTGAAAAGTTGGGTTCCAAGATTTTTTGCAATTTTGGGCTCCTATAAAATTTTGGACTCCAAAACAAATAAATACAACAATTACAATACAACAATATATACAGAAAAATACATACATATACATACAATACAATATATGAAAAATAGCAGGGAATACAACTCAACCTGCAAATATATATAGGGAATATAAGGAAATATATATAGGGAAAATAGATATAGATTATACACATATATAGATACGGCATATAAGCCTGAATATGTGAATATAGGGGATATAGGGAAATATATAGATAGGCAATATAGCCATATATAGAGAGAAATACAATTTTTGTTGAGAGATTTGGAGAGAATATTAGGGATTGGGAAATAGAGAATGAATGATTTACAAAAATTATTTACAGATTATTCTCTATATATCTCCAATTTATATATCTTCTCAACTTCTCTCATCTCCTATAATAGTTTTGTCCTAGCCGCAACCATCACTTCATCTTCACAATATTACATATCCGTCTCTTTAGCCTCCGACACCATATCCGTTGGAACATCCGATGTCGTACCTGCCTGTTTGCTCTTTGTAGCGTCCGCCTTCTCCGGTGCCGGGTCATTCTTCAGAGCCGAGTCCTTCGAAGTCGTTTCCTCCTTCGGAGCCTGATCGTTCTTCACCTTGCTGTCCTCTGTCTTTTTCCCTCCGGCAGCTTCATCCTTTGATTGTTTCCTATTGAAAAGTGCGTTGACAGTCTTCTTCAAGCCTCCCCTTCTCTTTATCGCCTTTTCGACTCTCTTGTCGAATTCTTCCGAAGTCTCGCCTTTTTCCTGGATCATTCTACTCTGCAATAAAAAACCAAATTTAAATTTATATTTTTATTTTATAAATTCACCTTCTTCCGCCACTCTCGGAAAGTCCCAACTTTGGCAAAACCTTTTTCCGCAACGTCCGGTAGATACAATTCGATGAGAATTTCTTCGTCTTTTTCCGCGTTCTCCTTGTCCTCCTTCTCCATCCTGTCAAGAATCTCCTTGACAAATTGATCTTCCACCGACATCAGACCTAAGGCAGCGCGTTTAAAGTTTTGATCAGCAATCTCCGTAGTGTCTCCAAAGTTGAACCAGTAGGCTCTGAAAAAAAAAAACAAAAAATTATCTATATCATCTCTCTTTCTTCTATTACCTCTCTTTCTCGTCCTCTGCTTCTGCTGCTTCAGCTGCTGCTGCTTCCGCTGCTTTTGCTGCTTCAGTTGCTGCTGCTTTCGCTGCTTCTTCTTCCTTTTCCTTTTGTTGTTTTTTGCGGTAGTCGAGCCCAGCATAGACGCAACCTCCAATCAACACGGAAACAAACGCCAAAACTAACAGAATTATTATCACAGTCCCGGCACTGCTTCCCTTTTTGGTGTCCTTTACTTCCTCCACGTTTGTTGTAGTTCCTTGCTGCGGTCGTGTCGTTGAAGTTGTTTTCTCGGCTGATGGTTTAGTAACCGGTTTCGAAGTGGTTGTTGTAGTTGTACTTGTAGTCGTTGTTGGAGGGTCGACTCGAAGAAATTCGTAGGCTGGCCTTTTCTGAAAGATAAAAATTAGTTGTATTTTTGGAAAAATAGAAAAAAATTACAAAGCGGATGAAGAGATCACATTCTGGCCTTGTTCTATTAAGGTTTCTCTCGATATTATCTCCTTTGTACCATTGTGTAGCACTTTGCGGAAGTAAATGGAATACGAGCAGATGTTTACCCTCCAGGTCTTTGTCTTCATTCGTGATCTTCCATGTTTCTGGGTTAACAAGGGGATTTTCCTTTGGAGCACAGTAAGACTTTAAGCCAAAAAAATCGTCCTTGGTCTTTCGGTCGAAGTCCAGTTTGATACGGCTATTATTATATATCTCCAGATTGAATTCCGTCTTATTGGTACCCTTTTCTTCTTCTGATGGATCCCGGCCCTTCGAATATTCACCGACTAAAATGAATCTATTTTAAAGTAAAAATAATTGTTGTCTTACTTAAATGGACGTGCGCAACTACAAAATCCTGACATTTGCTCCATGAGACCTCAAGAAATGTCTGATTTATGCACTTCTTCCCGCACTTAAAACTAGCTGCACACACCTTATTATCATTAGCTTCTATTGGACCTTCATTGTTGTTGAGCGTTTCGATATCCTTGTTGTTTCTGCTGTAAGCGAAGGGCAACCTAAAAATACATAGGTTGTTTTCATTTCCAATCGACTTTAACTTACAGATTTGAAAAACCATCTTCAAAGCTGGTTTCACCATCGACACATTTATCCAAGTTACAGCCATCTTTTTTCATGTACCCAGTCTTGAATTTGATCACATTCGTTTCGTTGGTGATCAGTTCCACAGTGCAATTTCTGCCATCATATAGAAGCTCACTAAAAACAACAAACTTTATTCACTCAAATCTAAAGAAAGGATCAACTTACATGTATTTCTTGGTGATCGTAAAATTGCAGACAGTAGGAAAGCGCTTCACGTACTCGGCATAAGTCAAGTCCTCTCCGGCCGGCTTACAGTCCTCTTTGAGCGTCACATCGCTTCCATTCTTGGTGTGATTGGCAACTCCGACTTCCTCACCGTTGGCCTGTCCAGGAATTGCAAACACTAGGAGCGCGGCGATGGATACCAGCAGCAGAGCACAAAGCGTTGTCGACTTCCTTGCCAAAGGTCCGGTGTTGTGGTCCATTGGATGAAGGAGGCAGAAAAGCATGAAGCGTTGTCTTTGTTGTTTGTTTAGATGATATGTTGATGTAGAGTTGAAGTGATTGAAGATTTTATGGCGTTTGGAGGGAAAAATGAAACAATCAACAAGGCTTTTATAGTACCATAACTTGTTGTAAAGTCTCAAAATGTTTAGCTAAAATTGACCAAGGGACCCACTATTCCAATTTTTTACTTTGAAGCCCAAAATTTTCCAAAAATCAGCCCGGCATACCCTTGCTATATTCACCCATACTCCCCTTAATCATCTATATCCCTCCATACCCCAATAGAGCTGCCCCGTAACCTGCCAGACCTTACTTCTTACTATTACCTAGTTAGCTTTAAGCTTCTCCAGTAAAGGACCAACTGAGAGCTCTAGCATATACTCACCAAACATTTTGAAAATAATTTCCTATTTTTTAATTAAAAAAATTTTTTTTCAGAATTGGATGGTTATAAACAAACAGAAAATATAAACAATGCTTCAACCTCATCTTCGACAACAAATAAAGTTTCCATAGAAATTAAATTAAAAATTTTTTAATTTTTTAATTAAAGATTAATCAACAAAATGACCATTTAATAGAAGGAAATAAGGACGAAGAAGAAGAATTAATAATAAAAAGACCTAGACGTGATGAAATAGCTTTACTTTTGGCTGATGAGGAACAAGAAGAAAGTAAGCAAAAAGAAGAAACTCAAATTGGTGGTTCTGGTAAAGATGATGATTTGGCATTACAAAGGTTTTTTTTGGAAAAATTTTTTATAATTTTTTATTTGCGGACAAAAATCTAGTCCGCAAATTTTTTGCGGATTTTTTTGTATGGAAGTAAAAAAATCCGCAAAATTCTGCGGTCTAAATTTTTGTCCGCAAAAACTTTTTGCGGACAACGAAAAATCCGCAAAATTTTTGCGGACAAATATTTGAGTAAAAAAAATTTTTCCAAAACGAGGTTAATGACCAAAATTGGGTCAACTTTTGGTTTACATAAATTAAATAATAATAATTTTTCTAGTTCTCTAAAAAATCAACAACAATTGGAAGAAGATGTAGAAGAAGAAGAAGAAGTTTTTGTATTTGTTCAAGGAGAACGATTTCGTGTTGATGGTAAAATTTTACATAAAATTTAAAGAAAAATTTTTATTAAAGATATAAACGAAGCTTTATTGGCAAAAATGAGTGAACAAGAAAAATCTGATTATTGTGAACGAATGCAAAATGCTTATGCTGATTTTTATTGAGAACAATTTTGAAGGGGATTTTTTAAATTTTAACGGGTTATTTTTTTTGATTTTTTTGTTGAGATTATTTTTGTGTTGTGGTGGATGTCTGGCCAACGAAGAAAGTGCTTTTCCTCCTTGAGAACGGGAAAAAAATTTTTTTTGAGAAATTACAAACCTTAAAATTGTACCCAGCGCCGGACATATCTTCTGCCCGGAGTTTTTCGTAGAGTAGCACGAGACCGGTTAATGGCCTCATTTATTTTTCCCTGTGACGGGACAAAAAGAGAAGGGAAGGAAATGAAAAAAAGACCCGCACCAGGTAAAAATAAACGAGGCGATTAATCGGTCTCGTGCTTCTCTATTCTCTAGTTTTTCGAGGGACTGTTTCCGGACCGTATTAATCAGTAAAATCAAGTTGGATCCGACCCGGCTCTAATTACAATTCTGGAATCCAACTCAGAAATCCAACTCATCCTTTGGCCCGGACGATTTCAAGACTCTTTTGACTCTTTTTTAATAATTTTTTGGAGGGTACGGCCCAAGTAGGCGCGCGGCCAAGTAGGCGCAAAGCCATAACTTTCTTCAAGATTTACGAATCTTATAAAATTTAGTATTAAACGATTCCTCTCATCGAGCTAAAGAGATTGGTACCAAAATTGGGAAGGGCCAGAAATTTTTAATGTAGTTATGGCTTTGCGCCTACTTGGGCGTGTCCCTTTTTTGGATAAATGACATTTTGTCCCATTCATACTGTACTTTATTGATTTTTCGTCTTTCTATATTTTTTTGCTTCGTATTTTCAATTTTTTAAAAATATTTTAATCTTGATTTTAGACTTTCTTAACCTTTTGATTTTTAAATTATATATTCAAAATAACCGACAATGTCTTATGGACAGAAACCTGCTTGGGCTAGATCTCAAGGTTTGTTTTTTTTTACCTTAAGGGGTTGAATAGTTTCTGAGACCAAAATTGCTCGTTTTGTCATGGTAGCTGTCAAGCTTTTCGTTTGCTCGATAAGTTGACACCGACTTTAAGACGAGTTCAGAACATAGTTCACGGGGAATAAATTATTTCATAAGATGACCATATTTAGGGGTAGACGCGGTTTGGTTCTGTACCGGTATCTGGGTTAAGAGTCCACCCCTAAAGTATCGACACCCAGTTTGATCTTTGGGTAATCCAATACTTTGGGTGTCGATACTCTTGAGTGATCCCCTTGGTTCTGATAACGGTTGGGGAAATGGGTTTCTGGGGATTTGGTTTTGTATCGAAAAGATGTCCGGATTTTGAGTAGCTATATTTATTCCTGGTTTAATCCTTTTAATGGCAGACTTCAAAAATTTGTCTCATATTTAGGCTCTCAACAGCAATTGAACCCAAATTTGTTTACTGGCCAATTGGGCCTTGCAACGACTGGACAATCATTTGGAGGAATTCCAGGAATGCCTTTAGCCGGTTTAGTTAATCAAGCTGCTTTTTCAAGTACAATGGGGATGAATATGCTTGCTCAAGCTCAACGTTCTCAAATGCTGCAACCTCAACAACAACAAATTCAGCAAGTACAATCACGCCAACAACAATCATCACAGCAGCAGCCATCTTCTTCTCCTGCTCGCTCTCAACGTACTTTTATTGGTGTTATTACTAAAATGATGGAAACTTATGGATTTGTTGATGAGGATGTTTTCTTTCAGACAAGGTTCTTTTGCTTTTTTTATGGATAGGGAGCAGGGCTTTACGCAATTGCGCATTGCGTAAATTACGGGGGTTTTTCACAGCAGCAGCTATCTTCCTCACCTGCCTCTCTCTTCCTCACCTGCCTCTCTCTTCCTCACCTGCCTCTCTCTTCCTCACCTGATTTTTTCGTTTTTGCAATTGCGAGTTAGGAATCTTTTTTTCCAATTGCGTGCATCCCTGATAGGGAGGACATTCGGGCCGGACGGACATATCGAGATTGCGGTGACAATAGTGTGCGGTAAAATGGCATTCCCGGGATCCCGTAACGTGATCTTTTTCAAAAAATCGAACGGGACATGATCCCGCGGGATTAATCCCGTAAATCTCGTTCGTTGCTTAAAATACGGGATTTTGGGCAGGATCCCGTAAAATCGCGTTCTTGATCTTGTCCCATACGTACTCTAACAATAGTAGCCTCTTTAGTATTATCCAGTCCCAGCTAACCTATATTTGACCTTTCCTATTTTTTCAGTGTTATTCGTGGCACAATGCCTCGTCTTGGTGACCGTGTTATGGTAGAAGCAAATTACAATCCTTCAATGCCGTTTAAATGGAATGCTTATCAAGTTCGTCTTATTAATGACACTTCTCAAGGCGGTGGAGGTCTTCAACAACAACAAGCTAGCCGTCAGTTACCACCACCACAACAACAAAATGGAATGAGTTCGTCAAATCGTTGGGCTGGTAGTGGTGGTGGTGGAGGAGGAAGTAGTGATCGTCGTAGTAACATTAGAGATGAGCCGCGAAGACAAGTACCTTCTACAATTCCTCGTCGTTCTTCTCCAGGTTTTTTGTGAATTTTTAGGCCTTATCCCAAAAGAAGGGCGGAATTGTTTTTTTTTTTATTATCTGCAAGGAAAAGGGAAATGGAGAAAAATGAAAAGGAAAAATGGTGACTGATGGACATTGGCGAACACGGACAGACAAAACACGGACGGAAATGCTTTAGAAATTGATGACCCTTTGTGTTTTGACTCCGAGTCCGTCCGTGTTTTGTCCGTTTGTCTCCATGTTTCCTTTTCATTTTTCTCCATTTTTTCCTTTTCTTGCATGTAATGAAAAAAACGATTCCGCCCTTCCTTTGGGATAGGGTAAGTCTTCTATTTTCAGTAGCTAAACGTCCATCTTCGCGTCAACGTACTCCACCACGTCGTACAACACCTCGTAAGCGCGAAGCGTCGCCTAGAAGAGAAGCTTTTGGAAGGAAGGAGCGAGAACATGATCGTGGTGATTCTTCTTCAGTTCGTGGACAATCTACTAAACTCGATGCTGATTCTTCGCCTCCAAGACGTCGTCAACGTATCATTCCTCGTTATCATTGTAATATGCCGAAGCAGACTTTGCCTTTGTTTGTTTTTTGCTTTTTTTTTAAAGGAAATATTTTTATAAAATTTTTAGGGGTGATATGAAGAACGCTGATTTGCGACGACGCTATGCTAGTTTATATATTCCGTCCGATTTTATTCGATGCAGTTTTGATTGGATTTCTTCTATTCCGCTTGAGACGCCAATCAAATTCTCTCCACATCCAATCAACTTTCATGTTTTGCATAAAGATATTGATGCTCCTTTGGCTTTGGGGGAAGAGGCTCCGATTGAAAATCCTGTTGATGCTGATTATCGTTATATTGTTAAGGTTGGGGTTTTACATTTTCTTAGACTTGTAAGGGTATTGGGTTTGGTAATAGAGATTTAACTCTTCCTTTAATAGATACGAATTGAACACAAGTAGGTAAACAATATAGCAGGGGCGTAGCCAGGAGGTCGATTTCAGGGGGCTGAAATGAGGTGTGCTATAGCTTCAGATATATATATAAAATATTATAAAATATTAATGAGGGATCCGACTTTTACATAAGGCAGACTTACATTAGTTAGAAAGCTACAAAGAATGTGCTCTCGGCTAGTTAGTCTCAATATGCCTATAAAATTATGGGTCCAAAAATCCAATTAAAAACTCAATGGTTCATTGGACTAGAACAGAGTCGAAACAAGTTAATGTACAGTCCTTTAATTTTGTTAAAAAAATTTTGGAACTATTTTTTTATTAAAATTTTTAGAAATAACTTTCATTTCGTTAAGGTAATGCTTATTTCACATCCTGGTTTAATGACAATCCGTCGTAAATTGAGTGGACTTATGTCAGACGGAAGTATTGATGAAGCTACAGAAACTCAACCATTAACAAAAACAATTCAATTACTTGTTGGTATGTCTTTATGTCCGAAGTTTTTTTTTTCATTTTTAATTTTAAAAAGGTCATCGCGGCAAAGGCGAATATATGTGTATTGGAGGTCCATGGTCTCCTTCTTTGGATGGTCAAAATCCTTTGGATCCTGTAACATTGGTTAAAACTGCTATTAGAACTACTAGAGCAATGACTGGGTTAAATCTGTCTGACTGTTCTAAATGGTAAGAAAAAAATTTTTTTCTCAAAAATATTTCTTAAAAATTTCTAAGAAAATTTTTTGAAAAATTTAAAATTTTTTTTATAAATTTAAAAATCTCCTACTTTCTAATCTTTCTCTTTGTTTGATCTTCAATGGCTGATGAGTTTTTTTTAATTTTTTTTCTTAATATTTCCTCTCTTATTCAAAAAAAAAACACACACTCTGAATAAATAATCCAGGTACAAAATTGCGCACTTGCGTTACTTGCGTGCTGAACGTCAACGTATTGATTCTGTTGTTCTAATGCTTCCGGATACAAGCGCAATAGAAAGTTTTAAAGTTGATGAGGAAAGCTACAAAATTTGTGAACAATTGTTACGTGATCAACTTGCCGTTAAATTGGCGGCAATTGATGCTGAACAATTCAATGAGAAGAAAGAAACGGAAGGGGAAAATGTTGTTGATGGGGAAAAGTCTGTTGTTGAAAAGGGTGTTGATGGTGGGGGGATAGAAAAGGCTACCACAACGACGACTGCTACTGCTGCGACTTCTGCTGCTACTTCATCAACATCAACGTTGGTTGCTACTTCTGCTCCTGAAGTTGGTGTTGAACCACCATCAAAAGAGAATAATGCTGTTCCTGATCTTTGTATTGCTACTGAGGAGGTTCTTTGTTATTTTGGCAAAAAATATGATGGTGGTGTTGGTGTTATAAATAAAAGAAAAAATTTTTTAAATTTATTTTTTAGGGTTTTTAATTTTTCTAATTGATTAAGAGTATCTTGAAAAAACCTTAAAATTATACTTTTAATAATTTATAAATTTAAAAAAAATTTTTAGGCTATGGACTCATCATCTCCTCAAAAATCTGCTGATACTTCTCAAGAAACTCTTCAATCTCCCAAAAAGGAAACTAAAACACATTGGTCTTTGTTGGAACCTGTTGTTCGTACAATGAAGGTTTTTCTTTCTTTTTTTTGTTTATTTAGAATGAGAGAGGTAAAGGAGTAATCCTTATGATAGTTGGTGCTTGAAGCTTTCTTTGACCACGTGAAGTTTTCCCTAAACCTCCTAGCAAGCCTAGCATGAGAATCAAGGAGGGCAATGACTAGAAAAGCATCTCGTAGGAGTTTAAATGCTAGCGATTTCTGTTAGTTTTATGCTATGAGCTTTCTCTCGCCGCTTACAGTTGTCCCATTTTAACTCGTATATCTTGACAGTTTTTCCGCCTCTTTTAATAGACCTTCTTGCAAGCCTAGTAATCCATGGCCTAGTAGGAATTTTTGACTGCTAGCCAGAGCTGATTCTCCCATTTTTCCCTTGGTTATTTTAATAATTTTATTTAGGTTGCTGAGCTTCGTGAAGAACTTGAATTGCGTGGACTTGATTCTAAAGGATTAAAAAATGTGTTGTCTCAACGTTTGTCTGAAGCTATTGGAAAAGAAAAGGAAAATGATGAGAAAAATGAGAATCAAGTAGGGCAACAACAACCACAAGAAAAGCCTGCAGATGAAGCAATGCCTGATACTGAACAGCAACAACAAAATTTGGTTTCAAAGGAACAACAACAAGAAGTAGCAAAACCAAATGAACAACAACCTCCTGCTCAGAAAACAACTAGTGAACCTAGTATAATGGTTAAAATAAAGGAAGAAATTATTGAATTGATGGAAACTGATGAAGCGGTTTGAGAATTTATTTTTTGAAATTAAGTTTATATAATCTTGAAATTTTTGTGAGATATTTATTTTATGTTTTTGAAATTAATAATTCCTCAAGAAAATAAATTGAGGAAGTTAATCAAAATGGGATCCTGATAAAGCAATATTCATTATTCTCAATTTATGATAATTGTGAATTCTTGAATAAGATTTGTCGGTTCTGGAGAAATTTGGATATCTGGAAAAAATCTAATCTTACAAGGGGAGTGACCGCGAATTTATATATTTTTTGGTACCATTTGATAGAGGATCCCCGACCACCTATTTCGAATTCCGTGTTAAAACTTTACTTTAAATTTAATCATTTCTCTTCTTTTTTTAAGCCGGAAGAGAAGAAGGAATCACCTGAAGAACAAGCAAAACGTGAAAAATTGGAAAAGGAACGTCAAGAATTGGAAAAAGCTAAAGAAAAATTTGTATAAATTTTTTTTTAATTTTTTAGAGTTTAATTTTATTTTAAGGAAAAAGAAAAGAAAGAACGCAAAGCTACTTTAGAACGTCATTATAGCCAAATTCCTAAAGAACCTGGAATTTTTGTTTATCCTAGCAAAACGGCAAAAGGTGGAAAATTTGAATGTAAATTGATGTCTATACATTCTTTATTGGATTATCGTCAGGATGATATTAAAGAATCGTCTTTTGAGGTTTTTTTTTAAATTTCTATGTTTTTTATTAAGAAAAAATTAGAATTTATAACTTCCCTATGAAATACCCTTCTTTGGGCTTAGAAATCATTTTTATCTTATGAGGGGCACATCCTAAATTGGTGGGATGTTTCGTTTGGGGAACTTCTGGAGAACCTGATTTTTTAATAAAACGCGTTTTAAATCGTGAAATAAAAAAACATAATTTTGAATTTGGGGGAGTTCTGATTGGGGAGCTCTTTACTACCCATTGACCAACCAAATTTTCGAATAAACGGCATCTTATGTAAATCGAGTTGTGTCTCAAAGACGTATCTCAAATGACAAAACTAATGGTCTGACACGCACTTTAGGTTGTCTTTTTTTGGCGTATTCCCCATTTATAGTTTCTTGAGATCCAACCTTTTTGGGGACACGCCCGAAATGTCGCGCGGCCATAATGTCGCCGAGCCATAACTTGCTTTAAGATTTCCGAATCTTTTCAAATTTAGTATTAAACGATTCCTCTCATCGAGCTAAAGAGATTGGTACCAAAATTGATAAGGGCCAGAAATATTTTAGCAAGTTATGGCTTGGCTTCATTATGGCCGCGCGACATTTCGGGCTGTACCCACCTTTTTTGGGGATATTTTTTATAATGAAGTGTTTCTTTTCAGGTCTTTATATTTGTTGAAGCTTTACGTGAAGCAATTGATCGTTCCAACGCTTTTGTTGTTTATCACTCTGTGGCAACTTGTTTAGATCGAGAAGCTGAAAAGAAGCGTCGAAATGAAACACTTTCTGAAGCTTGTAAAGATGAAGATGTTGTTGTAATAAATGAAAGTAGTGGTGGTGGAAGTGGAGGTGGGGGAGGAAAGGAAAAAGAAGAAGAAAAAGAAAAGGAAGGGAATAAGGAAGGAAGTGGCGGTCAAAATTCTGATAAACAACCACCAAAATCACCTCTAAGTTCTTCAACAGATTTGCGAACAAATTTTAAGGCTATAGTTCACAATTTGGACCTGTTTTCAGCTTTTGTACATTTTGATGGAAATATTTGCGGGTTTGTTTTTGGAATTTATTTTAAAAAGACTTGGTAAAATTGAACTTCGACCCCCTTTTTTGTTCCAAAAATGGGAAAAATGGTCGGTCTTAAACAGTGTTACTAACTTTGTTTTATGACAATGAGTACCTCTGCTTTTTACTTAGAACCAATGTCAACGTTGAGTGTGTAAACCATTTTCTAATAAGCTTTCCATTTACTACTATGTATCATTGACATTTTTCTTGATTACCTCCGTCGTAAAAAGGTGGTGAAAAACCGTATCTTAACAGGGAAGGGTAATAGCAATAAATGATTGTTTTCCATGAACAATAATTTTTTTGGAAATATCCCTGGGAAAACTACATAATTTCTTTTAAAGATTTTACTATTTAATAATAAAAAATGTTCTTTTTTTAGTTATTTGACTGATCGCGATTTGGAAGAAATTATAAACTCTACAGGATTAGACTTGTCTCGTGGTGAAGTTAAAAATTTGGTTAAAAAATTGGTTTCAAAGGAACGTGTTAATTATCGTGATTTGACTGATAAATGGGTTGATAAAGAAGGGAATGTTAAATATATTCCTGAACCTATATATCAAGGAGGAGGAAGTTTGTTTGAGAGTTACAAGGAGTTGGCTAACGGTTAGTTTTGTTTTTTTTTAAATTTTTTTTTGGGAAGATTTGGCGTGATTTTTTTTTTTTTTTGTAAATTTTGGGAACAGAAAAATAATTTTTTAATTTGTTGAACCTTATTTGCAGGTCAATATAAAATTTAGAAAGACTAAATTTCACGCTGGTTAGACTGTTCTTGTTTACATTAGACGGGACACATTACTTATTGTCAGTATTTTAAATAAGTTTGTACCCCCACCACCCCCCATTGTTGTTGTAAAATACAAAAAAGGAACTTTTCTTGTATTTTTACAGTTTTATTTTTTTTTAATTTCTATGAGTGCTCTTTTTCTCCAATTTTTAAAGAGATTTGTTCAATTGTATTTTTGTCCGCGATTTTTATTTTTTTTTGTCCGCAAGATTTATTTTATGTCCGCGAAATTTATGTCCGCAAAAATATATTTTGTAATTTCTCTGTATATTTTATTTTTTAGGACATGCTAATTTGGAACTGCTGTCAGTTTCTTCAAATAATAATTTACAAACACCTAATGAGGCTTCTTCTGACATATTCTTTTATGAAGGCAAAATTGTTAATATTAAACAATGTATTCAACAACAACAAGCTATGGAAGAAGAACGTCAGGCTGTTTTGGATAAAAATAATGAATTGGATTTACAATTGAGTAGGTTTATTGATTGTTTTTTCAAAAATAAGGGGAGGAAGTGAGGAAGGTTTTTCTATTCTAAAAATTAAAAAAAAGTGGAAATGTCTGCAAGAAAAGTTGCGGACATTTATTTATGTGTCCGCAAACTTGTTTTTTTTTAATATAGAAGAGAGGTCTTTCTATAGACTTCCAGGACTCTTGGTCTTTAGTCTTGGAAAATTGTCGATCTTGGAAGTCTCTACGTCTTTCCTTCCGTCTGTTTTAATAAACAGAAGTGAAAAGTCCGCAAGAAAAGTTGCGGACGTTTTATAGAGTTGTTTAACTTTATTTTTTTAATAAAATCACAACACATTTTTTCCTGTACTTGTGGACACTGCATATGGTGATTTATAAGAAAATATGGAATCCCTTCCCTCTTATCTTTAAATTAAAAAAAAAATTAATTTGTCCGCAAATTTATCTCCGCAAAAAAAAGTTTAATTTTCTCAAATTTTTTTAAGAAACAACAAAAGAACAACGTGATATATTAGAAAAGAAAAAGCGTCGTCTTGAAGATGATGTTGATCGTTATAGAAAAAAATTGCATGATGCAGAAAAAAATTTGAAGAAGGAAAAGGATGATAATGAAGTTTGTAAAAGGTCTTTGACTGATTGTAAACGTTATGGACAACGAATTATTTCAATTGTTGAAAGTGTATTTCCTCCACCACCGCCTCCTAAAGTTGCTACAAAGGAAGGGGAAAATATTAAAAATAATAATGGTGAAAATGGAGGAGGAAAGGAAGCTGGCAAGGAGGGTGGGAAGGAAGCTAAGGAGAATAAAGAAAGCAAGGAAACGTCAGCTTCTGATGTTGTTGTTCTTTTGGATGAATGTAAAGATGATACTACAACTAATAATTCTTTTAAGGAAGGCAATAATAAGGTTTGTTTTTGAATTTAAAAAATATTTTTTGGGTAATTTTTTAGAGGGAATTTATTTTGGGGTTTAATTGAAGTTGTCCGCAAGTTTTGTCCGCAAAAAAAATTTTTTTTTGAATTTTTAAAAAAATATACTTAATTTGTTGAGTTTTTTAATCGTTTTTTATTAAATTTCGGAGAAAGATTTATTTTGATTAAAAAATTTCTTTGATAATTTCTGAGGGTAGATTTATTCTTGGGTTTTATTGAAATTGTCCGCAAGTTTTGTCCGCAAAAAAAATTTTTGGAATTATACTTAATTTGATAGGTTTTAATTTTATTTTATTAAATTTGGAAAAAAAAATTTTGCGGGGGTGAGGGTAGAATTTTTATTTGAAAAAAAAATTTTTTTTTTGATTTGTCCGCAAATGTTTGTCCGCAAAAATTTTAAAAATCTTTTTTTTAATAATAAATTTATTTTTAAAGGCACAAAAAGATGATGGTGATTTAATTACTGAACCAATAAGTGTTGAAATGGTTGTGGCTGAAGGAGAAGGTGGTGAAGTGACCAAACAACAAGTGACTAAACAAGGAGTTGATGATGTTGAACAAAATTTGGAAAATAAAAATGAGGGTGGGGAAGAAGGGAAGTGAAGAAAAATTGAATGAGGAAAAAAAATATGGAAATTGACAACAAGTTTTATTTTTTAAATTTAATTTTTGGGGGGAAAATTAAATATTTAGTTAGTTAAGGAATGATATTATTTTAATTTTTTTGATGTGTTTTAGTTGGTATTCCTCATAATATTTATGGTTTTTTTTTAATTAAAAAAATATTTTTTTTGTTGTGTAAGAAATTAAAATTTAAGGATCTGGAGAGGGATTAGGATATTCTAAAATTGATTTTAATTAATTAAATTTTGCTCCTTGAATTTTTTGAGGTAGGTCATTCGTTCTTTTTGTTTTTCTTAAGGGGGGAAATCAATTACTTTTATTTGAGGTTGTCCGCAAAATTTTTTGCGGACATTTATTTAATTTTTCTGAAATTTTCTAGGAGGGAAAATGGGAGGGTAGTCTTAAGTTTCGAAGGAGAATTTCCCATTTTGAACATCTCTACTCATTTATTACCGCATCCGATTATACGACACTTGGTCTTTTTTAGTAAGTACGTCATCTCAATTTGGACCTTAAAATAAGACCATTTTGATCCTTAAATTTTTAAAACAAGTTTTCGGTTTTCTTTATTTTTTTTATAATCTTACAAAAATAAAATTTGAAAAAAAATGTGTGAGCAATTTATTTTTATTTTAGAATTTATTAAAATAATTTGGAAATAAAAAAAAATAATTTGGACCATATTTTTGATTTTTCAGAAAAACTGAAAGAAAGAAAAAAATTTTTTAATAAATATGGGTTAATAAAAAAATAATTTTTGCAACATTTTCTCTCGTTTTATAATTTTTTTCTCACATAATTTCTTTGGGAGGACTCGGCTTTTTTTAAATAAAAATATTTTTGGACTTTGGTTCCGCCCTTTTCCTTCCCCCTTCCTCCTTTCTTCCCTTCCTTTCTAAAGCACATTCCCTTTTTCCTCTCTTTATTTCAAGGCAAAAACAACAAAAAAATTTTTTTTCTTCAATTTCTCGAGTAACCAGCGAATATATTTTTATTTTTAAGTTCACCTTTTATTTATCCAAAAAAAATTTTTTTTCTCAATAACCCCCTTCTAAGGATAAAGAGAAACTTGAAAAAGACTACCTATTTTTATAAAAATACCCTTACATTATTTATAAAAAAAAAGAAAAATGCAAATTTTTTCCTCCTTTTTCTATTTTTTTACCAAAAACAAAAATTATTTTCTTTTTCCCATTTAAAGAAAAAAAATTTTTTTTTCATGCATTTATTTTTGGCATTCTGGTAAATAATATTTTTTGTCGTTTTTCCTTCCATTTTCTTAGAAGAGAGTTTTTGGTCAAGTGGTCTAAAGCGCTGCCTACACTACCTCAAGTTAGTTCATAGGGTTAAAGGTTCGAGTCCAACTAAGGGTAATTTGTTTGTTTTGAAAAAGTGAACAAGTTAAAATATTAAAAGAATATTTTTTGATTGATTTTAGGGGTAAATGAATTTTTTCAAATTAAATTTTGAAGAGAAAAGAAGCTGAGAATAATATTTCTTTGGGTAATAAATAGGATTTTTTCAAAAAAAAATTTTTTTCCCAAAATTTCCTTTATTTTTTCGAATCTTTTCTCTCATATTTCTATTTATCTCTTCTTTCTGGAAGGACAATAATAAAATTTTTCATAAATACAAAAGAAAAAATGTAGAGAACAACAACAACAAAAATAATGTTGACCACTACCCAAACATGGTCATTTAAAAATAAAATTTTATTCATTTCTAATATTTGTACAACTACCTAAATATTATTTATTAATTCTTTTTATTTAATTTTTCTTTTGTTTGTTTTTGCATTTTATTTGTTTGTTTAATAGGTTAGAGAGAAAAATATTTTTTTTTGTCCTTTTTGGGAGGGAGGCTGTGAAGAATGAAGGGAGGGGTGAACAGGTGTTTCAACAAAATAAAAATTTGAGAATTTTTTTTAAATTTTATTTTTGATTTTTGTGTGGTCATTTTTCTCATTTTCAATATTGTTCCTTTTATTTGAAAAAAATTTTTTTTTCTTGGATTTATTTGCAACACACTTATTGCAACAGAAAACGTTAATTAATATATCCATTCAACCATTTAGCTTATTTTTAAGGAAAAAAATTTTTTTGTGTTTTCTACTAAACCAAAAATAATTCAAAAATCTCTACATGATCTCTTTGTTCTCTTCAAGAATTTTTAATTTTATTTATTAATTAAAAAAATTTTTTTTTAATAATCTTCTGACCACCCTATTCCTTACTTAGAAAAGCCAATTTCTCTTAAACTCTTTCCTCTTTTTCTCTTCAAAATTTAATTTTAAAAAATTCATTAGCCCCTAAAATACATCAAAAAATATTTTTTTAATATTCTAAATTGTTCACTTCTTCAAAACAAATAAATTACCCTTAGTTGGACTCGAACCTTCCTCCCTAAACTAACTTGAGGTATTATAGTCTGCGCCTTAGTCCACTTGACCAAAAAAAATTTTTTTGTTTTTCTGATTTTCTTATTTTTTCTACGTTCACACAAAATTATTTTCTTTTATTTTCTTTTGTTTTTTATTTTCCTTCCTGTTTTGCCCAATTAATTTAAAATTACTTTTTTCCTCATTGTTTTGAATATATAAAAAAATAATAAGAATTTCCTTAAAATTTCCGTTATTTTAATTACCTCATTTTTGGCACAGGTATGTTTATTATTATGTTTTTTCTCCTATTTTCTCCCAGAAATTATTTTATTTTATTTTAAAAAATTTTTCTTATATTAGAAAAATGGAGGGAGATTAAAAAATTTTTTTTGAAATTTTTAAAAATTTTTCTGGAAATTTTTTGAAATTTTTCCGGAAATTTTTTAAAATTTTTCCGGAAATTTTTTAAAATTTTTCCGGAAATTTTTTGAAATTTTTCCGGAAATTTTTTGAAATTTTTCCGGAAATTTTTTAATTTTTATTTTTTAATAGAAGAATATTTTATTTATGGCTTTATTAATGCTTCCACTAATCACATTTGTAGCCTTCCGTGACGGTGCAGCAAATATTGGAATTAATAAACATTCAAAACAACAAAATAATTTATTATTTTTGGAAAATTTAAAAATAATAAACGGGACAGAATTAATATTGGAATGCCCCCCAGCCTCTATACTTGTACGGACTCATATGGCCCCTGATTTTGAACATCCCCAATTAGTTAGAAAATTAAATTGGTTTTTTGAAGGGGTGCTAGTTGCTTCTTTTCAACAGGTGAATAATTTGGGCATTTTTGTTTTGGACATTTTGAGAAAAAAAAATAAACTTGAAAATAAACTTGTTTTGGTAGAAAAATAAACTTGAAAATTAAAAATCAGAATTTTTTGTGTTTTGTTTGTGTTTTAATGTTTTTGTGTTTTTAGTATCTGTGTTTTGTTGTGTTTTGAAATATTCTGATTTTCTTAAATGTTTTGTGTTTTTGTTAAGTTTATTTGTGTTTCTTTGAAATTATGTGTTTTGCAATGTTTTTGTGTTTTGCAACTTGTTTGTGTTTTGTGTTTTAACACGCTGTGTTTTGGAGATTCTGATTTTTCTAAATGTTTTGTGTTTTTCTGAATTTTATATGTTTTGCAGTGTTTTTGTGTTTTGCAAACTTTTTTGTATTTTTTCCAAGTTGGAATTATAAACTTAAAAATTGTAAAATAAAAATAAACTTGTCAAGTTTGCGAAAATAACCTTGAAATTGTAAAAAGAAGAAATAAAGTTTATTTTTTTACAAATTCAAGTTTCGCAAACTTGAATATTTGAGTATATTTTGTTTTATGCATATTTCCTCTATGATATTTCCCCACCTTTCCCCACCCATCAAAATTTTTTTTATTTTTTTATTCAAAACCATTTTTTTCTTAAAATTATGTTGATGATGATAACTACTTTCCCCTCTTACATATTTTTATTTATTTACTCCCCTGTGGGAAATTTGAGGCAAAAATGCTTTGGCCTTAGGCTGTCAATTATGCCGTTTCAAGAAGAAAGAGAGAGAGAGTTTTCTCTTAGACCAACACAAAATTCTTTTTTTAAGAAATACATATAAGTGTGTAGATAAATTGTTGAAAAAGAAAAAAATTTTTGGAAGGAAATTGACCGAAATAAATAAAAATATAAGTGAAATGTGGGGGGATAGTTTAAATATAATAATATTAATAGGGGCTGTGTTTTTGTATTTTTGTATTTTCTCAAAATTCTGATTTTAGTTACTTTCATTCCTACAAACTTAAGCTTGCTTTCTGATTTTTGTACATATTTTCTCCTATTTATGTATTTTCTTTGTATTTTCTCCAGTCTGCCTTAGAAAATTCTGATTTTTGTATTTTCGTTTATTTAATTAATTCTGATTTGTATTTTTTGTTAAATTCTGATTTTATTTTTCACTAGACTCAAAAACTTCTAACGACAATTAGACTCTGTCAATAAAACATCCCCTTCCCGACTTTTATTTTAAAACCTTTTTGTATATTTTTTCTTATTTTTACTTTAATTCTTTGTTTATTTTGTGCCGATTTTCTTTTATTTTTTTATTTCAAACTGTGCCAAGAAAATTGGTATGTTTCCGGGCAATATAAATAAATTTATTTTCCTCTCTTTACTATATTTGTTCTAATTTCCGTCCTTTTTCTTGTATTTTCTTTTTATTTTTGGACTTTTAAGGGGACAGGGGAAAGTTAAAAGGGAGGGGAAAGGGGGGAAAGTTGAGGGAAAGGAAAATAAAAATTTTTGCCGACTGACTGAGTTTTAAGCTTTTAAAATTAAAAAGAGAAAATAAATATAAATAAGGTATATGTCTAATTAATAATGTTTTTAGTTTTAGCATTCAATTTACTTTAAGGAAAAAATAAAAATAAAATTACTAATTATAAGAGAGGTTTGAAAAATTTATTTGGAAGGGGAAATTAATTAATTTATTATTTGTTTATTATTCTGATTTTTGTGTTTTGATTTTAATTGTAAATTGTATTTTTGTTTGAGGGAAAATACATATTCTGATTTTCCTAATAAGTTTTGTGTTTTTGTATGTGTTTTGTGTTTTTTTTGAAATATATGTTTTGTTTGTGTTTTTCTTGAAATTAAAAATCAGAATTTTTTGTGTTTTGTTTGTGTTTTAATGTTTTGCAACTTGTTTGTGTTTTGTGTTTTTTTAAATATTCTGATTTTTCTCAAATGTTTTGTGTTTTTGTTAAGTTTATTTGTTTTTCTGAATTTTATATGTGTTTTTCAATATTTTTGTGTTTCAAAACTTGTTTGTATTTTTAAAGTTGTATTTTTTTAATTTTACAAACTCAAGTTTATTTTTGTAATTCAAGTTTATTTTTCGCAAACTAGACAAACTTAGGTATATTTGAGTATATATAGAATGTTTTTTTCTCTAACATGTTTGCATATTTTTCTTTAAAATTTAAAATTTTATACTAAAGTTTAAATAGGATATATTATTTCCCTCTTGGGAAAATAAGAAGGCAGAAAATAGAGGAAGGAAATTAGGAAGAAGTAAAATTGACCAAAGAATTTTTTTTAATTTTTTACTATAAATGAGGTTTTCTGGATGAGTTGATGATAATCGAGTGTCTATAGAATTGTCTAAAAAATAGATAAAGCTATGAAATTTTGTACAAATATTTTTAATACTGTTATTTAACTGTTCTGAAAATTTCAGAATTTTTGGTTTGTAATTTCAAAGTTGTAGTTAAAAATGTCGATTTTTTGTTGATTTTTTGCACTCTTTTAATCACAACTTGTGGAATAATTAACTAAAAATTCTGAAATTTTTACAGAAGATGAATAAAACTTTGAGAATGTTATTTTAAAAAATTCAGAATTTTTTATGTTTATTTTATAGTCGCTCGCGCGCAAGCGTTAAAGAACGAAGAGAAAAGGTTGACGAAAATTTTTCGAGGGATTTAGATTAATAAATAAAATTTAAAATAAAAAAATAAAAAATAAAGTCTTCCAAAAAATTCAAAAATTATTTTAAATATATAAATTTCTTTAATTAAAAAACAGCAAGAACTGGGTGCAGATATAGAACAACAATTATGGACAAATAACGAAAGATTGTTACTCAAACGTCCATTTTTTGAATTACGCATTTTTCCTGTTCTGCCAAAAGACAATGGGGAACAGACGTGGGCGAAACGTTTCGTTTCGTTTCGTTGTTTCGTATGTTTCGTATGATTTTTACTGTTTCGTCTCGTTTCGTTACGAAACACTTTTAAATTTGTTTCGTTTCGTTTCGTTACGAAACACCTGTGATTTTTCAACGAAACGAAACAATTTTTTAAGCCTAAACTAAGGCCAAAATCTATAAAATTTACCATCTTTTATTGAAAATTTAAAAAATTTTCGCCTGCGGCGCTGAAAAAAAAAGAATTTCGGCTTCTTGGCTTTCCCAAATTGTCAAAATTTTCGCCTGCGGCGCTGAAAAAGGAAGATAGCAATTACTTATATACTACACTGGAACCGGAACTTCCGGCGAAGCACTAGCTTATATCGCCTTCCTCTCGAAATGGAGATATGGAGACAATTTGGGTAGGCAATGGAGCAAGATGGTGAATTTTTTGGCCTACGGCCTTTCAAAATTTTAAAATTTTTCGTCTGCGGCGCTTAAAATAAAATTTTACTTGAAAAATATTCAATTTTATTTAAAAAAAAGCGTCGCCAAAAATTTGGCTTCGAAAATGATTGACCCCCCCCCCTTCCCCGAAAATTTTCCTTGCTACGGGCCTGGCTTATGGGACACAATTGTTGTAAATAAACCAATAACTAAATCATTTATAAGTCATAGTCGACTAATAACGTATTTGAGGTCGAATAATTTCGAAATAAATGCAGTTTTGAAAATTTTTTGAATATTAAAATGTTTCGTTTTGTTTCGTTTCGTTTCGTAAGATTTTGGTTGTTTCGTTTCGTTTCGTTAACGAAACGATTTTTAAAAAATTTTGTTTCGTTTCGTTTCGTCAGAAAAAAATTTTGAGTTTCGCCCAGGTCTGATGGGGAATGGATTTGTATTTTGGAAACTGATCCTTTATTTGCTGAGGAATTGCCGCTTCAAAAGGCTGGTGCAAAATTGTTGGTGTTAGGTGGGTAATTAAATGTGTTTTCTTTTGGTGTTTGTGTTTAGGGCATTTTCTGGTTTTTGTGTTTTTACAAACTTAAGTTTTGTGTTTTTCTAAATGATATTCTGATTTTTTGTATTTTCTATTTTTAATTCTGGTTTCTGTGTTTTTAATGAAATTCTGGTTTATGTATTTTTAAATTCTGATTTTGTGTTTTTACAATCTTAAGTTTTGTGTTTTTTTTTGTATTTTCTTTTTCTGATTTTGTATTTTTAATGAAATTCTGATTTTTAAATTCTGGTTTTGTATTTTTTTTTAATTTTAACAAAATTCTGATTTCTGTATTTTCTATTTGTATTTTTCTTTTATTTGTAATTTGTATTTCTTTTATATAATTCTGATTTTTGTATTTTTAAAATACAAAAATCAGAATTTTTAAATAATTTCCTTTTCCACACATTAATAATTTAATTTATTATTATTGTTTTTACATTTCTTAAAAGTCCTTGCGCATAATATCCGCGCAAAATTAATTATTCTTGCTTGACCAATTTTAATTTATGGAATGGATATATTTGACCAAGAATGATGGAAAAGGATATTAAAATTAATTTATTTAATATAAGGACACTAGAGTCTGAGACTCAAAATCCTCCTAGACTCTGTCATATTTTTTATTTTCTGGTACTCTAATGTCCGGTTTTGTAAGGCAACAAAATGACATTAATTTTGATTAAGAAAATAAATCGCGTGACAATTGAGTGAGTAAAAAATGATGATGAATGTGAATAAATGACCGGTGGTTTTGGTTCATGAAAAAAATATTGAGAGAGAGAGCGTGTCCAGATGCAATTTAAAAAATTAAAATAAAATAAAAAAGAATGAGGAAATTAATGTGTGGAATTTTAAATTAAAATAAATTTGTTGAAAATTGGTGATGAAATGGGTTGTTTTGTGAGGATAGTACAGTAATTTTGTGTATTTTTAATTTATAAAATTCTGTTTTTTTATTCTGTTTTTTAATTCTGATTTTTGTGTTTTTCCAAGTAATTCTGATTGTTTTTAATTTTCTGTAGATATTCTGTGTTTTCCTATACAATTAATTGTATTTTTGCAAAGTTCTGATGTGTAATTTATTTATTGTATTTTTTTTAATTTTCTGATTTGTATTTTCTATGTATTTTTACAAATTCTGATTTTTTAACTTCGTTTTGTATTTTCTGCAAATTCTGATTTGTGTATTTTCTATTATAAATTCTGTTTTTAATTCTGATTTGTATTTTATTTTGTGTTTTGTGTTTTATTCCTTGTACAAATTCTGATTTGTATTTTTCTTGCATTTTTACAAATTCTGATTTTTAATTATGTTTTGTATTTTTTGCAAATTCTGATTGTTATAATTCTGTGTTGTAAATTCTGATTTTAATTCTGATTTATTTTATTTTGTGTTTTATTCCTTGTACAAATTCTGGTTTGTAATTTCGTTTTGTATTTTTTTACAAATTCTGATTTGTATTTTTCTTGTATTTTTCTTGTATTTTTCTTTAAAACTTGTAATTATTTCAGAAAAGCCCCCAATTCCCCCAAAACCTTCTATTCAATATGGAAACAACAAAAATTCTGTTTTGCTCGATTGGAGTAAAGGCTTTTCACCTTTACCCTCCCAACAACCAATAATTAAATTTGCAATTTATATTTCACAAAAATTTGAAGAAAATATTAAAAGAAGGAAAAACAATAATAATTTTGTCCGTGTTTTGTCAACAAAAAATAATTTAACAAATTTGGAAATTTCTGAATTGGAACCAAATACTTTATATTCTTTTTCTGTACGTTTAAATTAATTATGATAATTCTGATTTTCTGATTTTTTTGCATATGTTCAAAGCTTAATCTTTTCCTCTATACAATCCTAGAAAATCCGCAAATAAAAAATTTTAAAAAAAAATTTTGCGGACAAAACTTGCGGACTTTTTCAAAATTTGCGGACTTTTTAGTAAAAAGTCCGCAAATTTTGTCTGCAAAATTAAAAAAGAAATTTTTTTAAATTTGCGGATAAAACTTGCGGACATTTGAGAGTATATTAGAGAAAAGAGTCCTAAGGCCTTTTTAATTTTATTTATAGGTACGTGCAGAAAACACTGTCGGAGAAAGTCAATTTGGCCTTGAGGCTGTTTTTAGAACCTTCGGACTGCGTGGGAATTTCTTTTCATTTTTTTTAATTTTAAAAATTCTTTGTAGCTCCATCCAAATCACCGGAAATTCGTTCTTTAATAAATTCAACTTCGGCAGATTGTGTAGAATTGGAATGGCAACAACCGATTATTGAGGATGATGGGGAGGAGTCTACGAGTGATTCGATTCTTGGCTATAGAATTATTGTAAGAAAATTTTCTGAAAATTTTTTTCAAAATGTCCAATCGACAAAATGTCCTTTCGACGAAATGTCCTTTCGACAAAATGTCCTGACGACAAAATGTCCTGACGACAAATGTCCAATCGACAAAATGTCCATGTGACAAAATATCCAATCGACAAAATGTCCATGTGACAAAATATCCAATCGACAAAATGTCCAATTTTCAAAACGCCCAATTTTCAAAATTTTTTTTTTAAATTTTTTTCAAATTTCTAGGTAAACAAATTGGATGGGACTAATTTAAAAGAAATTTATGCAAAAGGCTCAAATACCCAAAAACAACTTGTATGTTCTTTGGAACCCTTTACTGATTATTCTCTTACTTTGGAGGCCCACAATTTATTTGGATATTCTAAAGCTACCAAAACATCTTTTAAAACTGAACAGGTTTTTTCGTAATTTATTTTTAATTTTTAAATCTTGAGGAACTATAAATATTAATTTAAAATAATTATTTTTATAAGCAATAATGAAGATTTGACAAATTTTTGGAAAAAAAATATAAAAAAATATTTGTCCGCAAAAAATTTGCGGACGTCCGCAAAAATTCTGTCAAATCCTCATTTACTTAAAAAATTATATAAACTAACCAGCGATATTTGTATCAGCAATTTTTTAAAAAATCCAAGGAAAATTTTTAATTTTTTAAATTTTTTTTTAAAACGTCCAAATCCCAAAATGTCCATTCGACAAAATGCCAAAATTTAAAAATGGTCAAAAATTCTAAAAATAATTTTTAGAGTATTCCAAATGGTCCACCTTTATCAGTACAAGTTCTACCTTTGCCTGGAGGCACTTCTCTGTCTCTAAATTGGCGGCAACCTGAAAAAACTAATGGAATAATTCGTGCATATTTAATACATTTTAAGGTTTTTTAAAATTTTTTTGGAATTAAAAAAAAATTTTTTTTTGAAGGAAATGTTTTCTCAACGACCTTTAAGACAAATCCGGTTAGAAGCTAAAAATGAAGAGGAGAAGGATGGAGAATTGTCTAATCAAAATCAATTAAAACAATCTTCGAGTAATACAGTGTTTGCCTTCAATCTTGTAAGGAGAAATTTTTTTTAATTTTTGAAATGAGAAAACGAATAAATTTTTTTGGAGGAAAGTAGAGGCTGTCCTTTTTTTATATTTCAAAAAGTCCGCAAGTTTTGTCCGCAAGTCTGCAAAATTTTCTTTCGAATAAAAAAAATGAAGATTGTATGACTTGCGGACAAAACTTGCGGACAAAACTTGCGGACAAAACTTGCGGACTTTTTGAACATAAAGAGCTGAAAGAGTCTCCAGACTGCTAAAAGCTTCAAATTTTTCTAAATAAATTTGTTCGATTTCTAAATTACATTAGGGAAGAATAATTAATTTTTTAAAATTAAACAGACAAACCTATTATCAAATAGCCGCTATAAAATTCAAATTTCTTCAGTTACTGATAAAGGCGAGGGTCCTAAAAGTGAACCTATAATTGTTGATACTGACATTGCTGGTTAGTTTATATAATTTTTTTAGAAAATGAAGATTTGATTTTTGCGGATGTCCGCAATTTTTTTTGCGGACATCCGCAAATTTTTTTTGCGGATGTCCGCAAATTTTTTGCGGACAAATTTTTTTTTGAATTTTTTTTCAAAAATTTGTCCAGTCTTCATTACTGTTTATAAAAATAATTTTTTAAATTTATATTTTTCAGTTCCTCAAGAATCTCCAAAAATTACAAGTTTATTTTTTGATTGTGCCAGTTCATTATTATCGTTAGAATGGATTTTACCTCAAAATTTATTAAATTCAAAATTTGATGGTTTTCATAAAATTTCAATTTATTCTTTAATGACTCAAACTGTTAGAAATTTTAATATTTCTATTAATTCTCCATCAAAGGTAAAAAAAAATTTTTTTAATTTTGATTTTTGCTGACAAACTTTTGCGGACAGATTTTTGCTGACAAACTTTTGCGGACAGATTTTTGCTGACAAACTTTTGCGGACAGATTTTTGCTGACAAACTTTTGCGGACAGCTACCAGGTAGTGATGCTCGGGTATCCCGACTCCCGACTCGGGAAAATTTCCCGAGTTTTTTTGCCTCCCGATCCCGACTCCCGGTGTCAATTCCCGACTAAGTCGGGAAATTTTTACACCCCTAAGAATGGATTTTTCTGACAAAATTATATTTTCATTTAGAAAAAATGAAGAAATCTGGCCTCTTGGTCTTCTAAAATTCCCAAAATTTTCGCCTGCGGCGCTGGAAAGCGAAGATTTTTGGCTTAAGGATCTTCCAAAATCTTCAAAATTTTCGCCTGCGGCGCTGAAAATTGAAGAATCTGTGGAGTTGTAGTATAGAAGATTTCGGTGATTTACTAGGATTATGGTGAATTCAAAGAGATAACGAGGGATTTGCAGTAATAAAGAGAGATATCAATGGATAATTAATGTTGCATAGGGGGTGTTAATACTATTGAGGGGATATAAAGAGATATGAGCTAGTTCACCAAAATTCTACCAAAATTGAGCGTAAAAATATTTTTCTCTGTTTCACTTTTCCTCTATTTCACTCCAATGAGAGTCAAAATCTTTGGCTGCGGCGCAAAAATGGAAGAAATCTGACTTCTTGACCTAAAAATTCTCAAAATTTTCGCCTGCGGCGCTAGTAAGGCTTCTTTACCTTCCAAAATTTTCAATATTTGTCTATGGTGCAAAAAATCGGAATTTTTGGCGCCGAAGGCGTTAAAAATTTTTGAAATTTTTGGAAAATTTTTTATTGATAATTCCCGACTCCCGATCCCGACTCCCGAGGTCATTTCCCGACCCGATTCCCGGGTTTTTTCTTCTCCCGAGCATCACTACTACCAGGCATCTTTAAAAAATCATAACTAAGGGCAGGGTTTTTCAATTTTGTTCAAATTTTGTGGAGATTTATTTTAAATTTGAGAATTTTTGGTTTCATATTCCAAAAGTTATAGGAGAAAAACAGGCGAAAGTGTCGATTTTTGTGATATTTTTGCTCATAACTTTTTTTATATTGAACCTAAAATTCTGAAATTTTTAGAATTGTTGGATATGACTATTGGAGATATCCATGCAAAATTTCAAGTTTCTAGCTTCATTTTTGACATTTTTATAAAGCTTAAATTCCTTAAGATCGCGCACTTTAACATAGACAAATTTAAAAATTCTTTTTAATTAAAATTTATTTTCTATTTAGTTATTATTAGACCAAATCCAATTAGGAGAACAACTTACTTTAAGTGTTTCAATTTTATTAAAAAGTAAAGCTAATTCTTCAATTTTATTGGAAACACCAAGTTCTAGTCAAGAACATTTTGTTTTGTTAGCTAATGGTAGAATATTTTTTTACAATTAAGTTTTACAATTTGTAAAAAAAAGTTTTTTATAAATTTACAATTTGTAAAAAGAGGTTTTATATATTTTTACAAATTGTAAAATATGTTTTTATATATTTTTTACAATTTGTAAAAAAGGTTTATATATTTTTACAAATTGAAAGATATGTTTTTATATTTTTTTTACAATTTGTAAAAAGAGGTTTTATATATTTTTACAAATTGTAAAATATGTTTTTATATATTTTTTACAATTTGTAAAAAAGGTTTATATATTTTTACAAATTGTAAGATATGTTTTTATATTTTTTTTACAATTTGTAAAAAAGGTTTTATATATTTTACAAATTGTAAAATATGTTTTTATATTTTTTTTACAATTTGTAAAAAGGTTTATATATTTTTACAATTTGTAAAATCTATTAAAACTTCTTTCACGATTTGTAAAAAGAATTGTAATATTTTTATAAATTTGTAAAAAAAAGTTTTGTAAACCTGAACCCAACTTAATTTGAAACTTACTTTAAAAATTAACTTGGACATTTGAGTATCTATTAAAATTTAATTTTTTAAAATTAATAATTTAATTGAATTAAATTTTTTAAAGGCTGGAAATGTCGTTATCGTTCATCAATATGTCCTCCCATAAATTCAATAAGCTCCAAATCTATTTGTGAAAATTTTCCAAAATCTGCAGCAAATCAAAAAATACAAGAAGAAATTAAAACAACAACTTTAATCCCTTCTATGCAAAATAAACAAATTAATAACAATATTAAAATGGATGCTAATATGGTAAAGAAAAATTATTTTTATAAAAATATTTTTTTAAATTTAAAGGCAACAATATTTTTTATTTTTGGTACTGCAATAGCTTTGGCTATTTTTCTCTTATTTTTGTGTATGTTGAGAAGGTAAATTGAAAAAAAATAAACTTGAAACAAATACCAGAATTACAAATTGTAATTAACGAAAAAATAAGCTTGAATTACAAATTGTAATTAACGAAAAAATAAACTTGAATTACAAATTGTAATTAACGAAAAAATAAACTTGAATTACAAATTGTAATTAACGAAAAAATAAACTTGAATTACAAATTGTAAATTTTTTACAATTTGTAATTCTGGTTTCAAAGTATAAATAAACTTGAAAATAAATAAACTTGAAATTACAAATTCTGATTTTAAATTTTCTTATTTGTGATTCTGATTTGTAAAACTTAAATAAACTTGAAGCAAATGCAAAGAAAAATATAAACTTGAATTACAATTTCTGATTTGCAAACTTTTTATTTGTTCTGAAATAAGTTTTTCTTTAATTTGTAATTCTGGTTTAATTAAAGCTTGAAAATAAATAAACTTGAATTAGTACAAATTCTGACTTTAATTTTCTACAATTTGTAATTCTGGTTTGCAAAAAAATTTTTATTAATTAATTAACTTGAAACATTTAAAAATTAAAAAGTACATTTGAGTCTCCGTTAAAAATAAAAAAATAACTTTTTTTATTTTTTAGTCGTTGCCCTCTCTTCAAAACATTTTTACTATTTCATTCTAATTTTAAACAACAAAAAAGAAGACCAAAATTTTCAGAAAATGGGAAAATAGTGAACGGACAGGAAAGAGTGTCGCTTGTTCCAAAGACTGCTGCAGGTGAAAAAAAATTTTTTTTTGAAAATTTTGAGGGAAAAATTTTTTTTCTAATTTTTTAAATTTTAATTTATTTATTTTCTGATGGAAAAATAAATTATTTAATTAAAAAAATATTTTTTTCAAATTTTCAGAAAATAGCAGTATTTTACTTCCCCCAATAACTATAGGGGAAGAATTATTTTCTAATGGAGTAGAATTAAATAAACAACAACAATTAAATAATAATTTATTAAATAAAAATAAATTAATAAAAAATAATATTTGTGAAGAAACAACCTCAACAACATTAATTAGTGTTTTAGAATTTGATGATTATTTTGAAAAAATGTCGAATAATGAAAATGCTGGATTTAAAAAATTATTTAATGTAAAAATAAATTTTTTTTCTTATTCAGAAATTGAAAAAAAATTTTTTTTTCAAAGGAAATTGAGTCTGAAACAAGAACAACAACAAATTTATTATTAATTAATAATTGTGATAATGAAAAAAATAAAAATAGGTAGAAATTTAATTAAAAATAAATTTTTAATTAAAAAATAAAATTTAAATTATTTAAAAAAAAGATATACTGATATTGGGGCATTCCCAAAAGAAAGCAGAATAAAACTCTATTGTACAGAAAAAGAACGCTATATTAATGCAAACTTTGTTGATAGTTGTGATGAGAAACATGCTTATAGTTAAGTTTTGTTTAAAATTGTAAAGATCAGAATTTACAATTGTAATTTTGTAAAATAAGTTTATTTTTAAAAATAAACTTGGAGATCAGAATTTATTTTTCTAAAAAATCAGAATTTGTATTTTTTTACAAACCAGAATTTCCAACCTGAAATACAAACCAGAATAAAAGAAAATACAATTGTATTTTTAAAAACCAGAATTTATTTTTAAATAAACCTGGAAATCAGAAATTGTATTTTTAAAATTACAATTGTAAAAATTAAAAATCAGAATATTTTTATTTTTATAAACCAGAATTTGCAACTTTAAATACAAACCAGAATAAAATAAAAAGTAATTGTATTTTTACAAACCAGAATTTATTTTTAAATAAACCTGGAAACTAGAATTATTTTTAAAAATACAATTGTAATAATTAAAAATCAGAAATTGTATTTTTTTTAAAAAACCAGAATTTATTTTTAAAAATACAACTGTAATTCTTAAAAATCAGAATTTGTATTTTTTACAAACCAGAATTTATTTTTAAAAATACAACTGTAATTCTTAAAAATCAGAATTTGTATTTTATAATTTAAAATATATTTTTAAATCAGAATTTTTTTTATTCTTTCTGTATTTTTTAGTAGCTACCCAGGCCCCTTTACCTAACACTTTTGGCGACTTTTGGTTAATGGTATGGCAAGAAAAGTGTCAATTATTAATTGCTATAATTAATATGGTTGAATGTGGATTTAGAAAATGTGATCAATATTGGCCTGAAGAAATTGAAGAAAAAATTTTGATAGAAAATTTTTGTATAAAATTAGTGGCTGAACGTTCAAATTCTGTTTTTACTCACAGAGTTTTAGAAATTAAAAATAATTTGATAGAAAATGGAGAAGAAGAAAATATTAGAACAATACATCAATTACATTTTATGGACTGGCCGGTAGAATTTATTATTTAAAAGAAAATACAAAAATCAGAATTCGTAAAATAAACTTTAATATAAGAAAAAATTGTATTTTAGTAAAATCAGAATTAAATAATATAAATAAACTTGAATTACAAATTCTGGTTTGTAAAAGGAAAATTAATTTCAAGTTTATTATTTACTTCTAAAGAAACTTTTACAAACCAGAATTACAAACAAAAAGTTTTAAAATCAGAATTTGTAAAATAAACTTGAAATTACAAATTCTGATTTGTAAAATTATTTTGTTGTGTTTCTGAAATAAGTTTTAGTTGATTTGTAATTCTGTTTTGTATATTAAATAAATAAACTTGAATTACAAATTCTGATTTGTAAAAGCTTCTTTGCCACTAAATAAATAAACTTGAAATTAAATATTTTAAAGGACAAAGGAGTCCCTTCAACCCCATTTCCTTTGCTTCACTTTATTAATTATGTTGCCGATTTACATTGTTCTTCACAAAATCAAGATGTTTCTTCTTCTACTCCCTGTGTAGTTCATTGTAGTGCGGGTATTGGAAGATCCGGTTCATTTATTTTGGTGGACTCTTTGAGAAGACATTTGGTTTGTTTGAGTCTTGAAAAAATTTTCAAAAAAATTCAAAAAAAAATTTTTTTAAAGCTTTTTTGTGACCGTATTGATGTTAGCGAACAATTAAAAAGGATGAGAAAACAAAGAATTCAATTAGTCCAAACACTTGAACAATTTGTATTTTGCCATGAGGTGAGAAGAGAATTTTCTTTTTATTTTTAAAATAATTTTTTTTCTAAAGGTTCTTAAACATTTGGTTTCGAATGGGATTACTAGACGTGAGTTTATTTTTGGAGTTGTTAAATTTTGTGGGGTTTCGAAAAAAGTTTTAGTCTCTATTTAGAGGACAGTTGAATCTCAGTCTCTGAGGCACATTTTTACGCCATAACTTTCTTAGTTTTGAAGCAATCCGAATAATTTATATATCATTCGAAAGCTCTGACTTTTTTTAACCTTTTTCCTTTTGACAATTTTCAATTCTGATTTTTCCTTAAAAAGTTATGAGGAGTTAAGTGTGTAAAATCGTGATTTTTTCTGCTTTTTAAACTCTAACTTTTTAATAATTGGTTGGATCGAATCGCTCCCAACACAAAAAAGAATCAGTACTCTCTGAGCTTTCGAATGATATATAATTTGTCCTGAAAAGTTTTCAAACAAAAGAAGTTATGACCTAAAAGAAAGGTCTTATTCTTGGACCGGTTTGTGAGACTCTAATGTTCCGATTTTACAAAAAAATGCTTAAAAATCTTTAAAAATTTTTAAAAAATTTTTTAGAACCTCGAACACATTTTCCCAATTATTGCCAATTTTTATTTACCAAATTAACACCAAATGGACAAAGAAGAATATCAGCACAAGCCCAGACTCTAATATGCAACAAACACATTGGGAAAGAATTAAATAATAATAATAACAACAATATTTTCCCTAATTTTATTCCACTTGCTGGATATCATAAAAATGAAGAATTTATTATTTTAAATAATAATTTTAAAAATTGGCAAGATGACATTTGGCAAAAAATTTGGATGGCCAAGTGCAAGGTGGGTAGGATTTGTTTAATTTTTTTGGTGGACGGTTGAGTCCCGCCTTTCCAGCGGGAGTAGTTACCCCCCCCCCCCCCATAATGTCTCAGTAACTTTACACGAATATTATCTTCTATCCTTAAACTTTTCACACATTTTATCTTCAAACTCTTAACTTTAAGGTAATTTTACCTTCTAATCCCTAACTTTACATCAGTAATATCTTTTAGTGCTTAACTTAGCAATTTTACCCCCAAAATCTACATCAATTGTTTCTTCTATTGCTTTACACTAATTCTATCTTCTAATCCTTAAGTTTACATCAATATTATTTGTTTGTGCTTAACTTTACATAGAAGATAATATTCGTGTAAAGTTACTGAGACATTATGGGGGGGGGGGTAACTACTAGCGGGAATAATCTTGTTATGTCCGAGGGTTGTACGAAAGTCGACGTGCAATAGATTAACAATTTATCCAAAGAGAGAAATGACAATGTGTAGGCGAAGGAATAAAGTTGGAACAGACGAAGGAGATCAGGGACTAGCCGGGCTAGTATATGATCCAATTAGACTGACGCCTAGCGTGGCTTTTATAGTAGTGTCACCACTACACAACAAATCTGCTCCATACCTTTTTGAATATCAACCTGTTCAGATACAATCATCCTAATTTGTATAACGAATAACCGAATCTTATTAAGTTTTTTTTTAAAAAAAAGCACATTTCAAAGATTTAAAATGACATAAAATTTATTCAAATCGGTTGATATTCAAGAAAGTTATTTAAAATCTAGCTGATGTGAGAGTGAATGCTCTAATGTCTCTTTTTTATAAATAGAGCGATTTTTTTTAGAAATTTTTATTTTTTTTTCAGTCTTTAATTGTACTGGATTCGAATAGTATAGACCCGACTACATCCCAATCCAACTTGTCAGATTTATTTAATAACCTTCAAGAAGGGGAAAATCATCAAAACCAGAAACAATTTTTAATTAAATTTGATTCCAAAAAGGAAGAAATTTTATTAAGATTAAATGGAGAAGAAGGAGAAGAAGGACCCTGTTTAATTCTAAAAATTTCAAGAATTTTTGTTTCAAAATTTTTAAATAATCCGTGGATGGAAATTGAAAGTTTACAATTAAAATTAAAAAATCAACATAGAGAAACTTTGGCTATTGTGGAATTGCCTTCAAAGGAAAGACCTAATAGCAATACTTCTTCTACTCCTTTTCTTTTTTGCGCATTCCAATCCATTGCTTGTCAACTTGAACAGGAGGTGAGGCATTTGGTCATTTACCCAATATTAGGGTCATTTGGTCACTTACCTAAAATTATGTCACTTGGTCACTTACCCAAAATTTGGTCATTTGGTCGCCTATCCGAAATTCTGTTGTTTGGTCATCTAACCAATATTTAGTCATTTGGTCGCTTACCCAAAATTCAGTCATTTGGTCGCCTACCCAAAATTCAATCATTTGGTCGCCTCCCAGAATTCTGACATTTGGTCGCCTACCCAGAATTCTGACATTTGGTCGCCTACCCAAAATTCTAACATTTGGCCGCCTACCCAAAATTCTGATATTTGGTCATCCACCCTATTTTGGTCATTTGGTCGTTTACCCGATATTTGTATCATTTGCTTTCCCCATTCTTTCTTATTTGATACCGCTTATCAAATAAACGAAATGTTCATTTTAATATCTCGTTTTCCAGGACGCCGTGGATGTTCTATTATGGCTTGCTTCATATAAACATGCCTATTGTTGTTGTTGGACAAACTTGGTGCGTTCATTAACAGTATTTTAAAAATTTAATTTTTTAGCGTGAAATTGAAATGATATATCAAAGGGTTTTGGAACTTGTAGAATTACAACAAACTTTTTGTTAAAAATTTTGTTATTGTATATATATATTTTTTTTGTTATGTAAAAATATATTTAAAAAATTTTTACTAGTGTACTAATTTCGAAATTCGGTCCAACATTCGTGGCCATTTTTTGAGCTTATTTTTACCGGACCAGGCCATACATATAAGCCTTTTCGGGTCTAATATCCTATGCCAACTCGATCTTTCGGATCGAGTCGATTTTGACAAACCTAATTTTAAAAAGCCAACAAAAAATTTTATTTCAATGATTTTTATTTTCTTTTACCAAACAGAAAAAAAATAAATGGGAATTACAAATCCTAACAAGTGGGTGACATTAATGGAATATATATTTTCACAATTTAGAAGGATGTAAAAATGACTTTTAGAATATTTTTTATATTATTATTCTCATCAATTCACACCCATTCTTATTGTCATCTCTCACTCAATCATCAGCTTTTTAGGGCTGTTTTCATTAGTTATCACATTGCTCTTCCAACATTTTTTGGCGCACCAACATGTTGTAGTCGGACAAGAAGCTGTCGAGCAAATCGTCTGGACTGGAAAATGAAAGAAAAAATTTGTGAAAAAAATCAGAAAATTTAGTGTTTACATCAATTTGAAGAAGGCGTCCGCACTTTTGGCTTGCAAAGCCAACTTCCTTACTTTTTTACATAGCTTTAGAGCTTTGGAAGGGGAATAGTAGGAATCTGAAAATTTAAAATTTTTTTGAAGAGTCCTTTACAAAATCCACACCTTCAAGTGTGCGTGTTCCCAAAAGGCCAGTAGACGCCGATCTAGTTATTGTTGGAACTGATTGAGTGCTCGTGGAGTTGACATTTCCGGTAGACGCCGATTTAGTGAAGAAGTCGTCGAATGAGGCAAAGGGTCTAGCAGAGTATTCCAACAATTGCCCTGAAAAATTTTTTGAAGGTGTTTAGAGGAGAATTTGTTTAGTTTTTACATTTTTCCGGATCAAGCTCTTCCATTGTATGCACACGACGTTCCCAAGACCAAGTAACATCAGCAACAGAACTACACCACTCTTTTTCCAAGAAGTCCTTTTCCAAGAAGTAAAACTTTTTATGCATGGTAGTCGGAAGGCAAGTCTTTGTAGGATTGATATCTGAAAATTGGAGGAGATTAGAGGGAAAGAAGCTTTAAAGAAATTACCCTCAAGTGAACCTAGCAGAGGCTCAAGACTAAAGTTTTCAGATGACTGGCCAAAGTAGTCGTCAGAAGATGATGTCAAATTGCTGGCTGCCTGGTCGCTCCTAAAGTTAGCGGTCACAGCATCAAGTGAAGTAGGAGTGAGGTAGTCGTAGGACCTGACAATGAGTCGGCGGCTAGAGCAGGAAGGACGGCCAATGGCCTCAACAGAATACGATGACACTTAAAAATGTTTTAACTGAAGGTAGAAGTCGAAAATTTGCAGCTTACGTTGTTCCTCTTCCTCTTCGTCACACTCCTCCAAGGTTTCCAACTTGGACTTTTTAATCGAGAAGGCAGTGTGTCTGTGGCCAGTTCTAGCTTCGCAGTCAGCAATAAACTTCATCACTTCAGGGGAATACTCGAAGAGAGCTGGGCAGGATTTGGTGTGATGACATCCAGAAAAGCAGTCATATTGCGGCCCTACACGACGACAGGATCTACGCGATGGTGGTTTCTTCCTATCGCTGAGAAGGTGATGCGCGCTCTGGGCCCAGAATGCGTGGCCATCTAAAGAATCAGATGAATAAGCGAACTTCCTTTAGTTAAACTCTTACGTTTCTCCAGGAAAGCAAACTTCCTCTGACGATAGTTGAGCTGTTCTTTCTGCTCCTCCTTCTGCACAGATTGAGCCGGAACAGGGTTCTGGTTCACCCGATTGTCGAATCGTTGACGCAATTCTTGCATGACACTCGTCAGATCTTCTGCTGTCGTTTGCGATTGTTGTTGCTTCGGGTCGAACTCGGCAAGATGTTTGTCAGAGCAGGCATGTTGATCATTGGTCCCATCGCAGTACTCAGACGCTTAAAAATAGGATTATTTTGAATGTAAAAGACGAAATTTGCTTACATCTATCCTCATCATCAAGATTCTCAATGGTTTCCCGCTTGGACTTTTCTTTCAAAAAATCCGGGACAAAATCAAATTCAGCAGCTATCTTCATCTCTTCAGGAGAATACACGAATACAGATGGGCAGGACTGGGTGTGCTGACAACAGCCATAAAGACAATCATATTGAGAGCTTGGACGGTCACACCACTCCTCCACCGGGAACAACTCCCTGTCGTTGAGAAGTTCTGTCGCGCTCCGCATCTGGATCCGTTCAATAATATCCCCTAAAAATAATAAGGCTTTAAACAGAATTGGTTAGTGAATGGATCTCACATCCTAAACGCTTTTGACACTCCTCCCAAAAAGCCTGCCTCCTCTGAAAGAAGCCAAGCTGTTTTTTCTGCTCCTCCTTCTGCACAGGCTGAACTGGCACATCGTCCGGGTCCGTCGGTTTGTCGAATCGTTGAAGCAATTCCTGCATGACGCTCGCCAGTTCCCCTGCTGTCGCTTGCGGTTGTTGTTGCTTCGGGTGGCAGCAGTTGTGTGTTGGAGACGACATTGTAGTTTAGTCCTGTCGATGAGTGGCGTGATGATAGACAAAGGAACATGCTGAACATTTCACTAAAACTGCTTTTATAACCCCTAAATTTCTTTGCTTTGTTTTCGATCTTCCTCTTGATATACTATAAAAGCCCCCACATTTCATTCATTTCCACCAGCTCTACAAAATAATCATCGCAACTCATCGAACGTCTACATCGTCTACTGCATCTCTAAATACTCATTTGCTGCCTTCCAATGGACCTCGACACCGGACCCAGGACCAGAAAGTCGTCAACGCTGTGCTCTCTGCTGCTGCTGCTCACCATCGCCGCACTTGCAGTTCCCGGACAGGTCAACAGCGAAGAAGTCGGATTCGGCAAGCACACAAAGAAAAACGACACAGTGACGCTCGCCGACTACACCACAATTGCCACCAAGACGAACTTCGACCTTGCTGATTGTAACTTCAGGAAGCTGTATCCGGACGCCTGCGATGTTACAATCGAAGACGACTACATGTGAGGACTTTTTTTTCCTTTTTAAGACATCGTAACTGACATTTTATTTTGTTTCAGCGAGCTTCGGTACAACAACGGCAGCAAGGGATGCACTGTGGATCTTCTCAGCAAAGACGCGTCGAACAACAGCACGATCAAGTTCACGGCCGGAGTGCGAAACATAAAAGGAGGACTCAGCAAATGCCTTGACGTTGGTCAAAACCTCGACAATAGCTATAACAACACGTGAGTTTTTATTTCCTTATTCTATCTGAAAGTTAATTTCTGTTAGTTTATCCTAATCTTTATAGCCTGCCTTTCGTCTACAGCGTCAACAACTCGGTCATCGAAAAGCTCAACAACCGTCAGTACAATCCAGGCGCACAGTGTAATGTAGCTTGCCAAGCCATTAATGGAAAATGCATGCGGAATACATCACTTCAAGTCTCATGGAGCCAGTTGGGTGGCAATGTCTATGCTCACACATATCTAAGTAAGAGGCCTGTTTGTTTTTATTTTTCTTAAATTATTTTAGTTGGTGAGGACAAAAGACGAGGCTTGAGTCAGTCCAAAGCGCCTGTGCGTGAGAATATGACCCTGGACTTGGTGCTAAACACTGCGAGCGGATTCACGATGAAGTATGCAGGGGACAAGTGGTTCAATGCTTCGGATGGAGCTGTCTGCGTTCCAGAGTCAACTCCACTCTTCGAACCCAAAGCATGGACCATCACTGATGGGGAGCACAGTGGCAAACATCTGCTCGTCTTCAGCCTGCTTCGACAGAATGCTGCATATACGTACAAAGAATACAACTTGACAGAGCCTCCAAACGGGCCGCATTGTGAACTCTTCGTCCGCTTTGTGAGTTTTCGATTCATTTTGTATAACCTGTCTAATAATTTTGATTTTCCGATTTTCAGAGTACATCCGACTACAGCCTTCTCTTTGTCGACAACTCTTCGACAACGACGCAGTCGACTACGACTACTGTAACGACCACAGCAGCGAAAACATCAGAGACGTCTGGAACGACAACATCTTCAGCGACAACTCCGCATACGACCGCCAACAACTTCACTTCCATCAGAACGACTTCTCAAGCAGCGACAAAGTGCCCAGAACAACGGGAGGAGGGTGGCGGAGTTCTCTACATTGCGATTGGCACTGCTGCTGCTGGCCTCTTTGTCGGGATCGTCATTGCAGTTTTGGTCTGGCTCTGGATGAAGAACAAGGCAGGAAAGAATACGAAAAAGGGAGGGAAGCAGGACGCCGAACGTGCAGAAGAAGAACGTCTGCTGGCGCTGTACAAGGCTGAGGAGAAGACCAAAGGCAAAGAGGCCATCGGGACATTTTCTGCATGGAAAAAGAATGTGAGTTTAAAAATATGAAAAAATACATTTAATCAACCTTCCAATTTTTTCAGAGAAAGGAGAGCGAAACGAAGACTGCGGTGGAGCTGACTTCAATCGACGACCTGATCGCTGCAACCTGGAAGAGAGTGGAGAAGAAAAAGGCCATGGACAAGCTGCAGTACCTTGTGGATCAGTTCGAGAAGCAGAAGGACAATGAACTCTTCGAGCGGGAATACACGCCGGAACTGAAAAAGAAGGGACTTGCAGCTGTCGGGTCTTTCGAGAAGTGGAAAAAGGTGAAATTTTAAACATTTTTTCTCTCTCTGAATCTCAGCTAATCCTCCCAATTTTTATTTTCAGAGCAAGAACATTGCGGCGACGTTCACCTTGAACGATGGGACAAGGACGGCGATTGAATACGAGCAGCCAAAGGTCATCGAGAAGATCGTCGAGAAGGCTGAGAAGTGGACAATCGAGGAGGGGCCGACAATTGAGGAGAGGGAGATAAAGGAGGCGAATAGAGGCGCTGTGGACGGTGTTGATGTTCCAAAGACTGAGGAGGAGGAGGAGGTTGATGATGGGTGGATTCCGCCGGAACAGAATAATAACCCGAGAGAGGAGATATAGTTGTGATAAATTTGTGTCACCGTATATTGTTCTCATTGTATGTATTGTATATTTCTTGTTGTTTGTATTGTATTTGAATTGTTGTATTCAATTGTATTTTTGTGTGTAGATAAATTGTATTTGTATTCTTTATTTGATTCGGTAAATTAGGGAAATTAAACCCTGCTTTCCTTTGAAATATTTTTTTGTTTTCAACTGGCCGTTCCGCGTTTAATCCTTTTGGACAAAAAAACGCGACTCTCACTTTTTCAAAGAACACGCCCAAAAAGGCGCGAGGCCATACGGCGCAAAGCCATAACTTGCTGAAAAATTTCTGGCCCTTATCAATTTTAGTACCAATCTCTTTATTTCGATGAGGGGAATCGTTTAATACTAAATTTGGTAAGATTCGGAAATTTTGAAGTAAGTTATGGCTTTGCGCCGTTATGGCCGCGCGCCTAATTGGGCTGTACCCCTTTTTCAATTTTTTTACCTTTAACTTTTCTTCCTAGACATTCCACTTGATTTTCTGATGGATTTATTACATCCTCCTTTACAACCACTCCAAATTCACCCAAATATGAATTCTGTGGAGGACCAGTTTAAAAATTTTTCTAGACGTGCTCAACGTATTTGCCATGGTATTTTTTCAATTTTAATTTAAAACACTATTTTTAACTTGCAGAAAACGAAAGAAGCAATCTTCTCGCATTGATGAGATTAGTGCTAAATTCTCTTTTGGACGATCAGATTCGAGGCACTCGAATATTGGACTTGGTAGAATCTCAAGTAATTAGTGATTTCTTCATTATATTCGAAAAGTGCCTTTGGCATGGTTTTAAAGTGCCAGGTTTGTTTTTAATTTTAAGGCTTTAAATCGGTAATATTGTCGTTTATCAGACCCATTTTTGCTCCTTTTTTCAAGGATCAATCCTCTTCGTTTGTTAACGGGAGATCCAGTCCCGAACAGACATGCACGAAACGTTTCGTTTCGTTGTTTCGTTAGTTTCGTTATGTTTTTTACTGTTTCGTCTCGTTTCGTGACGAAACAGTTTTTAATTTGTTTCGTTTCGTTTCGTTAACGAAACACCTGTGTTTCGTTAACGAAACATTACCTATTTTTTAAGCCAAAATATTACCCAAAAACTGAAAAAATTTTCCAGTTGGTTATGAAAATTTAAAAAATTTTTGCCTGCGGCGCTGAAATCTGAATTTTAAGCGCCTACGGCGCATAATTTACTATCTTTTTTTGATTTTCTCGTTTGATTTTATGTTTTTAATACGCAAAGTTCGAATTCTATTGAGATAGGCATATAGAATGGGTCTACCTCTTAATGCCAATCCGGGGCGGGCGCAAGAGACAATGAATAGGGTTGCAATGGTGGTATATGAAATTAGGAGAGAGTAAACGCTATATCGGTGAATTTGGAGAGTTTAAAAAATTAAATAAAAATGTCGAGAATTAGCAACGGGTTTCATGAATAGTAATTTCCGACAAAATGAATTCTCGGTTTTAGGGAATCAGGATTCAGGTCAGCGGGAGATCAGTGCTGTGTCTTGGCATTTGTTGGCTTCAGCTCCGGCTCCGACCTTTCTCAAACATTGACTCCGGCTCCGGGCATTTCAATTTCTTGGCTCCGGCTCTGAGGTTTTCTAAATCTAAGCTCTGCCGTAGCCCGACGCCGGCAAGAGCCATACACAGCACTGTCCTCGATATACAGTTGCTCAACATATAATTCGATTGGAGCTGAGTTGGCGGAACTAAGGCTGGTACATATAGTGGATTAGGAGGGAACACGCGAAAATTTTGGAGCTTGGGACCAAAATTTAAGGTCACACAAAGCTATGAGATCATATATAGGTCATATCTGGCCTATTAACGTGTTTAAAAACGAATAAATAAGAGAATAAAACCGTTTTTCTTAAATTTTTTTGAAAATTACAATGTTTTGTTTTGTTTCGTTTCGCTAAATTTCTACTGTTTCGTCTCGTTTCGTTAACGAAACGATTTTTAAAAAATTTTGTTTCGTTTCGTTTCGTCTGAAAAAATTTTGGAGTTTCGTGCATGTCTGGTCCCGAATAGGGTTGGGGTTTTCGAGTCGGGCCGACGTTCGAGTTTTTTTCGGGTCTCATTTTTACCGAACGGCTCGACCGAGTCTTTTTTGGCCGAAATTCGATGTCCGACTTGACTTTCGGATCGTTCCCCCAACCCTAATCCCGAATGATGCTGAGGCAATCGAGTCTAGTTTTACTTTTAAATCCTAAGGCAGACCTTCAATTATCAAGTAAATTCCTTGACAATCCCCCCTCCACATTTAAGTGTGTCAAAGCCTTTGTGGTTGATTTAATTACTCCAAAAAATACAAAAATGGGGAATTTGTGAAGTTAATAAAGCAAGTCTGGCAGTTATTAAACCTTAATGAAAAAGACTAGAAGGAAAACGAGGCCAGTAAACGAGAATATTACCCTCTAACTCTCTTAAATTTCCAAGTTTTAGCTTCTTCCCTAATTGGCAGAAGAAAACTTCCAGAAACAGAGATGTGGGAATTTGTTGGTATTGCAAGCAAATCGAACAAAGAAATGGAAGATTTGTATAATAGTTTGGGTGGAATGAGTACTTTAAGGTTTTTTAAATTTATTTTTGAAAAATTTCTTTTTTAAATAGATCAGTGTTAAGCAAATATAGAGGATTTTGGCGATTGGCTTTAATGCAAAAAAGACTGGCGGAATATCTTTTATGTCTCTATGAGTGCCCAAAGAAAGAGTAAGAATGTTTTTGACAATATTATTAATTTTTAGGGAAGGTCTTTGGGGGTTTGTTTCTTCTTGTAGGAGAACTAGGCCTCTTTTTCTTTTAGGAGAATGGCTGGGAAAACCAGGAAGGTCAAAAATGCCTGGGCCAAGACTCTTGGTACAGGAAAAACCCAGGCTTTGTCCAGACCCAGGCCGATCTCTATTATATACTTTTCGGAGTCTAATTCTCTTTCCCCCTAATTTTTCACGTTTTAAATTTTTGACTCTTTTTGGGTCTTTTAGTCTTCCAACTTAACAATAAATCAATTTTTTAGCCAATTCTACGAGCCATGGGCGCTAATTAGAAGCGAAAGTTGCAGTTTTCTTTGTGGCGCTTTTTTATCTCTAAATGTTTTTGATAGCAATTTGCTTGTTGAGGAAGACGCACTTTTGGTTTTTTTAATTCTTTAGAATTTTCCCAAAAAATTGTTTTAAAGGAACAAATCAATTCTTTTGATTTAACTCCATATATTCGTCTACCAACTTTGCCTGGGCATTTCCCCGAAGCTTTCGATAACGATAAAGACTGTTCGATTACTACAGAAGAGGAATATACTGATTTGAGGACTATATTGGATCAAAAACAATATTTGGAAGAAAGGAATAGACAATTAAGGTTGGTAGTTTGACTGCTTAAAAAGAGGGTTAGACTCAATCCAGTCAGGCCCGTATCCAGGATTTTTTTCGGGGAGGGGGGCCAAAGGGGAAAATTGGCTACGGGCCTGATTTGTCTAATTCCGACCTCGAACCTCCAACAACTTTTGGCTAAAAATTTGACCTCGAAAGTCTCAACCCCTACAAAATCCGATATAGGCAAAACCCCAACTTCGAGTTCTTTTGACTATTGGACCGAGACGGCCCTGCCTTAAAAATGTCATTTAATAAGTTAATAATTTTTAGTGCTAATATAGAACAACTAAAAATTAAAGTTGACAAATTTTCTAATGGATGTTCTACAAATGAGGTGGTGAATTTTTTGTAAAATAAGATAAAGGCTTTGGCATTTAATTGGCTTTAAATTCGTTTAAATTTTTTTAAAAAATTTCTATTTTTAGACTTTGTTTAGAAACGATTCTTCACTAATTTTTACTGAACGTTTGAGGGATTTGGAACGTGAAAGGGACATTCTCAGAGCTAGACTGGCAGAAAAAGAGGACAGTTTAGCAATTAGGTATTTTGTTAAAAATGGTATTTGTAGAGATTGGGTCCGTTAAGTTTTTAGATGTTTTTTTTCAATTTTAAAAACAAATTGAATATCCGAAAAGACTTCTAGCTGTCGAATAGTGCAAATTTTTTCAAAAAAAAATTTTTTTACAAAAATTTCCAGGGGAGTACACCCCATGGTACCGCAGAACCTATAACTTGGTTCAAAGTTTAATGAGTCCTGGAAGCCCTTCTATGCCCCTCGACGAGCTGAATCGAACCATACCAAGGCGTCTCGGATTTGACCATTTTTAACGAAGTTAAGGCTCTGCGGTACTTTGGCAAGCTCCCTTTCCAGCGGACCTTCAATCTCTACAAATATCGTTAAAATTCAAGTTTAAAATTTTTTTTCTTTTTCAAGCCAAGACCAATTAAAAGGCACTCGTCGTTTTACCGAAGATTTGTACGAAAAATTAAAAGCTTCAGAATGTAAAATAAAAAGATTTCAATCAGATATAGAAAAAATGAAAGAATTAAATACTAAAGAGGTTAAAAATTTAAATGAATTTTTAATTTCTTTGGCAAAAAATTTAAAAAATGAGCAAATGGAGGAAGAAGAATGCTTCAAATTGGAATTTGTTAAAATTACAAAAATTTATTCTGAAACAATGGCTATGCTTAAAAATAAAAATGAGGAATTAAGTGCTGAAAGAGAAAGTTTAAATTCATTAAAAAGTGAATGTAATGAATTAAATGCTAAAATTAAGGTTTTTTGTTTTTTTAAAAAGGGAACATTGGGGGAAATATTTTATAATCCATTTAGAGAATGAAGGAAAATTCATTGTAAACTTTTACTTTTTTTCTTAGGTATTTTTGGAGAGTTTAATTCCACTCCTTTTCCTCTAACCTTTTTTCTTGAATAATTTTAAGGGGCCACGAGGTTTTGTAACATCCGTTAACTTTTTGGGTGGATCATTTTCTGGTTATTCCTTTCATAATAAAATGGACACAAATTAAAGCGGCCCACTCCCTATCATTTTCAGTTTCCGCGACACATTTTCTTCTTGTTTGCGATCCACGACTATTTATTGAACCTTTTTTTATTATTGTCTAAAGCTATAGTTTGGTTAGAAGTCGACAAAAATCGTTTTTGCAGGATCCATTATTAGGGATTTTTCTACTAAAGATCTGTTCGGGAACGGGATCACGTCCCGTGTTGACCTCTCTAATTCTGGTTAGTTATAGAAACTTCCAAAAACTTAACGAGTAATCCTAAGACCATATAACTTTCCGATTTGGAGGTAAGGCCGAAAAAGCCAAAAATTGCCAATAGAAAATAGACCCGCACTACACTATGGTATAAAAATAATTACGAAATTTTTGATGACAGTTCGATATGGTTCCTTGTAAGACTTGAAGTGAAATTTAAATTTTTAAAGGCTTTAACCAACATTGAAAGTGAATTGTTAGAATTAAAAGAAGATTATAGAAAATGTAAACAAGAATTGAGTGAATCAAAACAAGCATTACAAGAATTTAGTGAAGCTTTGAGTGAATCAAAATTACGTATGGTTGAATTAAAAGAAGAAATTATGCCTTTAAGTGATGCAAAATGGATAAAAGATAAAGAGGCTGTGCAGGTTTTTTGAGGGATTTTAAAGGAAATTTTTGAAAAAAATTTTTTTTTGTAGTGTAGACTTTGTGATATTCAATTCTCGGTAATTCAAAGAAGACATCATTGTAGGTAAAGGAGATTAATTTAAATATTTTTATTTAACAAGTGGCTTTTAATGCTTTTTTTTGGTGGCAAAGGCGTATCCAAAGGGGATCGGTTTCAGGGGCTAACATTGGGTGTGCGCCAAAATTTTGGCGTTTACCTCGGATACGCCCTTGATACTTAGGAGGTGTTGGTTACGTGAGTAGTGTTAATGATTCCTGGGAAATCTTGGGGTACTATTCGATTGACACTCAAACCAAAACGGGATTTAAAAAGGTTTGGGCCCCTCTCTTCGCGCAAGGTTTAGCGGGAAACACTCAAAACTTTGGGGGAAACGACTGCCGAAATCTTTGGGAACCAAGAATCGGACCCGATATCCAAACTGAAAAAATTTTCGGATAACGGGAACCGATCTCCTCTTCGCAGGACGGTGAATCGAAGAGGAGAACGAATGTAAGGGTTTATAACAGCTGGAGGAATATGCCAGTTTTCCCTTTTCTTTTTTTTTAACTTTACTCACACGTTTTAAACCGAATACGGGGAAAATGAAAAAATACAAGGAGGGAATCTCAAATCTTAAAAAACAAATTTTTTCTTCTCTACAGAAATTGTGGTCTAATATTCTGCAATTCGTGTAGTAGTGGACGTGTTAAATTACCATCAAATTACCATCCTGTTCGTGTTTGTCTAAATTGTTATCATTTACTTAGAAATCGACAACTTTCTATTAATTCAGTTTTTGACAGAAGGCAAATATGAGAGTACACAACAGATTAAAAAAAAATTTTTTTTTAGAGATCCTTTTAATTAGACCATTCGTCTTTTAGGAATCGCCTAAAAATTTTTTTTTAAATATTTTTAACCTTACTGTAAAATAGACGGAAAGAGCAATTCGTGCCCATTTCGGTACTTTATTAATATCCCGCCCCCCACCCCTATTTGAGTCTCAGATTAAATTTCCTTTCCTTTACTATCAATTATTTTCTCCTTCAAACATTACAGGTAAAAGGCAAATATTAGGTAGGAAATAATAGGCGGTAACCGCAAAAATGTGTCTAACGGCAAAATTTAACATTTATAAAGAAAGAAATTTGACCGTTCCGAGGCAGGAAAAATAAAAAGGAAAATTAATTTGAGACTCAAATAGGGGTGGGGGGCGGGATATTAATAAAGTACCCCCATTTCAATGTTGGAAGATACTCGACGCGGACGACTGTCAAGCGTCGAGTCTAATGTGGGATTGGTGTTAGAGACCAACCAAATTTTTTTAAACTAGGTAATTTAAAATTAGGGTGGGTATTAGTAAAATAATTCGGACTGTAACTTTTGTACTTTTATTTTTTTTTTACTTTTTTTGACGGAAAAAATCACGTGATATAAAAAAGTTAAAGGCGCCTCCTAATATTTTTTACATATTTAGGACATTAATTATCAATTTTTATTTTGCTGTGATTTTTCATTTTTTGTAGCCTAAAATTTGAAAATATTCCAAAAAAAATTCTCGATATTTTATAGTTATGTATGAGTCGTGATCGGAATTTTGTACAGTAATACCGTATAATGCCGATGAAATTAAAAAGTTTGCCGTGCCGTATTACCGACTGTGATACCGACTGTAAATACCGAGAAATACCGACAATTTTTCTTCGGTGCCGTGTTACGGCACGGAAAATTTTTTTTCGTACTGTACTATCGATACAAAATACCGATAAACAGACTAGGATACGGATACTAATTTTGGTATCCGGATATTTACGGCGGATACAGACGGATATCCGCAGGCATTTTTATAATATCTGTATCCGTATCTATGTCCTAGTCTGCCGATAAATACCGATAAGAATATGGACGTAGTACGGTACGTTTAGATCACTATTTATGAGGAAACATGGTAGAAAGGAATAGAGATACTTGCGCGAATAACAACAACACCTTTGCGGATCACTTTACGGATCGTTAGTTAAATAAAATTGGGTTAAGAGAGATATGTCTAAAAGGATTGCGATAAAACACAGCTTTTTGTGATAGTTAAAATTAGTACACATGTAGTCTACAATTTTATCTGTTGGTGTTGTTGTTGTCTCGCAAATATCTCGTGCCACTTTTTTTATTTTTAATTTAATTTATTTCCCTCCTTTTGTTAATTTTTCTTTGTTTAACCAAATACTCTTTTCTGACTCAACTGACACCTTTTTAAAAAAACCAAATTTTGGTTTTAATTTTTAGTGATTATTAGTAGAGCTCGACATTTTCACTTTGCCGGGCCCGGTATCCGGGTTTTTTTCTTCCAACTTGACCCGGGCCGGGTTTTCCGGGCTAAAACCTCGAAAACCCGGAAAACTCGAAAACCCGGTTTTTTTACACCCGGGCCCGGACCCGGTTTTTTCAAAATTTTAAAAATGATCAAATTTTTGCTTTTTCGCTGAAATTTTTCTTATTTTAATAGAAACTAATTAAAATTTGGTATCAGCCTTCATCTATACGTGTTTATTCAAAGGATTTAGAGATATTAATGTGAATTTAACTGATTATGGGAAATATTGGTGGATTTGGGAGGATCTGGAGAGATTAGTAGGGATTTACAGAGATTAGATAATGCTCGATATACATCTAACTCCTCGTTATCCCTCTTATAATTATTTAATCTGGGGATTTGCTGGGGTTAATGTGGATTTGGAGGATTAAGGTGGATATCGGGGATTTACTTTGTTTGCGGGATAAAGTTACGCAATTTGAGTTAAAGCAATTTGAGTTAAGTAGCTTGTGTGTGGGTTGGCGCATATTTGCGTGTATGGCGGCAGAATCAGAGTCCCCTAATATAATGTTGTATTATAGGGAATATAGTGTTCTATAGGAAAAATATTTATAAAGTAATAAAAGCTAAATTTTTAAAAATCAAGTCTGTAAAAAATCATAGATATATATCATAAAGACAAAATATGATATTAGATTAATGATCAGTATGGTCGATAACCTAAATAAAATTATTTTCAGGAAAAAATAATAATTTTTAAGGTTCTCCCCAACTTTTCATCATTACCGAATAAGCGGCATATCGGTTATTTGGAAGGATTCAGGGATAGGTCTAGCGCCGCAGGCGAAAAATTTTAATTTTTGGATGTTTAATGAGCCAAAATTCATCAAAAAGTCAGAATATTTTACAAAATTTACTCGAAATTGGACCCGGGCCGGGCCCGGGTTTTTCAGATGAGACCCGGGCCGGGCTTCCGGGCTAAAACCTCGAAAACCCGGAAGCCCGGAAAAACCGGATTTTATCAAAATACCCGGTTTCCGGGCTACCGGGCCCGGAAAACCCGATCCCGGGCCCGGCCCGGGGTCGAGCTCTAATTATTAGGCTGAGTTGAGTTTTTCAATTTTTTATACTCAGAAATGGATAATTTATTGAAATGTGATTTAATTAAAAATCCTCATTTAAAAAAATTTTGTAAAAATTTTTTTTAATTGTAAAAATTTAAAGAATAATCGAGTCTCGTTGTGGTATACTCTCGGGTACGATTTTTTTGTTCTATTGGTTCGCCTTTGGTTGAAGGGAGATTCCTATAAACGATACCTCCTCCATTTTCTTGTTTTAATGGGTGTTGAGATTTCCAAGAGAGTTCTGACTACAAGAACCCCCAAGAAGAAGAGTATAACGAGATTCGACTTGGAAGAAAATTTTTTTAATAAATTAAATTAATTTTTACAGAGGAGTGCAATTCAACTATGTAGAATTTCAACAATTTTTTCATTTTTTTATAAAAAATTTTTTTCTCGTTATTGATTGATTTTTTAGTATAAAAATGAATAATTAATTGGAATTTTTAAAAATTGTTTGTATAAACTCTCGAATATTTTTAAAATTTATTTTTTTTTGTCAACATTTTTTTTCCCTTGTGTTTAATATGAAATAAAAAATTTCGCTGTAGTTTTTAAAAATGAAACAAATTAAAAATTGTTTTTAAATAAATGGGAGAGTTTGAAAATTTGGAAGGTTTGTGTTGGGAAAATTTTTTTGACCAAGTCGATAAACAATTTAATGAGGAGGAAGAGGATGTTGATGAAGGGGAGAGTAAATGGAATGGAGGAGGTTCGAATGAAATTGTTGCCTTTTCTGGCGTAGCAACATTGCCACACGATAGTAAGTAGAAGGGTGTTAAATGTTCAATTAAAATTTATTTGATTTCAAAGAGGCTGTATGTTATGGAGTTTGTACTGTTTCTCAAGTTCCGAAGCTGGTGAAATGCGAGGTTTCTTTTATTTTTAGAAATGTTGCTTTTTTGTCCTAGTAGAGCGTTTCGAAGAAAGAATTTCGAGGGAGAGGGTAGGGAATGGTCCCAGACCCAAGGGGCGTAGGTACGGAACATGAAGAAATGTTTTGGAACCAACACCAACTTTGCAATACTAAAAAATCCAATTTTTTTTATTGGACTCATAAAGTCAAGTAGAACCATGTTCTTTTTGTTAATAGACCGTTTCGGAGAAGGATTCCACAAAGTCGTCATTTCGACAAGTGTCAGTGACATAGGCAATAGTTTGACATTCCGATTAGTATAAAATCCGAGTTGTGTGTGTTAGAAATGAGAGTAAGAGTGTTGCTCTTTTTAAAGTTGTCAGAGAGTTTCGGAAAAAGGTCAAAAATCACGAAATCCAAATTTCGAAAAAAGATGGGGTGATAATGAGACAAATTAATTTTTGGACGACAAAAAATATTTTTTTAAAGGACTGCTCTCTTGTTGTCAAAATGGTCGGGTTCGGACACCACCGGAAATTTCGACACAGAGAAAGTCGTTTATTGTTGGCACGGCAATCAGTAAAAGATACGGAAGATTCTTCAAATTCTGATTCAAATGATGACTGTCAAGGCTTTCTTTTGTCACCCCCACATCATCATTTGTCTGTCCCTTCGACTTCTGAAGCTTCTTCAATTTTTGAAGGTCATCAATGGAGGACAACACATCCGTTAGATCCGAGGTTTGTGAAGTTTTGTTTGGAGATGAATTTTCTTATCCTTTGGGTGGGATATTGTTCTTTAGTTGGGGCGAACATTAACGCGTCATAATGCCAAAAAATTGAATTCCTTGTTACCCATAAGAACCTGCTTTTGAGCCACAAAAATAAGCTCTGGGACATTCCCTAGTTTTACGGGTTCTTGTATTTCGCGAATCATTAGAAATTCCGTAACTTCACGAAATGCCGATTCTCTTATGTGGGAAGATAATTTTGTGTATTCTCCGTTTTATAGGAGGAATATATATTCTCCGTTTTATATTCCATAGTCTACTCTTTTGGTAAAATACTTGGGTGTGCATTAGGGTTGTTCCCCGACGGGGGGGGGGGGGGGGGGGGGGGGGGGGGGGGGAGGGCCACGGGGAAAATTTTCGGGGAGTCAGCGCCACGGGGGGGGGACGGGGAATTTTCAAAAAATCTCTCAAATTCCCCGACTTTCGGGGACGGGGACGGGGAACAACCCTACTGTGCATGTTTCAGAATTTTTTAAAAATTATTTTATCTTTCAGCTCAAAAGCTTCTAGTTCGTCTTTAAAGCAAACTGCAGGACCAAACAAGCAACAACAACAACCTTCAAAAACAAATGAACCTCCTCGATTGTATGGGGTTGAAAAATGGAATGATCTCCGTCTTGTTTTGAAGAGAACACCAGAAAAAGTAACATTAGTGGCTTTTAGTTTAGTGGGATAGTTTTTGGTGTGTAGGCATGGGGTCGTGGGTTCGAGTCCGTCCGGCGTGCAATTATTTTTAAGGCTTATTTATAATAAATTATGGAATTCTATACCTGCCTAGGCATCAGAATAGAATTTATTTTGGTATTTTAAAGGTATTTCAGCTCTCAAAAATTTTTCTTTTTAGGCAGCATCACAAAACGCTGAAACAAATCAGCAGCATAATTCAATTAAAAATGCTGTTGAACAAGAAAATGTCGAAGATGTTTCCACCAAAAAATTGCGAAAACCTCCACCATCTAGAGCTATTGGGTCAAAAAGGAAACGGAAGAAAAAGACGAATAAACGAACAAAAGAATCAGACGAAGATGAGGAAATGGTTAATGTTGAAGATGAATCTCCCCAATCTGCAGGAAAAGTTTATCAAGTTAGTTTTTTTAAAAGTAATTTGAGGTAAATGAAACGTAGCAAAGAGTTAACTAGGAAAGTTTTTGAGCACCTAGGAGTTTAAGCTTTCTCCCTCCCAGAATCTTCCGTTCCATTTTGGGACCGGAAAGTTGGAAGGAATTTTTCTTGAGATTGCAAATATTTCTAGGTAATCGTCTTAAGGACTAGGGGATAAAGACCTGTCGGGAGTTTCTTTTTCAAAATTTGGAGGATTTAACCTGACTCAGGAATTGTTGGCGTTACTTGGAGGTTTAAACGCTTCTTTCTTTAGATTTAATTCCTTCTAAATTTTCTTTAAATTAAAAAATACTTTTAAAGCCTTCCAATAATGATCTCCAAGAATGTGATACTTTTACTGACGATGCCGAACATGACGACTCATTTGTAACAATTCCAACCCAATTAACCACTCCCTCAAATGACGATTCCTTTGTCACCATTCCAACCCAACTAACACCTTCAACGGCAACAAATTTTTGGGATCCTAGAGAGGCTGCTGGACGTCCAGATGTTGTTAAAGGAACGTTTAAAAAGACTCCATTAAGCAGTAAATTAACTTCTTCACATTCTGCTCCTATACGAAAAACAACTTTAAATTTGTCTGTTAAACAATTTCAACAGGCAACGTCGTTTACTTCTGCAAATTTAATTCAAACAAATATGGAAAGTAATAAGAGAGACACAAATTTGGATAAAATTGCTGGGCCGTCAAGTAAGAAAAAATTTAAACGATTTGGAATAAAATTGCCCTTGTGGTTTAGTGGGATAATTTCATATTTTTGGGGTAAGGTTCGAACTCTTTTGGGGCAAAGCATTTTTATTTTTTATTTTCTTCAAAAATTTTTCTTTTTTCCAAATTTTTTAGACTGCTTTTAGGATTTTGAATAAAATTTGCCTTTATGGTTTAGTGGGATAATTTTGTAATTTTTGAGTTGAAGGTTCGAACCCTTTTGGGGCAAAACATTTTGTTTTTATTGACTTTTTTTTCAAAAATTTATTAATCATTTTTTCAGTTCTCAAACGCCCCGGTCAGTTAACTTCACCTCCTCAATATCATCATCAACAAAATATTCATAAAAATGAAGAAAAAAGTATTGGGAGTGTTCAACAAATTTATAATAAATATTCTGGTATTAATTATAAAAATTCCGAACAACCACAAGAACAACCACAAAATTTGAATTTACAAAATCAATTTTCTAAAATGCAACAACAAATACAAAAACAGAGAGGACTTACTAGAGGTTTTTGTTTGACTTTTTTTTACTATTTGTTTGGTTTAGTGGGATAATTTTGAATTTTGGTTAATGGTTTGAGGCTTTTTTAGCGTTGTGCTAACCGTTTTTTTATTTTTATTTTAGTCGGATTATCGCATATAAACATGTTTTTCTCATCCTTCTGTCTATAAAAATAAAATTGTTATTTTGGTTTAGTGGGATAATTTTGAATTTTTAGGTCGTAGGTTCGAATCCTCTCGGGGAAATAATTTTTATATTAATTTCTTCAAGTTATCTTAGCATTCTGATTATTTTTTTATTTCTTTTTTGCATTCTAATTTTTGTAAATTTATTTTTTCTTTAAGATTTTGATGCTATAAGCCCTAAAAGTACTAGAAAAACTACTCCTGAAGAAGTTGACCGTCCTGATAGTCGTCATTCACCCTCTTCTGACACATCTTCATCTACTTCAAATATTTATATGGATTCACAAGAAAATACAACCTTGACAAAGTCAACAAATGATTCAACTTGTCATTCTAATTTTGTAAATAAATTGCCTAATAATGTTGTTCAGTCAAATGAGGTTTGGTTTAATTTTTAAGAGTGTTGCTGAAGAGTTCTCCTCCCTGGGAATTTTGACTTTGAAAATAGGGCGAGACGGGATCTCGATTCTCTTACGACACTCCCAGTCCGTTCTCTACTTTAAAATATAAAATTTTTTAATTTGTGGTTAAGTGGTTAATTTACGGAATATTAGTGACAGAGTTCGAACCCATCCATGAAACTGGCCAGAACAAAATTTATAGAACTGTCAAAATTTCATAAGAATCGTCAGAAACTTGAACCAGGGGACATTTCGATTTTATGGAACCGTGGGAACATTTTGGAACCGTAAAACATCCCCAGACTAGTGCATTGAGTCTTTTAATTTTTTATTTACAATAATTTTTCAAAAAATATTTATTTAAAGTTTTCTCGTTCAACTCAATTTATCCATGAGGCAATTTCTAACTCACAAAAGCCTCCCACTATGTTTCGTTTACTTGGACGAATTCCAACTACTGGCAGTAATGAAAATAAAACAACAACAATAATTGTCAAGAATAGTCCAAATAATAATGCACAATGGAAAGGGACAGATTCGGTTTTCTTTTTTTAAGAGGTTAATTATTTTTTAAAAAATTCTAGAATTCCTCAAGTTCACCCCTTTCAACTCCTCAACAACGCAAAATATCTTCTGCTTCCTTCTCTGGACGAAGTCATTATATTTCTCCAAGTGGGACTCGTTTTGTTCCTGTTGACCCACGTGGACTTGTTTCTATGCAAAAAAATTCTGCATCAAATTCTATTACTAGTTCAAAATCAAATTCTCCTATAGCAGCTATTCCTTCAACTCCTAGTCCAGCATCTTGTTAGTTTTTTATTTTTTATAGGGTGGGATCAAATATCATTCTTTTTTATTTGGTTTAAAAAAATTTTTGGGGGTTTTTTGAAGTATTTTCTAGGTAAAGATGCTTTTGATAATATTTAAAATGAATTATAAAAGTATTTTACGTAGTTGGGTTCGAATCTGATACCCTACTATTACGTAAGTAACCCACTTAACCACAGAAATTGAAAAATTTTTTTGGGGGTTTTTTAAGTATTTTCTATGTAAAGATGCTTTTGATAATAGTTAAGATGAATTATAAAAATATTTTACATGGATAGGTTCGAACCTTATACCCTGCTATTACGTAAGTAACCCACTTAACCACAAAAATTTTTTTGTACATATTTTTCAATTATTTTTTTTTATTTTTTGTAGATATCAATTCCCCACCACGATGTGAAATAATAAATCCGAATGTTGATATTAGGACACCGAGAGGAGAAACTAATCAAAATATTTTTGGTAAAAGAAATTTTTTTGGGTTAAAAATTTTTTTAAATTTTTTAGGTGTTGATTATGAACAACAACATCAATTTATCTCTTCTACTCCAAAAACTATAAATAATATAATTTCATCATCAACAATAACAACAACAACAGCTAATAGACGACAACAACCCCAACAACATTTTCCTTCTACTAACCAAACAAATTCTAACTTTTTCCGTAAGAGACAAATTGTAGAAGAAATGACCCCGCAAGCATTAATGACTTCTACTCCAAATCGTTTTCATCAACAACAACGAACACCAACATCGTCTATTACTCATAGTAATATTAAACGGTTTAGGCCAGTTATGTCGTCTCAAGAAGGTGATCATCAACAATATGGTAAGGGAGGAGGGAAATTTTTATCTATAAATTTTTGAAATGTGACATAATGACAAGAGGAAATTTTTATTACAGATTGAGTTCGGAGTTTCTCTTTAGCGCATGTACGTTGGTGCTAGTATTTTATAGACCCTAGACTAGAGGTCGGGGGTCTATAATGTCCCGCAATCCTGCACTTTTTTCGATTTGCGGGATTTTCGGGATTCATCCCGCGGGATCCCGCAAACACGATTTAGCCGACCTCTACTTTAAAAAAGCGAATTGTTTGCTCGTTGTGGCATTTTGTCGCAAACCATTTAGTCACATTTACCCACTTTATACACGAATATTTCTCACAAAAATTTTTTAATTTTTTATACTCATATTTTTTTTAATAATTTTTAGCTTGTATTGATTCATTTCCATCTGATACTTCAATCCTTCAACCACCACGAGTACGAACTTTGTATCCTCAAAAACAGCAACATTCTGCTATCAGGTTTATTTTTTAATTTTATTTTTTCAAATAAAAATATTCTTCAAAGTGCTTCGCCAATACCTGTAACATCTACGTCAATGGTTGATATTCAACAACCAACATGTTATCAAATTTCTTATCAAAACCAAATTGTTAATCAAAGAATTCATCTTTCTTCATCTCAACAGCATTTTAGTCAATCAAATACTCTTGGACAGCAACATCCTCCTTCACAGCCATTTAGACAAGCATTTACATCAACAATACAACGTCAACAACAACAACATCATTATTTGAGACAACAACAACACAATTTGCGTACACAATTAAATAGAGGAATAAAGTATTTATTTTTTATTTATAAATTGTTAGAGGGGTTTTATGATATAAGAAGGGAGGTATGAGTTAGGGCAGAAGGTCAGGTGTTGGCTTTATTTGTTGTTCAGAGCTATACATTTTTGAGCCTCTATAAATTTTCCTGGTGATCTTGGTTTTTGGTTGGTCCCCAGTCCATGGATCAGAGATCTCCTGATTCATTTTAAAAAGCGGCAGACTATTTGTGGAAACGGATAGTAAAAAGGGCGGAATTTTGATGAAAGTTAAGACAGTTCATCCTGCTATGAATCAAGTCCTGACTGGAAAAAATATCAATTTTTGGTTAAAATTCATTTTAGGAATTTTTCATTTACATTTTCTCGTGGATGTGGGTTGCCTCCTTTTTACCTAATTTGTATTAAATAAAAAATTTTTCATTTTTCAGCACTTCAACTTACTTCCCAAAATCTTTGTCTTCACTTTCTGGTGAATTTGCATTAGAACATCAACAACAACATTATTCACAAAGACATCAATTTAATATTAATTCTCCAACTGAAGATTCTCCATTTAATGAATATATTATTGGTTCGCCTCCTCCTTCTGAACAGCAGCATTTTCCTGAACGAATAGCAACATCTGGTTTATATGAACAAAGTTTGTTTTTTTGAATTTTTATTTTTTATCTGATGTGAGGGTTTTGAGGTCTTATAATTCATTCTTCGATTGGAAGAAAATTTTTTGTGAGACATTCAAAAAACCACAAAAGTCTAAATCGAAATTTTGAAATAGGCCCGGTCATTATCCCAAAGTCTCTTCATTTTTTTGAAGATGGGATCTTGCCCTGCATTTTTTGCGATTCCATTTTTGCAATTTTTTACTTTTTTTGGATCTTACATTTTTCGATTTTTCAAAAAATTTGTTTAAAAACACATTTTGACATTTTTGTTAAGCTAATCCATCAGGAATGAATATAATGCGTCGAGCAGACCAACAGCAACAATTATTACCGTCACCTTATTCTTATTCAACAACCCCTACCTCTACACCAACAACAATTCGAAGACTGCCAGTAATAAATCCTCAACAACAAATGCAACTTAACAGTCATTCACAGCATCCACAGCATTTTATTCTTCCTTCTTCTTCTTCAAATCGTTTTACATCTTCAACAAATATTGCTCATAATAACAATATTCCTGTATTTTTACAGCAACAAACAAATATTCCAATGGATTATAATACTATCCAACAACATGCTCATCAACAATTAAATTATCATCAAAGAGCAACAACTATGACAGAATATAGGCCAGGGATGGAACCTATTGATACACATGGTTTGTTTTTTTTTTGGAAATTTTGTTGATATAAGGTTTTGTCGTCACTGAGTAGGAAACGGGAACGCATTTTTAATTTATTTATTTATGGAGTGATTCGTTTTATTGCGTTTTTGGTCATTGCTACAAATAAGAAAGCTTGCCGTCCTGATTTCTGCAAATCAAGAATTTAATTTTTATGGCGGCACGTTTAACGATTTTATACTTACAGAGATTTTGTGTCAACTTTTTGTAGAATCATTAGACCTACCACCTCTCTACTATTTCCCTATGTTTTTTTTCTGATTAGTTTTTGTGGTCACTGAGTAGAAAACGAGAAGACAGTTTTTGTATGAACGATACCGCCTAGCAATAACTGCCATAGATTGTCCCCCTTCCCCCTTTTTTTTTCTACTATAATAGAAACTCCGTCACTTTTGTTCGATCTCTTTTTATCTCCTTTTCTGTATTAAAATTTTATATTTTTCAAGCAATTGATCCTCCACCAATTTTGGAAGCTGAAGGAAGATTATCTGTTATGGAAACAATTTCTACTTCTTCTACTTCTATACCTCCTATTTATAATCGTCAACAACAATTGGGCGTTGTTTGTTCAAATGAAGGTAATATATCTTCTACTACGACGAATCTTGCAACACCAAATAAAAATTCAAATAATGAGGAAGATGCTGGAACACGTTCAAGTTCAGCTTCAGATTTGGATTTGCGTGAAATTGTAAATAATATTCCTTCATCACAATAGAGAAGGTTCGAGAGGTGGAAAAAAGGTTTGTGAATATTTTTTTTAATTTTAAAAATAAAAAAAATTTTTTTAATCAAGGAGTAAATGAAGGAATATGTATGTAGGTAAATTTTTTATTTTATTTTTTAAAATGATTTTTTTAATTTTTGGGTTAAAAATTAAAACTGCCCTAAAAAGTAAGTAGACTTGCCTGTGAACTTTCTCTATTTTTTGTTCGAAATTTTTTTTCAAATTTCTATTTTCTAGGAATTTTTTTGGTGTTGTTTTTGATGTTGTAGGCTGATCATGAGACCGGGTTTTCAAGCTTAAACTCTCTCCTCTTTTTATCAAAAATATATCTCATTGTCAGAAAACTAGAGCTCTATGAAAACCTGGTCAAAGTTTTGCTCTGACTTGTCTCAACTTTTTTCTATTAATTTATGTATAATTTTAATTTAAGAGAGGATTGCTCCGTTTTTCTTATTTAAAAAAAACGAGCTTATTTAGGAAAATATTTTTCTGGTTTTGGGGTGTTTCTTTTCTCATCAATTTATTCAAACACATACAAATTAAATTTTGTATAAAAAAATTTTTTTTCCTTCTTATTGGCAATTCAAAAAATGTTTACTGGTTTTAATTTACATTTATTCATATATTTGTAAAATAAAAACAATTTTCTAAAGACTGTTGACGGGTATTTTTAATACTACAATTTAATATATATCCTTTTTTTAGCGTGCTGTTAAATGATTTTTAAAGGTTAAAAAAGCACGTGTTTGTGTAAACTATACTACAATTTAATTTTACTATAAAGATGCCCACTTGCTGATAAAACCTGTATAGTTTATATTGAGGTATATCTTGAATCTTTTGTCATTTCCTTTCATACTTCATCTCCATTTTTCTATAAGTCAGCTCAGTTTGGGGTTCAAATCAGGGCTGTCCGCAATTGAAAAAAATTCTGTAGCCGCAGTCCACAAGTCCAAAAAACCATAAAATTTAAAAAACAATCCGCATTTTCGAACAGTCCTGTTCCCAAGGGATGTGTGATTTGACTTTCCTTCATATATCTTTTTCACATGTTAGCTCAATTTAGTCCCTTTAAAGAGAGTGATATTCTTAAAGAAGTTTTCGCTTAGCTCATATTAGTAGCTAACCACATTGCAGGTTTATCTTGTTTTTGGGGGTATCTTATAAGTAAAGTCTGGTTGTAGTCTTCTTTCAATTTTAAAAAAATTCAAGAGACATTTGTTAATTTTTAAGCTTTTTTTATTGTTGTTTTTAAATGTTGGAAAAATGAGAATAAAATTTTTTTGACCTCTTAAAAAAATTTTTTTTTGTTTTTTAAAAATGTTTTTTTACATTTTTTATATCTTTTGATTAAATTTAAAAAAATATATTTAGGAAAAAAATTTTTTTAGGAAAAATTTTTTGTTAATAAAAATGAATGGTGAAAATAATGGAGGAGAAGGAATGGATGAAGACGAACACCCTTCACACCAACAACCTCAACTTTTGTTTCAAGAGGACAGCGGACACCCACAAGAACAACCCGAAGTTTTATTTTTAGAAGATGAATATGAACAAAAATGTGAACCTGAAGGTTTGTTTTTGGAAGGAGAAGAAGAGGGGACGTCGTTAAACGATCAAGTATTGGAGGAAGAAAATAATAAGGGAGAAAAAGAGCAATCTTTAATTGTTGACAATTCAATAGAGAGGATAGAAGCGCATAAAAAAGATGTTTTTTGTTTGTCTTTATCAAAAAATGAAAGATGGTTAGCTAGTGGTTCTGAGGTTTTTATTTTTTTTTTGGGAAAATTTGAATTTATAATTAAATTTTTTAAAGGATGATACAGCTGCAGTTTGGGATACAAGTCAAAAACGTTGGTATAATTTTATTTATCTTGTTAGGGTGTTATAAGTAAATTCCTGAAAATTTTGGTGAAGAGCACGTGATTTGTAAGTTAAGTAGCTACACAAAGTAATCAACAGATTTTAACATATTGAGGATGAGAGGGTCGATAAAAGTTTGTTAAGTCGTGGCCTATATTTACACAAATATTATTTAGAGTTGTCAGTTGGGAACATAACCTAACCAGAGAATCAAGGATTTTTTATTTTGATCAGACTTGGTAATGGACATGGATTTTGTTATCCGGATATCTACGGCGAATACAGGCAGATATCCTCAGACATTGAAATTGTCCATGTCCGTATCCACTACCAAGTCTGATTTTGATTCTTCGTTTGGTTATAAAATTTTTTTCTAAGAACTGACAACTTTTCAAAGATTTTATGTTAGCAGATTTAAACCAGTAATAAGGTGCCACTAACCCAATTTTAATTTGAATTGAATAGCTTAATTTAACCTCTAAACAAGTTCTCTTTTTTTATTTTTAAAGCTCTACGTCAACATTTACATATTGTTGGAAAACATGTTGATTCTGTCCATTGCCTAGCTTGGAATTGTAGTAGTGATTTACTCGGTTTTTTATTTTAAGTTATTTTTTAGAAAAAAAATTTTCTAATTTTTTAATTAAGCAAGTGGAGATATGTCAGGAAGGATTGTTTGCACTCTTGTGAAGGATTCTATTGAAATTGAACCATCTACTTTAATAGTTTTGTTTTTTCTTTTTAAATTAGTTTATAGTAGGAGATCCAGCTAGCGTCTAAAACATTTATAAGTTGGAGGGTTTAAGATTAGGTGGGGATAGCTTGCATCAATCGGCAGATCACCTTTTAGTGGAGCACCCGTACAAACGATACCGCCTAGCAATAACTGCCGGAGGTTTTCTGTGAGTCTCTCACTAACTAAATAAAACTGTTTCTTCCTTTGTTGAATTCATGTTAGTAATGGTGTTTAAAGTGTCAGCACGAGGCTTACTAACCTTACCTTTTGGAGTTTTATTGGGTTTTGGAGTCTTTCGGAGTCTTCTGCCCCAGATATCAGAGAATGTACATATTATTTTTTTATTATAATTTGTTTGGCATTTTCTAACTTTACAATGATTTCCTAATTTTTAAAAATTTTCAAAAAAATTTTCCTTTTAGATTGAAGATTGTCAATCAACATCTGAACAAAAACAAATGTATGACAATCAAGAAGAGGAAGAACAGGAAAATAGTTTTGAACATATTAGATGGCTTTTATGGCATCCTTCAGCTAATGGAATTCTTTTTGCTGGTTCGGGTGATGGTTCTATTTGGATGTGGCTTGTAATTTTGAATGAGGCTAATTGTTTAAATGTTCAACAATTCAAGGTTTTTTTTTTAAATTATTCAATTGAACCTCGCTATTTGGGAATGGAAAAATAATATCTGTAGGGCTGAATCTGCGTTCAAACGCAAAAGTGATTGCCAAAACTCCATTTTAGCTTTCCTGAATCCACCCTGAGAATGGAAAATTTTTTTCTTATAATGAAGTGTATCTTTAATAGAGAGGGTAGCGCTTGGGTACCTCATGCACCTTATAGAGGTGCACCTATTAGGATCCAAAAAAATTTTAAAACTCGACTCGAAAACTCGATCCGGCTTTTTTTTCTCAACCCCGACCCATTCTCCCGATTTAGGGCCCAACCAAAATTTAAAAGACGTCTATTAAATAGAGGTTTATCTAGTATCGAGTGTATCTTAAAGTTAGATAGTTCTTTAAAAAATATTTTTTTTTAATTTTTGGATCTTCCCAAATTCTTCAAATTCTCCTTGCGTGGCCGGCAAATTCCTTGAAGGTGCAAAACATTTTTTATCAGTTTATGAAGAAGGTGTAGCAAAAATTTGGGATTTAAAGAATGCTGTTTGTGTAAGTGAAGTTAATTTGCCTGGGTCTTGTACTGGTGCAATAGATTTACATTTATCTGGGAATATGGCAGCTTTTGGTTTGTTTGTTTTTGGAAAATTTTTATCTGATAGATTAAGGATTTTTTGACGGGGATTTTTTTAAGAAAAAAAATTTTTTTAATGCCTAAGGCCGGCCGGGACACGCCCGAAAAAGCGCACGGCCATAACAACCAACGCAAAGCCATAACTGCTAAAAAAATTTCTGGCTCTTATTAATTCTGGTTCCAATCTCTTTAGCTCGACGAGAGGAACCGTTTAATACCAAATTTGGTATGACTCGGAAATCTTGAAGCAAGTTATGGACGTGAGCCTTTTTGGGCTGTACCCCTATAGGGCTATTACCTAAATTATTGAGTGAGTTGAAAATTTTTTTTTACCGTTTCAAAAAATTTCTTTTTGGCTTTATTGACAGAGCTTCACTTAAGACACGATAAGGCTCTCTGCCTTCTGTTTTACGAGCATGGCGGATTGCTTCTTTTTTTTTTACTTGCGGATTGCTTTTGTGGATTTAAAAATTATAATTGCGGTTTCTGAAAAAAAAATTTTTGCATCCCTGTTTACGAGTCGAAATTTTTTAAATATATACATCCCAATCGAGTCCCCAAAAAATTTTTTTTTCCGAAAGGAAAAAAAAAATTTTTTATTTTTTTTAATTTTTTAGGTTGTTCAAATGGTCAAATAGCTTTAGCTACAATTAATTTGATTGATCAAAAACTTAAATTAATTCATGTATTTACTACTTTAAATAAAAAGGAAGGAGAAGAAAATGAGGAGGAGGAAAACAACAAAAATAATTGCAGTGTTGAGTGTATAAAATTTTTTCCTGGAAATTTTCCTTGGTTGGCTGGTGGTATGGCTAATGGAAAATTAATTATTTTTAATTGGGAACATTTAACTGGACGTTATGAATTTTTTAATGAAGGTAAGGAGATTTTATATTTTTTTTTCTATTAAAAATGGATGCAGGCAAGGTATCGCGGGGTCGTTCCGATATGGTTCGATGCGCCTCGAAGAGCTTAATAGAGAACCATACAAAAGGGTGTCCCTGATTCGGCAATTCTGAACGAAGTTGTAGTTTGGCTTTGCCTCATGGTACCTCGGGGTGTACCCAAAAATTTTCTTTAATTTTTTTGATGAATATTTGTTTGAATTTGGAGTGGTAAATGGTAAAAATAAATCCATTAAAAAATTAAGTCTAAATTTTAAAAAGTAAAAGAAGGCGTCAAGAGAATTTTCTGCGAAAGGGATCATATCTGACCTGTTGAGAGCAAAAAATATTGTAAAGGAAAACGGGATTTAGGCTGCTTTGAAACTTAATTTATTGACATTAGGGATTGTATAATTCTGGAGAAATTTTTTAAGTTTTGGGTAGTTAAACTTTCCCTAATTTATCGAATCAAATAAACAACACAAGCACAACAATTTATTTACACACAAACAAAAATACAATTGAATACAACAATTCAAATACAATACAAACAACAAGAAATATACAATACATACAATGAGTATAATATATTGGGGGGGGGGGGGGGAACAATGTGAACAATATATAGGGGGGACATAGCAAAGGAACAATATACAGATAATCACACATTTTTATATTTCGAGCGTCACCTTCACACAACTTCCGGGCCAAACTCCTCCTCCCTATTCAGTTTCTGGAATCGACTCATCAACGGCCCCGGGAAGATACGGCTTATCATATGGCTTCTTTCCCGCCCCATATTCAAGCGCAGTTGATGTTCCATCGATCACTTCGAACGGATAGATTTTCTTCATCTGAAAAATATAAAAATGACTAGTTGACATTAAAAAATATTTTTTCTCACCCTTTTCCAATACTGGAAGTTCCCAACGGCATCATATCCCTTTTTAGCCTTTTCCGGTTCATATTCGCGGGCGTAGACCTCGTTGTCCCTGTGCTTCTCGAACTGGTCTACAAGGAACTGCATCTTGGCTTTGGCGTGATCCTTCTCCACTCTCTTCCAGATTACAGCGATCATGTCGTCGACCGAAGACAACTCGAACGCAGTAGTCGTATCGCTCTCCTTTCTCTGAAAAGTGGGAAAAGAAGGTTGATTAAATTTATTTTCACAAATTTTTAAACTCACATTCTTTTTCCACGCATCAAATGTCCCGATGGCCTTTTTGCCTCTGATCTTCTGGTCAGCCTTGTACAGAGCAAGTAGACGTTTTTCTTCTGCGCGTTCGGCGTCCTTTTTTGCCTTGTCCTTCATCCAGAACCAGACCAAAACTGCAATGATGATCCCCACAAAGAGGCCAGCAGCAGCAGTGCCAATTGCAAGGAGACCTCCGCCACACTCCTTTTGTTCCGAGCACTTTGTCGTTGTTCGAGTGGTCGTTCTGATGGAAGAGAAGCTGTTGGTGGTCACAGGCGGAGTTGTCGATGAAGAACCAGAGGGATCTTTTGTCGTTTCAGGCGGATCTGATGTTCCCGCTGCTGTGGTCGTTGCAGTCGTAGTCGGGGGCGTTGTTGTTCCAAGGTTGTCGACAATCAACAGGCTGTAGTCGTTTGTATCCTATGAAAAACGAAATTATTAGAAAGCTATGCAAAAATAGCTACAGAAAGGAAAAAATGAAAAAAAACTCACAAATCGAATGAAGAGTTCACAATGCGGTCCGTTCGGATGATCCTTTGTGAGAAAAGGGCCCTTGTAGATGAGAGAAGAGGTTTGTCGGAGCAGGCTGAAGACGAGCAAGTGTTTGTCCCTGTGCTTTCCATCCTTTATAGTCCATGCTTTGGGTTCGCCAATGGGATTTTCCCTCGATACGCAGACGGCCGCCGTCGAAGGATTGGAGTGCTCTCCGCCAAAAATGAAGCCGCCGCTATTTATCTCCAGATCGAAGGTCGCACTGTCATTCACGCTCGTTCTGTTCCGCTTAAGACCAAGGGTTTGATCTTCTCCAACTAAAATATTTTAATGTATATTTAACTTACCTAAATGCGTGTAAGCTTACTTAGATGTGTGTAACCATAGACCATATTCCCAGACTTGCTCCATGAGACTTGAAGAGATGTTCGATTCATGCAAATCCCATCGAATGCTTTACAATCATTGCTGCAGTCACCCTCAGAATTCCTATGTTTACGATTGTTGAGCTCTTCTATGAAAGCGCTGCTCGCGCTGTAGACGAAAGGCAGGCTAAATATTTTTTGAAAAGTTTAAGTGCTATTAGGTAAAATCCAAATCGATCAACCCAAAAAAAACTCACGTGTTGTTATAGCTGTCCCTGAAGCGGGTAGTTTCATCAAGGCATTTGCTGAGTCCTCCTTTTGCGTCTCCTCGCACTCCGGCTTTGAACTTGATCGCGTTGATGTTTGCCGCGTTAGTGCTGAGCAGGTCCACAGTGCATCCTTTGCTGCCGTAGTTGTACCGAAGCTCGCTGAAATAAAATAGAATGTTAGTTACGATTAGTCTTTAAAAGAATAAAAAATTCCTCACATGTAGCCGTCTTTGATTGTAACATCGCAGGCGTCCGGATACAGCTCCTTGAAGCGACAACTAGTAAAGTTGAAGTACGTATTGTTGGCAATTATGGTCTTGTCGGTGAGCGTCACTGTGTCGTTGTTTATCTTTGTGTGCTTGCCGAATCCGACTTTTTCGCTGTTGACCTGTCCGGGAACTGCAAGTGTGGCGATGGTGAGCAGCAGCAGCAGAGAGCACAGCGTTGACGACTTTTTGGCCAAAGGTCCGGTGTCGAGGTCCATTGGAAGAAGGCCGAGCATGAAGTGTTGTTGCTGTAAACGATGTAGACGTTCGATGAGTTGAGATGAATGTTTTGTAGAGCTGGTGGGGAAACGAATGAATGTTGGGGCTTTTATAGTATCCTTCTATAAGATAAACCTTTTAGGAAAGAAGGAATATAAAAGCAGTTAGTGAAATGTTCGCCATTTTCATTTGTCTCTTACGCGCCAGTCATCGACAGGACTAAACTACAATGTCGTCTCCAACACACAACTGCTGCCACCCGAAGCAACAACAACTACAAACGACAGCAGGGGAACTGGCGAGCGTCATGCAGGAATTGCGTCAACGATTCGCAAACCGACGAACCAGAGCGATGTGCCGGCTCAATCTGTGAAGGAGGAGAAGATAGAACAGCTCAACTATCGCCAGAGGGTTGAGGCTTTCAATAAGTAGTTTCAAACGCGTTTTGGAAGTAGGATGCATTTAACAGCTATTCTGTTAAATTTTTTTGCAAAAATACTTCACGAGGCACGTGCCGCAAAACACGTGCCGCAAAAAAAATATATTTTTTCATCATAACTTTGTCAAAGCACATTAAATCACGGTGATATTCACGTTGACCTGCTTGTTAGAGCTCTTTGTTCTAGTTAATGTTCTAGTTAATCATAGTCATACTTATATGAAAACGGAAATGACCCTGTGACTTCTTGCAGCAGTTATTGTCCAACATATAAAATATTCCGATCTCTCATCTAGTTTATCTTTTCTACCGATAGTACGGTGATGGAACTAATTTATGTTGATTGAACTAAAATTTCTGAAAATTCTTTTTTAATTTACCAATAAATTCTTAACATTATATTTTTTTTGTTTTTTTTTTCAATTTTTAATTTTAGATGAGGCAGTAATTGATTGTTTTTGGAATATTAATAGTGTAAATGCTTCTTCAATTAGTTTAAGTTCAATTTGTGTTGATGGAACTATTCGAAGTTGGGATGCTAAAAATGGGCATTTAATTGGGGTAAGGGAAATTTTTTTGAAATTTTTTTAATAAAAAAATTTTTATTATCAAAGAAAATAGATGGGGGAGGTGATCAAATTTACTCTGCTATAAAATTAAAAAATAATGATGGAATCGAAAGAATATTAACGGGATGTGAAGGGGGGTTAATTAGAATGTTTGAACTTTCTTTTTAAAAAAATTAAAAATATTTTTGTTAAAAATTTAATAATTTTAATATTAGAAAAAAATTTTTGGGATAAAATGTCATCACCTCTTAATATTAAAAAACTTTGGTGAAAAAATTTATGAAAATTCTTTTTGAAGAAAATAGATAATTGTGGTGAGTAAGGCTGATGTATCCTGTGTAATACACTGATTTACAGATCTCCAGTCTTTCTTCGGTTTCTGATCAGCCAAATTTTAGTGGTGACAAATAAAAAAAATTTTTTTTTTATATTTTAAGAGGGATGATTTGTCCCATAAAAAAATTTTTTTTAATATTAAAAAAATTTGTTTATATTTTTGTTATCTACCTACATATTATATATTCAAAAATAAAAATTTTTATTTTTATAATTTTTAAAAATTATTTTTAATGATTTTTTTCTTCATTTGATATCTTATTAATATTTTTTAATTAAAAAATTTTTTTCAGTCATCAAAAAAAAATAATTTTTCCAAGAATTAAAAATGACCTATCAAATGTATCGTTCAACAACTATTGGTGTTGCATTGCAAAGTGCGTAAAAAATTTTTTTTTGAAATTTAAAAATTTTTGTTTTTAAAGCCTCCCTAGATGATTTAATTACTGAAGGGTTAATTTCTCAACAATTAGCTGGCACTGTTATGACAACCTTTGATAAATGCATTAATAAAGCGTTGTCTGAAAGAGCAAGAAATAAAGTTAATTTTAAGGTGAGAAAAGGGAAGAATTTTGATGAGGTGACATTTGGTCCCCATAAAATTCGTTGGGGCGTTGGAGTGATTTGGGGAGGGTGTTGGCAAAAGGTGAGTTGAGTCACTCGAAGCCCTTACCCCTTTTTCCCGTTTTATCTGGCACTTTTTGAGGGAAAATGGCTCAAATGCTCGATTTTCACAACCCCAAACCAATTCCTGGTGTGGGGGAGGGTAGTAAATATATTTTTAAATTCCGTTCGACTTGAGGTGGAAATTATTAAAAAAATTTTGGAAAATTTTTTTAAATTTTTTAGAAAAATATTTTTTTAAAGGCAGAAAAACTACGAGCATATCGTTTCTGTGACAATGTATGGACTTTTATGATGGAAAATGTCGAATTTCGTGATGCTCAGAGGCCTATTGAAGGAAGTATTGATAGAGTCAAATTTGTGGCGTGTAAGTTATTGGAAAATCTTTGGATATCCGGAATCGAACCTAAAAATCCTCGGTTCTTTAGCACGGTTCTGAACTAAAGACCGTACTTGTATAGACATTTTGGGCTGGGATTTCTTTGCTTTCCAGTTCAGAAAATCGCTGGAACTAACCAAAAAGGGGGGCAAACAACACTAAAGACGAATTTTATTTAAAAACAAATTATTTTTAATTTTTCAGGTGATGCAAACGTACAAAAGAAGGGGCCTTTAGAAAAGCCTTAAAAATAAAAAGAATTTTTTTTCTTTAATTTATCAAGTCTGAAAATTATGTTCAATTTTTCTATGAAAATATGGGGGGGGGGGGGGGGGGGGTTAACATTTCATTCAAAATTATTTTTGTTAACTTTTAACGTGGTAAAAAATTTTTTTTCTTCAACAATTTAGCTACCACCCAAATCAATCCATCCTTTGGTATTGCCACTTTGGTGTATTGGAATGTATTGTCCAATTCATTTAAGGGAGCCGATGGAAAGGAGTTCAACCCCAAAATTCGTCTTCTTAATCCCTCAAAATCCTCTTAGATTCCTTGGATCCTCCGATATTACCCAAATCCCCTGACATCCCTTCAAATCCTCTGGTATCTTCCAATATCCGCCCAAACCTCTGATATCCCCGTATCAGTTCAACTAATATCCTGAACTATCCTTTTCCTTCCTTCCATCTATTCTTTATTAAACTGCAAATTAAGGTTTCCCTTGATCCTCCGACATTCCCCAAATCCCCTGATATCCCTTCAAATCCTCTGGTATCTTCCAATATCCGTCCAACCTTCTTATATCCCGGTTATCCGTTCAACTGACAACCCGAACAATTTTTTTCTTCTTTCCTCCCAGTCATTTTTCCTTGTTAAGCTAAAAATTAAAGTTGAGACTCTATTGTCCATTCCCTTCCAAAATTCCAATCTCTGCCTTCTTTTTAGAGGTTAAAACTGATTGTTTTAAAAAGGGGCCAAGTTAATATTCGTATTTTTCGATCTTTTGGGTTCGCCTCCAAACAAGCATGAAAGAGAAGAAAAGAGAAAACAAACAAATACACACACACACTTGCTAGCCGAAAATCGAAGAAGAAAATGACTATTTAAAAACAAAATAGAAAAATTAAATAGTGGGAGAGGAGACAATGTGTCTTTGACCAAATTACATGTGGTGGTTGTTGGAGAAGAAAATATTTATATATTTTACACTAAATAGTTATAGCTTCAATAACAATGGTAAATTGAGAGCACAACAGAAAATTGGCGACTTTTTACTCTTTTTAAAGGTCAAGTATCCGGAAGATCACCGAAAAGGGACAATAGAGTCGCGTTGAAATTCGATACGTGTCTTTTAAAGTCTGGTACCAGGTCTGAGCGTTATGGCGTTCATTTTTGCCCGATTTTTGGCGTTTTGCGTTTGGCGTGTTTTTAAAATTTGAAAAATTGGCGTTTGCGTTCAACTTTAAAATTTTGGCGCACCCCCGTCTGGTAACAAATGACCAAATTTATTGTCCGCTTGAGTCTGGACATTTATTAGAGTCAATTAGAGACTGACCTATGAGGATACTTGAGTCTGACCTTTATACAAACCATTTGAGTCATGATTAGAATTCTACCCATTAGAGTCTGACACCTTTTGCGTCAGCTCTTCGACTCAAATCGACATGTTGCTCATATAGTTTGTTCCCCACTTGTCTGCATCATTTTCACCACATTTTTCTTCCCTCAATTTAAATACCCAATACTAAAAAAGAGATAGGTCCTCCTCCTCCTTTTCTTGTTTTAGTAGCAGCATAATTTTCTGACCTAACTATACAATAAAATATATTTACTTTTCTCTTATATATCTCTTTAAATGAAATATAACTTTTCATTCTCTCTCAAAATTTTTCCCCAAAAAAAATTTTTTTTTAAATGTGCTACTCTCTTCATTCATTTATTTTTCTCTCATTTTTAATAGTTAAAAAATATATTGATATAGAGTAATAGAGAGAAGCGTTAGAAGAACATTTTGCCAAGAGACATTTTGCCAATAAGGGTAAAAAGCCACGTTTTGCCAATAGGATTTTTGGCAAAATGTGGGATTCTAGCTTTATTGGCAAAATGTGGAATTGGCAAAATGTGGCGACGAAGAAAATTGTCTTTTTTTAAAAGAGAGTTTTCTCCCTTTAAATAATAAGTACACTAACCAACCCTTCTCTCCCCAATCCTTATAGCGCCTCTTATATGCTTGGTCGTTGTCGTCGCCCGGGTTGAGGAGAGAAGAGGAGAGAACGTCCTTTTTTCTTCTATGAAAAAAGCAGTTTTTCTTTTTTTCCTTTTTTTCACTTGTATAAATGATGCCAACTCGTCTTTTTTATTATTTTTTAGGAAAAAATACAAATTCAGTAAATATTATTTGGGCTTTTTGGCCAGTCATTATATTTTTTTCTGAAACTTTTTTTAAATCCTCTTTTTTATTAATTTTTAATTTTAATTGTAGCTATAAAATCGTTCACAATTTTTACCTTTATTTTTTTTAAAATTATTTAAACAAATGTAGTTACTCGAAAAGCCTAAAAAAGAACACCCAAACCCCTAAAAATAAATCCAAGTTTCTTCTTGATTTAAATTAAATGTCTTTTTTGGCGTTAAAAATTAATTTTCTTTTTGGCGTTATATTTTTTAAAGAAAAGTGCTTGTTTTAACAGTTTGCCATATTTTGCCAAACCCACATTTTGCCAATAGGCCTAAAACTTTACGTTTTGTCAACACTGCCGTGTTGACAAAATGTGCGTTTTTACCCTAATTGGCAAAATGTGGTTTTGGCAGAATATTGAGGAGATATTTTCTCTATTTCTCTGTTCATCTCTTTTAATTCTATTATATTTCCCTCTTGTTTTATCGACTTTTAACTGTCTGCGTTATTTAATTTTTTGATTTTATTGATTTTATTTTGATTTTTCTCGATTTTACTTTTATTTATTTTTCAAATTTAATGTCTTTCTTGAGTGTCCACAATATCAATAACCTATGTTTTTTAAATTTTCTCCTTTCCCTCTCTTTTCCAAATTTTCCCCGCCGTTATAAAAATAGAAGCTAGCGAAGTGTGAGTTGATCTTTTTTTAAATTTTCGATCTTTTGGGTAGGTGTGATTGCAACTTTTTTTTATTTTTTTCAGTTATTTTGCTGTCTTATTGACTATTTTTGTATGTTTATTTAAAAACAATTTAATTTTTTTCTACCAAAAAAACACCAAAAAACTCTTCTAAAAACACCAAATGAATGATTGTGCTGGTCTACAAGCATCGCTAACTAATGGTGACTGCATTTCTTTACCTCCTTCATATGATAGACAACAAATGGCAACAAATCCGGCATTTTGGAATCAACAACAACAACAACAAATTGCATTTAACAACAATAATGGTGCTAATATTCAAAGAAATAGTTTACTTTTTGATACTCCTACAACTTCGCAAAATGGAAATTTTGGTAATTTTGTTTAAAATGTCCAAATTGTAAAATGGTCGATTTAGGAAATAGCGGGAAATGCCTAATTTGGTGTTAGAATTTTTATAAGATGGCTTGACTTAATTTTAGAGACCGGAATGTGATCGGGACCCGGGCCTTTTCCCCGGCTTTTTTGATGATGTCGGGATGGAACTGGGATCGGGAAATCACGGTTTTCCCGGTTCCGGGTCCCGATCGGGTTTCTCTACTACACTTTCCCGTTCCCGGTTTTTTCAAAATTGCGGTCTCTACTTACATTAATCTATTTTCTTCATAAGGTCAGTAGTGAGGGGTTTTGTGACAAAATGTCCAGAAGGGGTAAATTGCATTTAGTCGTTTATATTTAAGGATTTTAGGATCCAAATTTTTTTTCAAAATCTTTTTTCTAACATTTTCTTTAAAAAATTTTCAACCCTATTATAGATATTATTCAACAACAACAACTTCCTCAATTTACCCCAGAAGGACCTTCCCCAAATATATCTTCTCCTTACTTCAATAATATTTCACAGCAACAATTAAAACAATTTCAAGATTCGCAAAGAAAAAGTGTAGGTGGGGGAACTAATATATACCAGCAACAACAACAAGAATTTCAACGTCCAACAAGCAATTTTTCTTCTTCTGGACAACCACAATTTGTTGATCAACAAAAAATTCAGCAACAAATAAGCTCTCCGTCTGTTACGTCTACTGCTGATTTATTGGTGCCAAATGGTGTTGGAGGAAATGGAGGACAACAAGGAAATATTCAGGTTTTTATTTTTATTAAAATATGAGGATTTCTTCACGTGGATATTTTTTAAAGCATTTTAAGTAATTTATGGTGGGGTAATCATCTTAAATTGTGATTAGACCGTAAGTTGTTATTTTAGTGTAGTGGGAAAGTGTTGGGTTGAAAGCTAGTTATTTAAGGAATGGGCTAGGGTTCGATACCCATTGAGGGGGCCTTTTTTGTTAAATGCTTAGCGAACAGATTCGCTGTTTTTTTAGAATTTTTTGTCTTTCTCAACCTCTAAAAAAATTTTTCTATATTTTTTAAAAAATTTCAGCAAGGCTTTCCGCCTCATTTCCAATTGCCTCAAAATGGAATGTTTGATCCTAGTAACAATAATAATGGAGGAATATTGGATGTTAACAATCCAACAAATTTTAATATGAATGGAAATTGTAATTCTCCAATGTTTAGACAGTCTATACAAATGAATAATAACGGTTTTATTTTTTTTTAAATTTTCTAAAAATTTTGGTGAAGTCAGAAATTCTTTTCGGTCCAGAATGGGGATCCTATTGACATAAAACCTTTGGGGATCCTTAGACATAGAGCCCTTTCTCGGTTATCATGGTTTATCATACAATAATGTTGCCGACTTGACCCTGACTTGGGAAAATTTTTTTAAATCTTTTAAATCTATAAGTCAGCAAGGGCGAGGACGGATTTTAGTATGGCCAAATTTGGTAACCCTTTCCGCCCCTGGCTACGCTCTTGTAAGGCGGTCTGTTTATCCGAAAGTCAACCCAAACCGAAAACGACACTTACAACTTATCTAATGATAATCTTAAGTTCTAAAAGGTAAAATTTTTATTTCGATTTTGAACAAGAAAGTTGAAGAATCCCTTCAAAAATACTTTTTATTCTCTTTCCTAGGCCCTCTAAATTTTTTAAATTTTTAAGGTCAACAATCAATTTCGTCACCTCTAATTGGCCAACAACAACATCCACAAATGATTATACCTCAACAACAACAAAATCCTTTACTTTGGCAAGGTATGCCTCCAAATATGAGAATGACATTACCACCTAATGGTCAACAACAAATTGTTTTAAATAATGGAAGTGAATTTGAGGTTTTTTCTTTAATTTTTCGGTGGTCTGAATTGTGCGAGGAAATTAAAAAAAATTTTTTTAATTGGATTCGGGATCAACTGTCACCTTTCATTATTTGCCTTTATTATTTTTTTGTCTCCCCAAACTGAGTTTTTTTTTCAATTTGGGGTCAGTAACTTTTTAATTTTCAGGCTCCGCCCTTTCAAATGATACCAAACAATGGAGGACTAAACAATCCATTTGGCCGTTTCTCGTTTCTTTTTACATCCGATTTGGCAAACAAAGCAGCTCAGTGTGTTAAACAGCGTCAAGTCCCTGATCTTGCTATTTGGCATGCTCATACTTTTGCTGATTGGCATCTTTCTAATCCTTCAACTTCCAAAGGTTTTTTCACTATTTTATTTTAGATAAAATTTAATGGATAATAGGGGAAAATAAATTGAGTTCTTGATTAACTGATCAATATAAGCCTGTCTAGCCTTAGCTTCTTACTCCTAACTTTGTAAGGTATAGAAACCATAACTCAACAGAATTCTTGTCTTTAATAGATGTGAGATTAATTTTTTGAGAAATTGTTATTAAATTTGCGGACATCTGCAAAATCCAAAAAAAATTTTAAATTTCTCTTAAATTTTATGGATAAAACGGAGGAATAAACGGTGTATAAACGGCCTGCCTAGTCTTTCCTTCTTACTCTTAAATTTGGAAGGTATAGAAACCAAATACTTATCGGAATTCTTGTTTTTAATAGATGGAAGATTATTTTTTCGGGAATTTGTTATTAAATTTGCTGATGTCCGCATTATCCAAAATTTTTAAAAAATTTTTCTAAAATTTCTCTCCAAACTTAAGCATTTTATGGTCCTCAACAATCTATGAATTCAATAAATTTACCAATGCGAATGAATGGTAAATCTCCACATCCATCATCAACTTTATCAACATCACGTTCTAATAAACGAAAAGCTTCGAAATCAACGGTTTTTTTTGAAAAATTTTTTAAATTAAAATTTGTTTCTTTTTAAAAGGTCCAAGAACAACAAAATTCTTTGTGTAGTCCTTTACAAATTCCCAATAACAATAATTTTGTACTTCCTCAAGGTTCTATAATTAACAACAACAATCCAAATCCAAATATTAATAATAACATGGTTTTACAACAACAACAACGTTTTGGTTCTAATAATATTAAAGTTGTTTGTGATTCTTCTAGTAATGGGTTAGTTTTGTTTTAAGAAGGATAAATGTCGTAGGATTAGGTTGTAGATTTTTTTTGTTTTTGCTAGAGGTTTGGAGGATTTCTATTAAGTCGCTTCATGTTGGGTTTGGCCCCAACTGTGGACGCTAAATCCTCCAATTTATAAGAGACTTTTTTTTAATATTTAACTGGGAGAGGGAACCAGTTAATTTAAGTCTGGGATTATGGGTAGCTTTGAAAAAAAAATAATTTCTTGGATAAGATGTCATCTTTTCTATAAATATTGGATTCAACTTTATTAAAACTTTTTAATTTTATTAAGTAAAATTTTTTTAAAGTGCTGATATTAACAATATGTTTAAACGTCATGATGCTATTTCTGGTGATAATTCTAATAATACACCAACAATTCAACAACAACAACAAAATTATTTTTGTATAAATTCTGGAAATATTAATGGAAATGTTGGACGTTTAGATGATGAAAATCCTTTAAAGTTTTTAATTTTTAAAAATTAAAAAAAAATTTTTTCTTTAAAGAAAAATGGAAATAATGGCAAGTAAAACATTAAATGAACAACCAGTAAATAAAATGATTAAATTGGGGGGAGGAGATGAAGAAGATGGAAATAATTTTAATAAATTAAATAATAATTTACAACAACAACAACAACAAAATTGTGGAGATGCTGCAAAGTATATATTTTTTAAATTTTTTTTGAAATTTTTTTAAATTTTTTTTAAATTAAAAAAAATTCGTTTTATGTTTTTGGGTGTAAGTTTTTTCTTCTGGTTCTTTTCGAAAATTGATACTAAAAAAGGTTTTTAGTTCCGCTGTATTTAATTAAAAAATAAAATTTTTAATTTATGTTCACGTGTGGTGCAGTGGGAAACATCTTAGGCTTCTACCATTAGGGTTGTGGGTTCGAATCCCGGCTGTTGGAAACATTTTTCTTCTGGTCCCTTTTTCTTTTAAAAAATTTTCTAGTCTTCCTAAAAATTTTTTTGGTTTAAATTTTTTTTCCTTTTAAAAGGCAAGAAAAAATTCGTAAATTGATTGAAATGGAAAGTGTTTTGTGTCAATTTTCATCTTCTGAAAATAATAACAACAATAATATGTTACCCCAACCACCACCTCCAAATTCATTAATTCAACAACAACAACTTATTCAAATGCAACAACAACAAAATTTTATTTCACAACAACAAAATGGACTTTTAAATAATAATTTCCCTCCTCCTCCACAACAACAATTTCCTCCGATGGATAATATAGAAATGGGTGGGGGAGGTGGACAACAACAACAATTTAATAATAGACCACCTTTCTTTCCTAATATGATGTTTGTTTTTTTTTTATAATTTTAATTATCGCATTATCTGTGATAGAGCCCATGAGATAAGAGACTATTTTTTTAACTATTTTTTTTTTAATTTTTTAACCCATCAAAAGGGGCATAAGGTGAATTATGAATTGAAGGGTGAGGCTTCAATTCATAAGGGGAATTATGAATTGAAGGGTGAGGCTTCAATTCATAAGGGGAATTATGAATTGAAGGGTGAGGCTTCAATTCATAAGGGGAATTATGAATTGAAGGGTGAGGCTTCAATTCATAAGGGGAATTATGAATTGAAGGGTGAGGCTTCAATTCATAAGGGGAATTATGAATTGAAGGGTGAGGCTTCAATTCATAAGGGGAATTATGAATTGAAGGGTGAGGCTTCAATTCATAATTCAAGGTGTATTCTATTTTTTAAAGAATATCAATTTGTGAAGCACCTTAATCTTAAGAAGTAGAAAGGGGGAACCAGGCTATGAATTACCACATATTATTTCTTTTTGATTTTGTTTTGGCTTATCAACTATTAAGGGAATATTTCTGACATTATCTCATGTGTCCCATTTTAACATTAAAGTTAAAAAACCTCCAATTAATTCCAAAATAATTTTTTTATTTTTCTTTAAGAATTTTTTTAAAAACATTTTTTTCCTTTTTACAGCCCTCCTCAACATTTTAATCCAATGTTAATGCCTCCAATGTCAACAATAAATAATAACATTCAACAACAACAACAATTTATTAATAATCGTTTACCACCTTCAATGATTCCCCAACAACAACAACAACAAATATTTTGTACAGAAGCACAATTAATTCAACAACAGCAACAACAAAAATTGGAGACAATTAATTCTTCTAATTGACAAAATTTTTTTTAATATTTATATACATTTAATTATTCCAGAAATTTAATTTCCTTCCTTTTTTAAAGATATTCACTTTTCTTTATTTTTTTTTAGAAATTGGACTTGTGTTGGAATTGTGTGTTTATTTAAACGATTGTTTAAGAAGTTTAAATTTTCTGTTTCAAGTTATAAGTCTGAACTTTTTTAAGAGTTGCCGAGCATGCACGATAATTTTTTAACCTTTGAAACTGAATTTTCCGGGCCAAAACTCTAAAAACCCGTATTTAATCAAAATACCCGTTTTTCCGATCTCGCTCTATCCCGACTCGAGTTTTAATACACACACAAGTTCAATTTCTAAAAAATTTCACTTACACAAAACTAGACAACCAAAAAAACCAAATTTTAAGTAGCTGCAAAAGTATTTTAACTAGGGGTGGGGAGGTTTTAGAGTCGGGGTTAGGTTCGAGTCATTTTTTTTGGGCTTCATTTTTATCAGACCTGCCTGACCGAGTCTTTTTCTGAAAAGAATTCATTGCCCGACTCGATCTTTCAGACATCGGTCCGGCCCCCAACCCCTAATTTTAACTGCCTACAGCTCTTTTAGAATAATGCAAAATATATTAATTTTTAATTTAATATGTACGACCTATTTCCACCCATATATATTGTTGTGCCTTTTTAAAATTTTTTTTTAATATTTAAGAGCTAAATATTGTTTTTTTTGTAAATTCAACTCTACTCCTTTTTTTAAAAATACATCCTTTTTTTAGAAATTTTTTTCTTCTCCTCATAATTTAAGCTTACATTTCTTATTAATTACTCTTTTGTATATGTACTCATTTGGCAGTTTAAAAAAATTTTGAATAAAAAGCCCAGAGAAAATTATTGGTTTGATTTGAATTGAGAAAGAGAAATAGTGTTAGTTAGTTAGAGAGAAATCGATATTGTCGAATCTCGATATTACATCACATCGATAACGCGTCTACACACTTGGTCTCGAGGGGCGTTTTACCTAATATCATGTGTGATCTAGGGACTTAGGATGATTTGGGATATTGGGGAGGATTGAGGGATTAAGAGGGATACAGAGGATTAAGAGAGATATAGAGGATTAAGATCTTTAAAATTTTTCTCGATTAATTCCCCACTCTCGAATAATTCCCCACTCCCGATTGATTTCATCTTGTCAAGAATTGGTTGAACCAAAAAGGAAAAGTAAAAGAAGACGACGTTTTTTCTGCGAAAAGGTTTAAAAATCCCTTAACGTTCAGTTCAGAGCAGAAATATTACAAAAAAGGGCTTAAGCTGTATTGAAAATTTAGTTATTCTTCCCTAGAGGTTATGTTTTTTTGTTTTTTTTTCCTTGCCCCCTACTTGGGCATGTTCTTTGAAAAAGTGAGAGTCGCGATCTTTTGTCCAAAAGGATTAATCCCACAACGGCCAGTTGAGAACAAAAAAATATTTCAAAGGAAAGTAGGGTTTAATTTCCCTAATTTATCGAATCAAATAAACACTACAAACACAATTTATCTACACACAAAAATACAATTGAATACAACAATTCAAATACAATACAAACAACAAGAAATATACAATACACACAATGAGAGAACAATATATGGTGACACAAATTTATCACAACTCCTCTCTCGGGTTATTATTATCCTTCGGTTCTGACGGCGGAATCCACCTCTCATCAACCGGCTCCGGCTCCTCCTCAGACATTGGAACCTCAACACCGTCCACAGCGCCTCTATTCGCCGCCTTTATCTCCGCCAATCTCTCCTGCTCCTCAAGTGTCGGGTTCTCCTCGATTGTCCACTCGTCAGGCTTCTCAATGATGATCCTCTCGACCTCGACGATCTTCTCGATGACCTTTGGCTGCTCGTATTCAATCGCCGTCCTTGTCCCGTCGTTCAAGGTGAACGTCGCCGCAATGTTCTTGTTCTGAAAAATCAAAATTGGGAGGATTAGCTGAGATTTTTAAACAGAAATTTAAAAATATTCTTCACCTTTTTCCACTTCTCGAAAGACCCAACAGCTGCAAGTCCCTTCTTTTTCAGTTCCGGCGTGTATTCCCGCTCGAAGAGTTCTTTTTCCTTCTGCTTCTCGAACTGATCCACAAGGTACTGCATCTTGTCCATGGCCTTTTTCTTCTCCACTTTCTTCCAGATTGCGGCGATCTCGTTCTCGATTGAAGGCAGCTCCACCGCAGTCTTCAGCTCCTTTCTCTGAAAAAGTGGGAAAAATTTAAGTCTGATTAGTAAAGAATGAAATTTTAAACTCACATTCTTTTTCCATGCAGCAAATGTCCCGACAGCCTTCTTGCCTTTGGTCTTCTCCTCAGCCTTGTACAGCGCCAGCAGACGATCTTCTTCTGCGCGTTCGGCGTCCTGCTTCCCTCCCTTTTTCGTATCCTTTCCTGCCTTGTTCTTCATCCAGAGCCAGACCAAAACTGCAATGACGATTCCGACAAAGAGGCCAGCAGCAGCAGCAGCAGCAGCAATGCCAATCGCAAGGTAGGGAGCTCCGCCACACTCCTCCCGTTGTTCCGGGCACTTTGTCGCTGCTCGAGACGTCGTTCTGATGGAAGTGAAGTTGTTAGCGGTCGTATGCGGAGTTGTCGCTGAAGATGTTGTCGTTCCAGGCATCTCTGATGTTTTCGCTGCTGTGGTCGTTACAGTTTTCGTAGTCGACCGCGTCGTTGTCGGAGAGTTGTCGACAAAGAGAAGGCTGTAGTCGGATGTATCCTAAAAAATCGAAAAATCAAAACTATTAGACGAGTATAAATGAATTAAAACTCACAAAGCGGACGAAGAGTTCACAATGCGGTCCGTTTGGAGGCTCTGCCAAGTTGTCTTCTTTGTACGTATATGCAGCACTCTGTCGAAGCAGGCTGAAGACGAGCAGATGTTTGCCACTGTGCTCCTCATCAGTGATGGTCCATGCTTTGGGTTCGAAGAGTGGAGTTGACTCTGGAACGCAGACAGCTCCATCCGAAGCATTGAACCCCTTGTCCCCTGCATACTTCATCGTGAATCCTCTGGCAGTGTTTAGCACCAAGTCGACGGTCATATTCTCACTCGTAGGCGCTTTGGACCGACTCAAGCCTCGCCCTTTATCTTCACCAACTAAAATGATTTAAGATAAAATAAAAACAAACAGGCCTCTTACTTAGATATGCGTGGGCATAGACCGCTCCATCCGATTGGCTCCATGAGACTTGAAGTGATGTACTCTGCATGCAATTTCCACTAATGCGGTCGCAAGCACCTTTCTTACACTCTGCAGCATCACCTTTGAACCGCCGGCTGTTGAGCTCTTCGATGACCATGTTGTTGACGCTGTAGACAAAAGGCAGGCTATAAAAATTAGGATAAATGAGCACAATTTAACTGTCAAATAGAATAAGATAGTAAGAACTCACGTGTTGTTATAGCTGTTGCCGAGTTTGTGACCATTGTCAAGGCATTTGTTGAGTCCTCCTTTTATGCTTCGCACTCCGGTCGTGAACTTGATCGTGCTGTTGTTCGACGCGTCTTTGCTAAGAAGATCCACAGTGCATCCTTTGCTGCCGTTATTGTACCGAAGCTCGCTGAAATTAAAAAAAACATGTCAGTTACGATTAGCAATAGCAAAGAATAAAAAAAAGTCCTCACATGTAGTCGTCTTCGATTGTAACATCGCAGGCGTCCGGATACCGCTTCCTGAAGTTACAATCAGCAAGGTCGAAGTTCGTCCTGGTGGCAATTATGGTTCTGTCGGTGAGCGTCACTGTGTTGTTTTCCTTTGTGTGCTTGCCGAATCCGACTTCTTCGCTGTTGACCTGTTCAAAAACTGCAAGTGCGGCGATGGTGAGCAGCAGCAACAGAGAGCACAGCGTTGGCGACTTCTTGGTCCATGGTCCGGTGTTGAGGTCCATTGGAAGGCAGCGAATGAGTATTTAGAGATGCGGTAGACGATGTAGACGTTCGATGAGTTGCGATGAATGTTTTGTAGAGCTGGTGGGAAATGAATGAAATGCGGGGGCTTTTATAGTATATTCTCCAGAAGGAAGACCGAAATTGCCAGCTAAGAGACTTGGAGGTTATAAAAGCAGTTTTAGTGAAATGTTCAATATCTTCATTTGCCTCTCACCACGCCAGTCATCGACAGGACTAAACTACAATGACGTCTCCAACAAACAACTGCTGCCACCCGAAGCAACAACAACCGCAAACGACAGCAAGTGAACTGGCGAGTGTCATGCAGGAATTGCGTCAACGATTCGACAAACCGACGAACCCGAACGATGTGCCAGTTCAGCCTGTGCTGAAGGAGAAGCAGAAAGAACAGCTTAGCTTTTTCCAAAGGAAGGATGCCTTCATGAGGGAGTGTCAAAAGCGATTTGCAAGTAGGATACATTAATTAGCCATTCTGTTAAAATCTCTATTATTTTTAGGACGTATTTTCGTTCCGATCGTGGTCCGGAGTGCAGCCGAACTTCTCAACGACAGGAAGCTATTTCCGGTGGAGGAGTATTGTGATCGTCCAAGTTCGCAATACAATTGCGATTATGGCTGTCAGCATACAAAATCTTGCGAAGCTCTATTCGCGTATACTCCTGAGCAGATGGAGCTTGCTGCCAGATTTGCTCCCGAAACTCCGGACTTCTTGACAAAAAAATCCAAGCTGGAAACCTTGGAGAAACCTGATGAGGAGGAGGAATGTAAGTTCTTGACAAAAAAATCCAAGCTGGAAACCTTGGAGAAACCTGATGAGGAGGAGGAATGTAATTCAAAATAATCTTATGATATATCTTTAAGCGTCTGAGTACTGTAATGAGGCCATTGATCAACGTGTCTGCTCTGACCAACATCTTGCCGAGTTCGACTCGAAGCAACAACCGCAAACGACAACAGAAGATCTGACAAGTGTCATGCAAGAACTGCGTCAACGATTCGACAATCGGACGGTCCAGAACGATGTGACGGCTCAATCTGTACAGAAGGAGGAGCAGAAAGAACAGCTCAACTATTGCCAGAGAAAGGATGCTTCCGTAAAGAAATGTAAGGGTTTAACTAAACGAATTTAGTTTTTTGTTTAAATGTTTTTAGATGGCTACTATTTTTGGACCATGAGCGCGCATGACCTTTTCAACGACAGGGAGAAATTTCCGGTAGAAGAGTGGTGTGATCGTCCAAGCTCGCAATATGAGTGCGCTAATGGTTGTTGTCAGCATACCCAGTCCTGCCCATCTCTATTCGTGTATTCTCCTGAACATATGAAGTTTGCTGTTGAATTTGATTCTGTTCCCGATTTTTTGAAAGAAAAGTCCAAGCGGGAAACCATGGAGAATTTTGATGATGAGGATAGATGTAAGAAAATTTTGACTTTTACTAATCCTATAAACATGTTTTTAAGCGTCTGTGTACTCCGATTACATTGATATTGATCAACATATTGATCAATGTACATACTACATTAATCATCCTGCGTTCTCTAGCCGCCGACTTACTGCCAGGTCCGACTACCTCACTCCACTAGACACTCCTCCACTTGATGCCGTAACTGAAGATGGTCGAAGCGACAAGGCAGCAGCCAGCAATTTGACGTCATCTTCTGATGACTACTTTGGCCAGTCACCTGACTTCGGTCTTGAGCCTCTTCTGGGTTCATTTGAGGGTAATTTCTTCGGAGTTTTTCTTCCTCTAACTTTCCCTCCAATTCAGATATCAATTCTACAGAGACTTGCTCTCAAACTACCAATGAGAAAATAGATTGGTATTGGAAAAATGTATCGTCGGAAAGTGTATATATTTCGTGGGAAAGTATACACACCATGAAAGAGGAGCTTGATCCGGTAGAAGGTAGAAAAATTCTAATTCAAACTCAGCTCCCTCAAAATTTTTAAGGGCAATCTTATGACTACTCGGTTTTGTTCTCTCCCTCATTCTACGACTTGTGCAATGGATCGGCGTCTGAGGAGGCGTATTTTGATGTGGATAAATGTAAGCAAATTACGACTTCCACTTAAAATTATTCTCCAATGTACATATTTTTAAGTGTCTGTGTATTGCGATCAGACGTGGGCGAAACGTTTCGTTTCGTTTCGCTGTTTCGTTAGTTTCGTTATGTTTTTTCCTGTTTCGTCTCGTTTCGTGACGAAACAGTTTTAAATTTGTTTCGTTTCGTTTTGTTAACGAAACACCTGTGTTTCGTTAACGAAACATTACCGATTTTTTAAGCCAAAATATTACCCAAAAACTGAAAAAATTTCCCTTTTAGGGATGGCAATTCAAAAAATTTTTGCCTGCGGTGCTGAAAAGGGAAGAAATCTGGCTTAAGGACCTCCAAAATTCTCAAAAGTTTCGCCTGCGGCGCTGAAAACACGATGGTATAATTCTCCCTACACGATGGTATAATTTTTATTTCAAAATTTTTGAATACAGTTCGAAATGTTCCCTTGTAAGCATTTGCATAGATTAAGGTGAACTTTAGTAATATCGGGAAGAATTAAAGGAGTAATTATTAGAGGGGTTAAAGGGAATATGACTACTCGATCCCTCGATGTCCTCTTACTTCCCCAGATATCCTATTTGATCCTACTATGCCCCTTAATCCCTGATATATCGCGATGTCCTCCGATGACTTATGAGCCAGTTCCGATTTCCGGCTCTTCCGATTTTCAACACCTCTGACTGTTCTGACCCGTTTCATACCGGTGGTAAAAGTTCGGGACGTGACATATGTCATTTAATTTGTCTCGACGAGCTGAGTCGAACGGTACCACTCACTACATCAGCAAATGATTCTGGACCGAGTTATTAATGGTGATATAGGGAATTAGGTGAATTAAGGGAAAAATTGGCGTTTTAACTGATTGGGTCCACAACAAATGGCTAATAGGACCACAATGTGTGGCCTTAGATAATTCTATAATAACATATATGTCATTAGCGGCCCATTAACATGCTTAAAATTGAATAGTTATTGAAATAATTAAGTTTTTTGAGATTTTTTTGGAAATTAAAATGTTTCGTTTTGTTTCGTTTCGTTTCGTTAAATTTTGACTGTTTCGTTTCGTTTTGTTAACGAAACGATTTTTAAAAATTTTTGTTTCGTTTCGTTTCGTCCGAAAAAAATTTGGAGTTTCGCCCAGGTCTGATTGCGATCGGGCACTTATTGTATCGGCGTCTACTGGCAATGTCAACTCCTCGAGCACTCCAGTGTCAATTCCAACAATAACTAGATCGGCGTCTACTGTTTATTTGGGAGCAAGGACATCTCAAGGTGTGGATTTTCGGAAGATATTGAACTCTTCGAAAAAAATCTTTTAATTTTTAGAATCCTTCTACTGCCTCCCTACTTCCAAAATACAGCTACGTAAACCCGCGTCTCCAAGCGTGATCAAAGCTATTTTTCAAAGTTCTGATTCGGATATGGAGTCTGTTCCCTCTTCTATTCAGTCTTTTGTCAGTTTGCTTAGTCCACTCGAAGCAAGAGAAGAAGTGAGGAAGTTGGCATTGCAAGCCAACAATGTGGATGACTTCTTCGAATTGATGTAAACACTTAATTTTCTGATTTTCCCCAAATTTTCTTTCATTTTCCAGTCCAGACAATTTGCTCGACAACTTCTTCTCCGACTACAAAATGTTGGTGCGACATAAAATGTTGGAAGAGCAATGTGATAATATTAGGGAAGAACTGATGAAACAGCCCAAAAAAGCTGATGATTGAGGGGAGAGATGACAATAAGAATGGATGAGAATTGATAATATATAAAAATATTCTATAGGTCATCGCTATATTACATCCTCTAATTATGCCATTAAAGGCGACTACTTTGTTAGGAGTTTGTATGTATTTGTAAATTATCCCCAATTATTTTTTCTGTTTAGTAAAAGAATAAAAAATTTAAATGTTTCCTGTTATTGAGTATTTCTTTGTTAATTAGGCTTACAATTAGAGTTACCAAAATCGATAGGGTCCCAAAAGTCTAATTAATAGTTCATCGAAAGAGCTCGTGGAGCCGAGTCGAATGACAGAAATAAATGAAATTGAAATGATGAACAAGGTTATAACATTTGTCTCAATCCCTCACATAAGGTCTTTGTGGAAAATATCTTTTGTCGCTGCAGAGGAAGCCAGGCATATATAGCGGAACCAGGCATGTTCACTTGGTCTCTTATAGGTTCACTTGAGGGTGAATTCTTTTGAGTTTTTCCCTCTAATTTCCAATTCAGATAACAATTCTACAAAGACTTGCCCTCAAAATACTAATTAGTATGACCGAAAGAAAGCCGTTGATCATAATTAATAACCAGTTGCTCATAATTTTATCTCAATTGATATCATGAGTCACCTCATATCGCTTCAAATCACTCTTAATCTATCCAAAATATATATGACCTTCTATTTGACTAGGGAAAATTCGTTATTGCTAAACCATCTACAAACTGCGCGGACATTTATTTATGGGACTTGACGAGCTCTTTCGAATGAGCCATCATTTGCATATTTATACCTCAAAATTCAGCTTGGCCCCCAGCTAGCAAAGAAAAGTAGGGGGTATAAAAGCAGTTTAAATCTGACGTTCAATATCTTCCTTCGCCTCTAACCACGCCACTCATCGACAGGACTAAACTACAATGTCGTCTCCAACATACGAACAAATGCAAACGGCAATAAGGGTTGTGGCGAGCGTCATACACGAATTGCGTCAACGATTCGACAAATCGACGAACCAAAACGATGTGCCGGTTCAGCCTGTGCTGAAGAAGAAGCAGAAAGAACTGCTTTTTTTCAGGGAGTGTTCGAAGCGTTTAGGAAGTAAGATACATTTACCAGCCGTTCTCTCTAAATCCTTATTATTTTTAGAGAAAATTCTCGTGCGGATGCAGCAACGGAGCGCGCCTCAACTTCTCAACGGCAGGGAGAAATTTTCAGTGAAGTGGTGTGATCGTCCAAGCTCGCAATATGGCTGTCAGGATACCAATTCCGCTCCGGACTTCTTGACAGAAAAGACCAAACGGGAAACCATGGAGGAGCCTGATGATGAGGAGAAATGTAAGCAAATTACACGACTTTCACTTAAGATTATCCTCTAATATATTTTTCAGTGTCTGAGTACTGCAATGAGGCACTAATTAAATCGGCGTCTACCGGAAATGTCAACTCTCTGAGCACTCCAGTGTCAGTTCCAACAATAACTAGATCGGCGTCTACTGGCAATTTGGGTTCTACTGGCAACTTCAGTTCTTCCACAGCTCAACAACAGCCTATGTTCTCTTCTAGCGTGATGCTCGAAATTCCTCATTCTGAAGTGGAGTCTGTTCCTTCTTCTATCCTGTCTTCTGCCTGTTTGCTTAGTCGACTCGAAGCGCGAGAGAGAATGTGTAAATCCTGTCGTCGTGCAGGGCCGCAATATGACAGCTTTTTTGGATGTCGTCATACCAAATCCTGCCCGGGTCTCCTCGAGTATCCGTCTGAGATGATGAAGTTTCTTGTCGACTGCGAGGATATAACTGGCCAAAGACACCCTACTTTCTCGACAAAAAGGGCTATGGAAATCGCGGAGGAGTGCGATGTTGAGGAACAATGTAAGCTGCAAAATTTCGACTTTTACACTCAAAATGATACTTTACATTTTTAAGCGTCAATGAACTCTGTTGGGGATTGTAATCGACCTTACTGCTGCTGTAGCCTACAACTTGCCAGGCACTACGACTACCTCTTTCCACTAGACACTCCTTCACGTGATGCTGTGACCACAGATGATAGAAGCGCCAAGACTGCAAGCAATTTGAGATCATTCTCTCCTGATGACTACTTTGGCCAGACATCTGAAAACTTCAGTCTTGAGCCTCTTCTAGGTTCACTTGAGGGTAATTTCTTCTGTGTTTTTCTTCCTCTAATTTCCCTCCAATTTTCAGATATCAATTCTACAAAGACTTGCCTTCAAGCTACCCATCAGAGAAATTACTTCGTGGACGAGGAGTGGGGTTTGGACTTTGTTTCTGTTGGTTCGTCATGTGTAAGCCTGAATACCATGGAAGAGCTTGATCCGGAAGAATGTAAAATTTAAACGAATTCTCCTCTAAACACCTTCAAAATTTTCAGGGCAATTGTTAGAATCCTCTGTTAGACCACTTTCCACATTAGACGACTTCTCCACAGGATCAGCATATACTACTAGCGACTCTTCTATTCAATCTTCTGTCAGTCTGCTTAGTCCACTCGAAGCGCGAGAAAAAGTGAGGAAGTTGGCATTGCAAGCCAACAATGTGGATGACTTCTTCGAATTGATGTAAACACTAAATTCTCTGATTTTTTTTCACAATTTTTTTCTTTTTTTTTTCCAGTCCAGACGATTTGCTCGACAACTTCTTCTCCGACTACAAAATGTTGGTGCAACATAAAATGTTGGAAGAGCAATGTGATAATATTAGGGAAGAACTGATGAAACAGCCCAAAAAAGCTGATGATTGAGGGGAGAGATGACAATAAGAATGGATGTGAATTGATGATTGATGAGAATAATAATAAAATATAAAAATATTTTGTATAGGTTCAGGCTAAATAATGGTCTTTAAATTGGTGTTTTTGGGGAAATTTTTTGAAAATTCGATTGAAAAATTTAGGGGCAATTATTTTTGGCGTTCTGTTTATTACTTGAAAAAATCAATTTTTGGGGTTTAATTTTCTAAAAAACATCAATTTTCGGCAAATCTCTCCTTTCTTGATTCCCTCATAAATATTCCCTCAACTCAACTCGTTTATTGTAATAAGGCCTTTAATGGCGACCCAACTCGTTAGGATCTGTATAAATCATTTCCATATATTCGCTAATATAATTTTCGTTTGTTTATCGATTTGTGCGTTTCACTTGTATTTTTTGTGTATGTAAAACTTAAAAATTGAGTTTTTAGATTTTTGTTAGGCTTAATTCAAAGTTTTATCAAAAAATTTATTTTTCTTCTTCAATGGCGGACACTATAGAATTTGCAAATGTTTTTCAAGAGGAGATGGGAGGCTTGGTATTTTTTAAATTTATTTTTTTCTGATACATATTTGGGGTTTGAAATATTCTATCATTGGGTCAATTGATTTCCAATAAATGGCCGAAAAAATATTTTTGATAACTTGATATTTATCCATAATTTATTTAAAAACACTGGTCGGTTCAGGAGGACTTTTTCCATTTTTTGGAGCCGGATCCTATTTTTCGGAATTTTTTTTATTTCGGGACTTGGCTGCAACGTGTGTTTTCAAGAATATTTTTGTTTCCACGGAATTTTTGAATTTTGTCCGCAAATTTCAAAAGTCCGCAAATTTTTTTTCAAATTTTCAGAACGACGGATTTTTGAAGTTTTCTAAACAAGGCGTCCAATTTAAAAGTAAAGCAACGGGGAAATTGATGACTATAAGCCCTCTAGAGATTGATCAATTTGCTTGGCAGAAGTTGGGAAACAAGCCTGGAATTAAGGTTATAACGAATCAAGGAGTTCATCATCGTTTTGGAGGGTTGAAAGAAAGTGTAAGTAATTTTATAGAGCAAATTGATACAATAAATATTTTAAGGATTTTGATAAAATTTCAAATTTTGTTTCTTCAAAGCTGGACTCGTCTTTGAAGAGGAATGACCTTTCATTGAAAGGGTGGAATTATGGAGAGACTGAATTTGAAGGTTACTTTAAAAAATTTTTTTATTGATTTAGACAGGCCTGCCCTGACGCAACCCATTTGAGATATATGTATAAAACGGATAGGCTTTGGTTGGTACCGAAATCGGTATGTTATGGGGTCTGCGGTAGACTGCTAGCAAGGGTGCACCTCTCCCTTTCCCCTTCCCAAAGACTATGTTGCCCTGCTTTTGTTATTTTTATACAATTAACTGATATAATATTATTCAGGACAGAATTTAATTTTCAATATTGGCGAGAAAATAGCCTTTGAAGTTCCTCTGTCTAATGTAATGCGTTGTGTTGGAAGCAAGTCTGAGGCTATTGTTGAATTTATTGCAAATGAGGAATCTCCTGTTCAACTTACAGAAATGCGTTTTCACATTCCACAAGATCCAGAAAATGAGGATCAGGATATTGTTGAGGTTTGTCATTTTTGTTAAAAATTGTTTTGTCCGCAAAAAATTTGCGGACAAAATTTTTGTCCGCAAATTAAATCCGCAAAATTTTTTTAAAATTTTTCAGGAATTCCGAAAAGAAGTAATGAGATTTGCCGAGGTCGAAAGCGAGAAAGACCAAGCAATTGTTACACTTCCAGATATTTTATTGGCAACACCTCGTGGACGTTATGAAATCAAAGTCTTTCCAAATCATCTTTCTTTCCACGGAAAATCTTACGACTACAAAATACCTCTAAAAACAATTATGAGAATGTTTTTACTTTCACACAAAGATGGAAGGCATATGTATTTTGTTTTGCACATAAATCCGCCAATTCGACAGGGACAGACTAGATATCCTTTTCTTGTTTTGGAATTTTCAAAGGAGGATCATATTGAACTTGATTTGTGTTTGACAGAGTTTGTTTATATTTAAAGATTTAGTCTAGTTCTAAGTACTCTGAGTAGAGTTTGGGGTTTAGAATCGGGCTAGCGTTCGAGTCGTTTTTCGGGCTTTATTTTTATCGGGTCGTTTCGACCGTGTCTTTTTCGGGCTAAAATCTGATGCCCGACTCGTTCTTTCGGACTGGACCGGGCCCCACCCCTAACTTCGAGGTTTTTCATTTCCGCTATCGAGTTTGGAAAAAACCTTATAGAATGGTACTAGAGCAGAATTCCTGGAGGATTATTCCCTGGGTGAAAAAAATTTTTTTTTCATTTGCCGTGTCTTTTTTCCTATTTTGCCTCCCAAAAATTTTCTTAATTTTCAATTTTATTTTCATAACTTACTTTTTGTAGTCGCACCTAATATCAGATAAAATCCCTGACCCTTATTGAAAAAATTCGTTTAATTTTCCAATTTTATTGGTCAACTACTAACTACTAAATTTACTATTTTAAGAATTCTAATCTTTTAATTTTTTAATTTTTAAATTTTCTAGAGAACAACTTGCCCAACAGTACCAGAACAAATTGGATATGCACATGCGTGGATATCTTTATGAAATAATTGCCAAATTGTTTCGAGTTCTGGTTAATTCTCGAATTATTGTTCCTGGAAATTTTACAGGGTTTCTTTCAAATTTCAAAAAATTTTCAAAAAAAATTTTTTTCAGCGCCTCGGGGACTCCGGCAATTTCCTGTGCCGTTCGTCAATCTATGGGATTTTTGTATCCATTAGAAAAAGGATTTGTTTATGTCCACAAACCAGCATTATATATTCGGTTTGAGGAGGTTGATAATGTTCATTTTGCTCGTTCTGATGTTTCTACACGTTCTTTTGATTTTGAAATTGTACAAAGAAGTGGAACATCTATTACTTTTAGTAATATTGGAAAGTTGGTTTTTTTATTTGATTTTTGGGAGGTGTTAAGAGATGTGATTTATTTGTGTGTTCGGTCTTTTCAATTTGGTCTTAAAATAATAAAAAAATTTCGATGAGGATTTGTGAGGGAAATCACTTTAAAAAATTTCTTTCATGGATTACCCGAAACACGGACTTTTTTCACCCGCGGCATTCCTGATATACACCATGATTAAGTGTCTATCATTCAAACTTACTAGGCCAAGGTTTAAGATTTATTTTATAAGAGGAGGTGTAGCTCATTGTCAGTCTATAGAGCACGTTGGGAGATCGCAGGGACAATGCCTCTCCGAGGCTAAACTTTTACTCCTCTCTTATTGTTCTCTTTTATGGTATTTTTTCAATTAAATCTTCAAAAATTTTTAGGGAAGAATATAACAAATTGTTTGATTATGTCCAATCTAAAGGTTTAAAAATTCGAAATGCTCAACGTTTGGGTGAAAAATCTTATAAAGAAGACAAATTTGCTGCTTCTAGTGATGAAGAATTGGATCCATATAAAGAAAAATTGAAGGATGATGCTAGGGAAAGAGCTGCAAATTCTGATTCAGATTCGGAAGATGGTAAGGAAAATAATTTTTTTGGATTTATTTTAACTTTAAAAAATCCCTAAGATTGGTTGGACTTGGGAATAGAGTTGTTGGTTCTTGGAAAGTCTTCAGATTCCGAAACCGAGCAGAGTAACCGAATCGAAAAATCATCAGTTCTTCAGTCCGGTGGACCGACAACCTTAAGTGGGAGTTTATATCTATTTTATTTTTTTATGTCAGATTTTTGGTTTTCTTCAAAAGATAGGACAAAACCTTTTAAAATATAAAATTTTCTAATTAAAAAATTCCCACTAGGGTTGCCGCCAGAAACCCGGCTTTTTTTGTACCGATACCCGAAAATAAAATTTTCCAACCGGAAACCCATACCCGATATTTTTGCCAACCCGTGACCCGAAATGAAAACGCTCCAACTCGAAACCCGTATCCGAAGATTTTTTGTACCCGCGGCAACCCTGATTCCCACATAAACTTTTTTTTAATTCTTCCATCAAATTTAAAATAAAAATTTTTTAAACAGAGGATTATGATATGGAGAAAGATTTGAAAAAACGTGAAAAAGAAAAGGAATCGTCTGAAGGTTCTGGATCTGAACCAGATGAGGAATATGATAGTAGTGCTGCTGCTTCTGTTTCTGATGATTTAATGGATGGAGGAGGGGAAACTGAAAAGACAACAAAAAAGAGTGAAAAGAAGAAAAAAGAAAGGAAAGAAAAAAAGGATAAAGTATCCAAAAAAGGAGGTGGCGAAAAGAATGATAAGAAGGAAAAGAAGAAGAAGAAAGATCCGAATGCTCCAAAAAGAAATCAGGTAAATTTCAAAATGATTTGAGTTACAATTACTAGTGATGGGTGGGAGTTAAAAAACTCGAGAGTCAAACCCAGACCGGGAATAAACCCCGAGACTGAGAGATTAGGAGGGATATCACTTGATATCCCTCCTATTCCAAAAAAAAACCCTTGATATCCCGGGAACTTTCCCGACTCGGGTACCGAGACCGAGAGTCTCGACCATCACTAATAATTACCAGCCTTAAAGGGAATGCCCGAACAGGTATCGAAAACCTGTGACCCACAACAAGACACATGTCTAGTTATAAAAATTGCTTTGTGTCTTGCAAAAGAAAATAATATTCAAAAAAAGCAGAGACAAAATTGTCCGAATTTTTTCTTTCTTTTTCTCCCTATTATCTTTTCTGTCGCAAGACGCAAAGCTATTTCTATTTGAGTCGTAGTATTTTTTATAATTTATTCTCAAATAATAAAAATTTTTCTAGACAGCCTTCTTTTTATGGCAAACAGAAAATCGTTCAAAAATTAAAAAAGAGGGTGATACAATTGCTGAAACTGCTACTAGAGCTGGTCAGATGTGGAAGGAAATGAGTGCTGAGGATAAACAGGTGAGGAGGGGATTTTTCTGTTACAAAAAATTTCTTTAAAAAAATTTTTTTTCCTCTCTAGCCTTATGAACAAAAAGCTAAGGAAGACAAGGAACGCTATGAGCGTGAAATGAAAATTTATAAAGACAAAAAACAAAAATCGGATGAAGAAAGTAACAATGAAGATGATGAACCTTCAACTAGTGCAAAGGCAACGAAGGCTTCTTCTAAACCGTCTTCAAAACCATCAACAACAAAATCATCAGCAAAAAATTCTAGCCCAATTAAAAAGCCAATCTCAAAAGAATTTGTTGATGACTCGACTGATTCTTCTTCTATTTCTGATTGAATTAATTAATTAAAAATATTTTTTTTGCGTGAGTATGTGAACTCTAAATATCTGACTATATGAAAAAAAATTACTCTCCATTACTTTTTATTTATTTTTATGGTATTATGACAAAAAATAAATTTTCTTGGTTGAAGAATGTATTTTTCTTTAATTTTCAATTTCGAATTTTTTAAGTTAGACAACCCCAAAAAGATTGAAACTATAAACCTGGATAGAATCAAAACAAGGAATTTAATATTAGGAAATAAATGGTAATCCCGAACGTTGATTTTCGTGCTTAATTCAATAAGATTGAGAGAATTATATTGAAAAAAGGTCAAATATAAGCCTACTAGACATCAAAAAAATTTTCCCCCTATCCTTAGTTTTTAGACTTTATCTCACCAAGCTTTTTCCTCCCCAAATCGGTTTAGATTAATTACGTCATGAATAAATAAACCAACAGAATTAGTCAGCTTTTTAAAATCAACTAAAATAGATTGTCAAAAGAATACTTTCTAAGAGACTACCCAAAAGATCACCACTAAAATTTTTTATTCTCCCCTGTTGATCTTTTAAAATCTCCAAATTTATATGGATAAAATTCCATTAAAAAATATAGCACAGCTGATCACTGAATGCTTATTGAGAGAAAGAGTGTTCCGCTTCAAATAACTTTTTGTGTTGTTGAAAAATCACTTAAAATTTTTAAAATAAATTTCTATGATCACAAAAAATTTTTCCAATTTTTTCTCTCTCATTTTTCCTCTCTTCTCTACTCCTGCAGGACTGCTAGAGTCAGGGAGCCAGTAGAATAAAAAATGAGATGTGCACAAAGTTAAGACTTTAAAGGTAAAGGGGGAAATTTAATTAGGTTCTCAGTAAATTGGGAAAAATGGACAAAAAAACAACGCATGGACAAACGGTTAAGGACGATTCAGTATCCGCCGATTCAGTATATGGCTATAACTTTCCTGATATCCGACCGATTTGAATAATTCTCATATCATTCGAAAGGTCTCGAGATTCGACATCTTTTTCATAATTGGCCCGATCAGATCTGATGATCACAAAAAAAGTTACAGCGTGAAAACTGATTTTTTAGGCCTGTGACGTCGTTTATCAGTGATAACTTTTTGTAGAGTGATCAGATCAGGATAGTCCAATTATGAAAAAGATGCAGCACCCCGAGGCCTATCAAATCATATATAATAATTCCCACAATATTGATCGAGCAAAAAGTTATGGCCAAAAAAGCCAAATACTGAATCGGCCAATACTGAATCGGCGATACTGAATTGGCGATACTGAATCGGCAATACTGAATCGTCCCCTACCCTGGACAAACACCCAAGAAATTAAAAGGACAGAAGAGTCTTAGGGTTTGTCTAGAAATTGTCTCCTAGACAAGACTAATAAATAAATATATTTTTAAATGGAACCTTTAAAAACAACCTAGAATGATAAAAAAAGGGTCTGACAAAGACTGATCTTGATTAGACTGATAAATGATTAACTAGATAAGAGCAATCAATCTTGTAAGATATACGAGACTCTAATGGACCTATTTTATATTAGTGGTCATTTTTATTTTATTTTTTTACTTTTATTTTTTTTCTTTCCATGAGTCATCCCTAATTAATTAATTTAATTAAAATTCCAAAACAGCATTAGTTAAACAATTTAAAAATCAGTTAAAAAGCTCTCATTTATTTAATCAATCAATCCGCGTAAACCAATTTATATTATTTACTTGCTTCTTCTACTTTTTACACAACAAATATTAAACTAGTTTTTTTTTCATCGTTTTTCACCTTTCTATTTTTTTCCTTTAAGCAAAAATCAATTTCTATTTAAAATTGATTTTTAATTAAGAAATTTTTTAAATTGAAAAAAATTTTTGGTCATTGTCCGCAAATTTAATCCGCAATTATTTTTTTGGTCATTTAAAAAATTATTTTTTGGTCACTAATTTAATTTAAACCCCCTTAGAGTCTTTAATTCCTCAAAAAGATTATTTCCTCCGGTAATAGTGTCGTTTCCAGTCCGCATTTTTCCTCCCCGATTTTTTACCCTATGTTTGTACGGAATGGTCAAATTTTCCCTTTTCTTCCATCAAATTTGCCTTTCCACATTTTGCCTAAATACAATCAAAAAGATCAATTTTTATTCAGTACCTGTTCGATACCTGTTCGACCCCCACATTTGTAGCAAGTTCTTTTTCCATGAAGTAGTCCAAGCTTCTCAAGCCATGCATCGAAATCATTATCACTCAAACGTAATTTTTCATATAAATCAATAGGTTTGAAATTCTTTAGTTCTTCCATTTTTATTAATTGGGAAAATGATTCTTCTCATTACTCTAATCTTATTTAAATATCACAAATTAATCTTTTTGATTGTTTTTAGGCAAAATGTGGAAAGGCAAATTTGATGAAAGAAAAGTGAAAATTTGACCATTCCGTACAAACATAGGGTAAAAAATTAAGGAGGAAAAATGCGGACTGGAAACGACACTATTACCTTTCCTCCTTTTCTCCTGTTTTTCTTCTTTTTTTTTTCATCTGATAATTTATTTGCGGACAATCCGCAAGTTTTATTCGGTAATTAACTAAATTAGCTATTCAAGCTTTTTATGAATAAAAACGTAATAATTCTGATTTAAATAGCAAAAATCAGAATTTCTGTAATGTATAAAAAATAGATACCCATATTTTTATTCTAAAAAATACTTGCGGATTAAATTTGCGGACATTGATCAAATAACGAAAAAAATTTTTTTTAGAATTTAACGTTAAATTATTTAAATATTAAAGAATATGTTTATCTATTTATTGTTTGTTTTGTTGATGGAAATTAGTAGAGTGTCAGCTGCGTCAAAGTGTGTTTGGGTAGGTCCGAAATTTCAAAAAAAAAATTTTTTTGCGGACGATCCGCAAATTTAATTTTTTAAATTTTAAAGGTTCGCGGAGCTATTTTATGTCATAAAGACCCTTCTAAACAATTTAATGTTGTGAGTGTCATTTAAGAGAATTATTTAAAAAAATTTTTAATTTTAAAGGAAGTTAGAGTCTATGATAGAGATGGTTATGGTGTTCTTAAAGTAGTTGATCCCGATGATCTTATGGGGTAAAAAATAAAAATAAATTTTAACCTCGCTATAAGCTAGCCTAAAGGGATTAAAAATTATCGTAGCTTACCTATTGAGGGGTATATACTAAATGGAGGTACCCCTCATTATAAGGGACTCTCATTATGAGAGACTATTTTTTGACCTTATAATGAAGTTTGGATTAGAGGGTATCATCCAGTCAGCTCCCCTATCTAGTGATCAACCAGGTTTAGAAAACTTCTCTTAAATAGAGGTGTACCTTAAATAGAGGTACTCCTAATATTATACACCCTTATGAGAGACTAGTTATTGTACCTTGTATGGATTAGAGGGTATCGTCGGTTAAATAGAGAGGGTGTGTCTAATTTTGAGAGTATCTTATAGTGAGGTTTGACTATAATTTAAAGAAAAAATTAAAAAAAATTTTTTTCCAAAGAATTACTTTTACTGAACCAGACGGCACTTTTCAATTGGATGGGTGTGGGAAGGACTTTGATTGGATTCCTGGAGTGGTGGTAAATTTTTAAATATTTTAGAAAAATTAAATAAAGAGTTTAGGAGGGTAAAAACAAATTTAAATAATTCTAAAAAATTGTGGGAGGCAAAGTGGTTCGAACCCACGACCCCCTTGGCTCCGCAGGCAAGCACACTACCACTTAACCATAAGGGGATTTTTTTGTTTTTCCAAAGGTTTTTAAATAATTTTGTTTTCCCAGCCAAACAACCCTGATCCGTACATTCAAATTCTTCATTATTGCAACACTCCGAAAGGCGAGACTTTGGAGCTCCCTGAATTTGACACATTTGTTGTGAGTTAAAAAAATTTTTTTTTAAATTGAAAAAAAATTATTTTCAGCCACGGACTCACGATGTTGGCATAGTTATTTTGGATTCAAAGAAAACAACAAATGCCCCAGTTACTTTTCCGACTATAAACAAACCGAGACATAAATTGGCTGAATCTGAGGAGAAAGGAGGTGGACAGCTGGTAAATGAAAATATTTTTTTCTCAGACTCTAGTGTCCTTTTTAAATTTAGTCTCTTCATCATTTGCTTACCAAAGAAGTCATTCCTTCCAAGGACTATAAAAATAATTCTTCTGTTTTGTGGGACTCGTCAAGTATTGAATTGGACGATTCTGACTCTAAAGGTGCTTATTTTTTTAATTTTTTAAATTAAAAAATTTAGAAAACAAAACATCCCTTTATGAGGAGCGACGCCCTAATTTGACAAAAACAAAATTTTATAACAACAACGTAACTGAGGAAATTTCTACAGAACTTAAACGTGACTGAAAATTTTTTTTAAATTTTTTGTTTTTTGTGACATTGGCTAGGTCGTTGTAAATTTACGGATTTTTGAAATGGTCAGATTTAGGGTTGGATTTTTCGAGACGGGCCTACGTTCGAGGCATTTTTTCGGGCCGGGCCGTTGGAGTCTTTTTCGGGCCAAAAATCAAGGCCCCCAACCCTTGTCAGATTTAAAAAAGGACTACTATTTTACAGCAACGACCTAGTAATTATTTTTCGTTTCTCTGGGGGCATTCTATTTAAAAACCTTTTCTCTGCATTTTACTTTAAAGAAAATTTATTTTCAATACAAAAATCTGTATTATAACATTTACTTAAATCTTTTTTTTTTATTTATTCATGTAAAAAAGAATTTAATTTCTGAAGAGAATAAAGAAATTTTAAAAATTATTTGGATATTTAATTAAGACACAGATTCAATTTTTAAATATTTATACATACTTTAATAATCCACAATTATTTTCAAGGATAATTTACTCAAATCCTAACAAGTTTCCGCATTACTAGGGCATTTTGATTACAAAGATAAGTTGAGGGAATATTTACGAAGGAATCAAGTATAGGAGAGGCTTGTCGAAAATTGGTGTTTTTCCTCCAAAAAATTGATTTTTCCAAGTAAAAAACGAAATGCCAAAAATAATTGCCCCAAGAATTTTCAAAAAATTTTTTCAAAAATTTTTCCAAAAACACCAATTTAGAGACCAATATTTAGCCTAAACCTATACAGAATATTTTTATATTTTATTATTATTCTTATCAATTCACGTCTGTTCTTGTCATCAATCATCAGCTCTTTTGGACTGTTTCATCAGTTCTTCCCTAATATTATCACATTGCTCTTCCAACATTTTATGTTGCACCAACATTTTGTAGTCGGAGAAGAAGTTGTCGAGCAAATCGTCTGGACTGGAAAAAAAGAGAAAATTTGTGGGGAAAATCAGAAAATTTAGTGTTTACATCAATTCGAAGAAGTCATCCACATTGTTGGCTTGCAATGCCAACTTCCTCACTTTTTCTCGCGCTTCGAGTGGACTAAGCAAACTGACAGAAGACTGAATAGAAGAGGGAACCGACTCCATATCTGAAAATTAAAAGATTTTTTGGAAAGAAAATTTTTGAAAATTCACCATCAGATGTGCTTGTTCCCACGTCGTCAGTACATGTCGATCCAGTGAAGAAGGCAAGCTCTTCCATTGTATGCATTGTATTGACACGTTCCCACGACCCAACAACATCAGCAACAGAAACAAAGTCCATACCCCAGTCCTCATCCAAGAAGTACTACTCTTTCTGAATGGTAGTTTGAAGGCTCACTGTTTCTCTCGCTTCGGGAGGACTAAACAGAAAACTGACAGAAGACTGAATAGAAGAGGGAACAGATTCCATATCTGAAAATTGAAAAGATTTCTTGACAAAAGAAAATCTTTGAAAATCACACCTTCAAAGTCGCCAGTAGACGCCGATCTAGTTATTGTTGGAACTGACACTGGAGTGCTCGGGGAGAAGACATTTCCGGAAGACGCCGATGACATAGCAAAGAAGTCGTCGAATGAGGCAAAGGGTCTAACAGAGTATTCCAACAATTGCCCTGAAAAATTTTGAAGGTTTGTTTTTGAATGATTTTAAAAGTTTTTACATTTTTCCGGATCAAGCTCTTCCATGGTATTCAGGCTTACACATGACGAACCAACAGAGACAAAGTCCAAACTCCATTCCTCGTCCAAGAAGTAATTTCTCTGATTGGTAGTTTGAGGGCAAGTCTTTGTAGAATTGATATCTGAATTTGAAGGAAATTAGAGGAAGAAAAACACAAAAGAAATTACCCTCAAGTGAACCTAGAAGAGGCTCAAGACTGAAGTTTTCAGATGTCTGGCCAAAGTAGTCATTAGAAGATGATGTCAAATTGCTGGCAGCCCTGTCGCTCCTAAAGTTGGCTGTTACAGCATCAAGTGAAGCAGGAGTGAGGTATTCGTAGGACCTGGCAATAAGTCGACGGCTAGAGCAGGAAGGACGATCATTGCCACCCTCGTAGTACTCTGACGCTTAAAAATTAAAAAATCAGTTGTATGTAAAAGTCGAGTTCCAAAACTTACATTTTTCATCCGCATCACACTCCTCCACGTTTTCCTGCTTGGACTTCTTAGTCAAGTAGGTTGGACCTCTGTGGCCAGTTATGGCTTCGACTTTGGCAATATGCTTCATATACTCAGGAGAAAACTCGAAGAAAGCTTCGCAGGATTTTGTATGCTGACAGCCATAAGAGCAATTATATTGCGAGCTTGGACGATCACACCACTCCTCCTTCGGAAACATCTTCCTGTCGTTGAGAAGTTCTTCCGCGCTCCGCATCTGGATCCGTTCGATAATACCCCCTAAAAATAATAAGGCTTTAAACAAATTGGTTAGTGAATGGATCTTACATCCTAAACGCTTTAGGCACTCCTCCCAAAAAGCCTCCCTCCTTTGGAAGAAGCTAAGCTGTTCTTTCTGCTCCTCCTTCTGCACAGATTGAGTCGGCACATCCTTCGCGGTCGTCCGATTGTCGAATCGTTGACGCAATTCCAGCATGACACTCGTCAGATCTGCTGTCGTTTGCAGTTGTTGTTGCTTCGGGTCGAGCTTGGCAAGATGTTGGTCAGAGCAGTCAGGCTTATCAATGGCCTCATCGCAGTGCTTAGGCGCTTAAAAATATGTTATAGGATTAGTAAATTCTAGGCTCGCTTACATTTCTCGTTACCATCAAGCTTCTCCATGGCTTCCCGCTTGGACTTGTTTTTCAAGAAATCCGGAGTTTCGGGATCCAATTTGACAGCAAGCTTCTTCAGTCTAGGAGAATACACGAAAAGGGACGGGCAGGATTTGGTATGCTGACGGCCATAAAAGCAATCAGGCCAAAAGAGAAATCTTTCTGAACAATCACACAACTTCCCCTCTGGAAATTTGTTCCAGTCGCTGAGAAGTTCTGTCTCACTGCACATCTCGATCTTGGAGAAAATATCCCCTAAAAATAATAATTTAAACAGCATAGCTGGTGAATGTATCTTACATCCTAAACGCTTCTTACACTGCCTTCGGAAAGCATTTCTTCTCTGAAGATAGCTACGCTGCTTTTTCTGCTCCTTCTTCTGCACAGGCTGAACTGGCACATCGTTCGGGTTCGTCGGTTTGTTGAATCGTTGACGCAATTCCTGCATGACGCTCGCAAGTTCTCCTGCTGTCGTTTGCGGCTGTTGTTGCTTTGGATGACAGCAGTTGTGTGTTGGAGACGACATTGTAGTTTAGTCCTGTCGATGAGTGGCGTGGTAAGGGGCAAAGGAAGATATTGAACATTTCAATAAAACTGCTTTTATATCCCCTCTACGTTTCTTTGCTTGAAATTTCGCAGTTCCTTCTTGTGAAATACTATAAAAGACCCCCAACTTATTCACTTCCAACACCTCTACAAAACAATCATCACAACTTTTCAAACATCTGCATCATCTACACAAACAATTCTTCATGCTCGGCCTTCTTCCATTGGAGCTCGACACCGGACCCTGGACCAGAAAGTCGTCAACGCTGTGCTCTCTGCTGCTGCTGCTCACCATCGCCGCATTTGCAGTTCTCGGACAGGGCAACAGCGAAATAGTCGGATTCGGCAAGCACACAAAGGATGGAAACGACCAAGTGACGCTCACCGCTTACACCATAATTGCCAACAAGACGAACTTCGACCTTGCTAGTTATAACTTCAAGGAGCTGTATCAGGACGCCTGCGATGTTACAGTCGAAGAAAAATACATGTGAGGACTTTGTTATTTTTTAAAGGCTAATCGTAACTAACATTTTATTTCAATTTCAGCGAGCTTCGGTACAACAAAGGCAGCAAAGGATGCACTGTGGACCTGCTCAGCACCAACGCGGACAACAGCAACAAGATCAAGTTCAAGACCGGAGTGCGAGGAGACGCAAAAGGAGGACTCAACACTTGCCTCGGAGTAGGTTCCGGTATCGATGACAGCTATAACAACATGTGAGTTTTTACCCCCTTACATATTTTATTTGATAGTTAATTTACGCTAATTTTATAGTCTGCCTTTCGTCTACAGCGTCGACAACAAGGTCATAGAAGATCTCAACAACCGTCAATACAACGATACAAGAGCAGAGTGTAAAACAAATGCTTGCGGACGCTTTGGTGGAAAATGCAGATGGCACACATCACTTCAAGTCTCATGGAGCCAATCGGATGGAGAGGTCTATGCTCACACATATCTAAGTAAGAGGCCTGTTTGTTTTTATTTTTTAAAATCATTTTATAGTTGGTGAAAATAACAAAGGCTTGAGTCAGTTTAAGAAGCCGGAGGGTGAGAGTATGACCCTAGATTTGGTGATAAGTACTGCAAGCGGATTCACGATGGAGTATAAAGACGTCGAGCCATTTAACGCTAAGAAAGCTGAATGTGTTCCAGAGTCAGCTCCTCTCTTCGAACCCAAGGCATGGAACATCACGGAAGGTGATTACAAGAACAAACATCTGCTCGTCTTCAGCCTGCTTCGACAAAACGCAGCTTTAAAGTACGACGGAAACAACTTGGCAGAACCTCCAAATGGACCGAAGTGTGAACTCTTCGTTCAGTTTGTGAGTTTTTCAATTTTAAGACCTCTTTTTTTGATCCTAATATCTTTGTGACCCTCCTAATAATTTCGTTTTTCCTAGGATGCAAACGACTACAAGATGCTCATTGTACACATTCCAACGACAACGCCACCGACTACTTCAACGACCACGGAGGATCCGCCAACGGAAACATCAGACACGACTGAAACGACAGCTGATTCTTCATCCGCAACTCCGCCTACGACCGACAACGGCTCCACTTCCATCAAAACGACATCTCGAACAACGACAAAGCCCCCGGAACAACAAGAGCGTGGCGGAGGTCTCTACAGTTCAATTGGCATTGCTGCTGCTGGCCTCTCTGTCGGGATCGTCATTGCAGTTTTGGTCTGGTTCTGGATGAAGGACAAGGCAGAAAAGGATAAGAGAAAGTGGAAGCAGGATGCCGAACGCGCAGAAGAAAAACGACAACTTGCTCTGTACAAGGCTGAAGTGAAGATCAGAGGCAAAAAGGCCGTCGGGACATTTGATGTTTGGAAAAAGAATGTGAGTTTAAAAATTGAGAAAATACATTTAATCAACCTTCTTTTCCCATTTTTTCAGAGAAAGGAGAGTGATGAAACGACTGCGTTTGAGATGGGTTCAGTCGACGACATGATCGCTGTAATCTGGAAGAGAGTGGAGAAAGATCACGCCAAAGCCAAGATGCAGTTCCTTGTAGACCAGTTCGAGAAGCACAGGGACAACGAGGTCTACGCCCGCGAATATCAACCGGAAAGGTCTAAAAAGGGATATGATGCCGTTGGGGATTTCCTGTATTGGAAAAGGGTGAGAAAAATATTTTTTTCTAAAGTCAACTAGTCATGTTTATATTTTTCAGATGAGGAAAATCTATCCGTTCGAAGTGATCGATGGGACATCAACTGCGCTTGAATATGGGAGGGGAAAGAAGCCATATGATAAGCCGTATCTTCCCGGAGCCGTTGATGAGTCGATTCCAGAAACTGAATAGGGAGGAGGAGTTTGACATTCTGTGCCCGGAAGTTGTGTGGAGGTGACGCTCGAGATATAAAAATGTGTGATTATCTATATATTGTTCCTTTGCTATGTCCCTGTATATATTGTTCACATTGTTCCCCCCATATATTGTTCTCATTGTATGTATTGTATATTTCTTGTTGTTTGTATTGTATTTGAATTGTTGTATTCAATTGTATTTTTGTGTGTGTAAATAAATTGTTGTGTTTGTGTTGTTTTATAGACTCGAAAGATCCACAAAAATCCATTCTCGATTTTAGAGGACAGATTTAGCTAGGATCCCCGATCCTCGACAATCTATTCCCCAACAACCGTTTTCCCAAAAGTTTCTTCCCGACGGGTCGAGACAACCCCTAAATCTAACTTAGAACTTGGATGTTGGATTTTTTTAGAATTTTGGGATTCTTGGAGCTTGGGGGGGGGGGGGGGGACTTGGGAGGAAAACGAGGGAGACTTAAATTTTTACACAACCCCTAAGGTTGGAAAATAGATGAAAAGATTTCAGCATTTTTAACTTATTTTGATTTTGTTATTTTTCCAATTTCTAAAATTATTTTTTTTAATTCTCCCTTCATTTTAGAACGTGGTGGAAAAAATATTGTGTGTAAACTTAGACATTATTATAACCAATTAAAGCACTCTATATACTTGTATAGCTTGCGCAACGAAAATCACCAAAAATATTTTTTCAACGGAAATCCCGCTGTGGAAAATAAAACCCTTCTTAATGGCCAAAGTTTTTGTTTAAAAAATAATGGAACAATAGGTGTTGAAAAAATATTGTGTTTTGGAAGGTTTAGGTAAACAAACAAACTCTTAATAAAATTCATCCGGAAAGGTGTGAAAACACATTAGTATAAAAGTAAGGTTTATTTATTTTTCCTATTTTCTTTCGTTTCCGGAAAGGTTGGACGAATATTTGAATAATATTGGAAGGAGTGTATTTTATTGAGTAAACCTTAACTGTTTCGACGCAACTGAATCCCGGCCCTATAATTCATGAAAGATTCAACACTTGTTAATGTTATTGGTACTATTCAATAGAGAATTAAATAGGCTACAAGCTATCAAAAAATCAAAATTCTTGACTAACTGGTAAAAAAGTTATGATGGATAACGTACCGAAAAATCACATTGTTTTGAAAAAAGATGTCTTTAGATTCAAAAAATTTTTTTATCAATCAGCCAATAATTCTGATTTTTTGGTATACTGTAGTGTATTCAATTCTCTATAAATTGGTGCCAAGAAAATTAAAAAGTAACAGACCATTCTTGAGTTATAGGACAAAGGGTCAGTTGAACTCTGATTCATATTGTTCTATAAAAACCGGAAACGTAAATTATTTACTTTTCCGGAAAAGACTGGAATATTGAAATAACACTTAAAGGCGTATTTCTCCTATAAAAACCGGAGAATTTATTTTTTTCTCTTTCCGGAAATTATATTTAAAAATTAATTTTAAAAGTTTCCGGAATAATGGTGAGCGCAAGAGGTAATCGTGAAAAACGCAAGGCCAAAAATCAACGCAAAACGCAATGCGCTCATCCCTGATCCGAAATAAATGAGGGTAAATGCCGCTAATTAAAAATAATTTTTAAAAAATAAAAAAATTTTCTCAAACCCCTTTTTTTCCACTTTTCTACCTTGTTGACTCCAATTAATCTTTTCAAGTTTAATAATTTTTTTCAGGTCAAAAAAGGCAATCTCTACTTAATTTTTGTAACAATTATCTTGACCCCACACAACTTTCGCGCAAACAAACAAACAAAAAAAATAATTTTTTACTTAAAGCTTAATTTTATTTTCTCTTGAGAGGTAGAGGGAAAAAAAGAGAATGTTGAAGATCGCGCACTCCCCTTAATTTTTTTTTCTTTTTTATTTTCTATTTAAGGAAAGGGGGAACAGTTGACTGTAGAAGGGAAGGGGGGAAAGGTAGAGGAATTTGTTCTCTCGACAAAAAAAATTTTTTTTATTAAGAGAGGAAGGAACGGAGGGGAAAGTAACCAATCTTAAAAATGTTTGTTTTTGGATAACAAAAATAAATAAAATAAAAATAAAAAAAAATTTTTTCTTGGTCAAGAGTATTTTCCTTCTTCTCTAACAAATAAGGTAAACAATGGAATTTTCTTCCCGTTCACTTCCTTTCTCATTTTTCCCATTCACTTTAAATTACTAAACTCCTCTATTTTTGTCTATTCACACGATTTTTAATAAAAAAAAGTAATTTCAACAAATAAAAAATTTTTGTGACAAAATGGTCAATTTTTGCCCTTGTGGCGAAATGGCATGATTCAAGCAAATTTTAAGGTTTTTGAGGAAAAATTTGAAAAGAAAATTTATTCAAAAATAATAAAGTAAAAGCTATATATTTTGCAAAGGTACATATGAGATGTGAAATTTAAAAAGGCAACAAAACGCCAAAAAAAATTTTTTTTTGATTTTCGAAAAAAAATTTTTTCAAAAAAAAATTTTTTTTGACGTTAAAAAAATTTTTCTGGAATTTACAGTTGGACAAAGAAAAAAAATTTTTTTAAGTAAAATAAAAAAATTGTACACATAAATAAAATTTTCAATTTGCGGCTCCATTCTTATTTAATAATAAAATTTGATTTGGAATATTATTAACAACTCCAATAGAAAAAATATTTGCTGTTGTATTATTACTCCTTTCTTCTCCTGATAAATTTTTATTTTGTTGTAATACTTCATTTTTAATTCCCAACATTACGCCAAAACGGAGAAAAAGGCCTTTAAAAGAATTTTTTATTAAATGAGACTCTAGTGGACCTTTTGGAAGTTTGAGGTCTCCAAATTACCCTAGCTTACGAACTAGAAAGTAGGTGAGAAAGGATACAAGGGGCCTTTCAAATTATCCCAGCCTTGGAACTGAAAACTGATTGTGAGATAGTTGGGATAAGTCCCTCAGATTCGTGGGATAAGTTGAGCTCATGCTATATCCCAGGGAAAATTCCCAGGTTATATAACAGCTATCTCCTTTTTTATACGAGATAAGACTCTAGTGGATCTTTTGGAAGTTTGACTTATCCCAGCTTCAAAACAGAAAATATGTAGATGAGAAAGGAGACAAATGAGAGAATAATCTTTTTAGTTATTCGAGCCTTGGAACTGAAAACTGTGAGATAATTGGGATAAATCCCAGTTTCATGGGGAGAGGGGGGAGTCCCAGGGAAAAGTTCGAGGTTATATTAGTTATCCCCTAAACCTTCTTGTTATCCCAAACTCTCTAACTTATCCCAGCTCTTTTTTTTAAATTTAATTTTTTACTTCTAATCCGTTCAAGTTCAGTACGTGTTTCAACCAATTCTCGTTCTTTTTCTATTAAACGTTGTTTTTCTAATAAACAATTTTGGCAATTAAATGAAGACGAAAATTGGTTGTGGGGAGGGAAATTAAAATGTTGGTGTTGAATTGAGGAGGAATTAAATTGTTCAGAAATTATTGAATTTGGGGGAAAATCAGTTGAAGTAGTTGAGGAACAAGCTGAGGAAGCTGAAGAGGAGCATAATGAAGAGGAGGATGAAGGGCATATTACTGGTGATGTTTTTTGTGGGCTAAAAAAAGAAGAAAGGTGTAATAAGCTAAAGGGAGTAAAAATAGGAGTTCTCTCCTAGTTATCCCAATTGGAATTAAAAAAAGAAGGCATAAGACGGGAGACCTCCAAACTTCAATTCTACTTAGGTTCTCCCGAATAAAGATCCCAACTCCAAGTCACATCCAAACTCCAAGTCACCCATTCACATACCCCTAAGTTCTAAGTTTATTCCAAATTTATGTGTGATAAAATATAGAGAGGTTCAATTATTATGAAATAGTTTGTTCAGAAAGTGTCTGTCTACTCTGAATTATCCCCCCAACTCCCAGTTTTGTCCCATATACTTCCCTAGTTATCCCACTCTTCATACCCCATGTTCCAAGTTATTCTAAATTTATGCGTGAAAATATACAAGGAAAATCTAGTCTCTTATAACAACAAAAACCTCTATATAACAACCCCAAAAAATAACTACCTAGCTGAAGAAAAATATGCATCAGCAGCTAATAATTGTAAAATTGGGTATTTAGACAAATCATTTAAATTATCAAAAATAGGTAGAGGAAGAGGAGGAGGTTTTGAAGGGTTTTCTTCAATTTTTATTAATTCCTCATTTTTATTTTCTTTTAAATGCATTAATGTCCGATGGTAAATATAGGCACTCTAAAATTTGGAAAAAAATTAAATTTTATGAGACTCTAGTGTACCTATTAGAATTTTAAGTAGATCCCGTATATCCCGTAACGGGATTCTTTTCAAAAAAATAAAAGGGACAAGATCCCGCGGGATTGATCACGTAAATCCCGGTAATCCCGTTCGTCGCTTAAAATACGGAATTTCGGGAAAGAATCCCGTAAAATCCTGTATGGGATCCTGTCCTGTACCGGCCTCTAATTTTAAGGTTTCAGCTTATCATGGCTTCGGAACAACGAAAAAGGAATAGATTAGAGGGCAGATAAAAAGAGAGCTTAATGTACCTAAGTCTCTCTCTAAGGTCTTCAGGGATTATCATTCAATTTTTAAATTCTCGTATACGAATTTTCAATGTGTCCCACTGACTAAAAACCACCAATTCGTCCCATTGAACAAAAAACCCCTAATTCGTCCCAACCTCAATTCGTCCCACCCCAAAAATTAAAACAAAATTCTCACTTGATTGGTAAATTTTTGTGGGCACAAATTGCACGAAAAAATGGGTTGTTGTAATTGTTCATTATTTTGATTATTAATTATTCCATTACAATTTAAAAAGGCAGAAAATAAATTTTTATTTTGTTGTTGTTGTTTTTGTATTGCCAATAAATAATTTAAACGATTTAAATTTAATTGTTGTTGTTGTAAGGGGGGTAATTGTTGTTGGTGGGGTATTGGGGGTATATTAATTGATGGGGAAGGTTGGTAAATTATTGGAGAGGAAGTTGGAGGTTTTGAATTTATTGGAGATGAAGATATTGAAACGTTTAAAGCCTTTAAAATGGAAAGGGGAAAGAATTAAAATTTAAAAAAATTTATTGGGTTGATGGTTAATTTCGAAACTATCTGGAGCCCATAAAACAATCAAATGGGAACCTAAAAATGTAAAATTTTGTATTGATAACACTGATTGGAGTTTTTATGTTCCTTAAAAATTGAGAATTTGATCCCTAAGGACTACTCCGACATTTTCAAGTAAACTAGTAAATACTCATTAAGATTAAAGATACAACTCATTCTTACTATAAAAGCCCCGACATCCTATTCATTTCCACCGACCCTACAAAACAATCATCACATCTCTTTAAACGTCTACATCGTCTACAACACTCTACATGCTCTGCCTTCTTCCATTGGAGCTCGACACCGGACCCTGGACCAAGAAGCCGTCAACGCTGTGCTCTCTGCTGCTGCTGCTCACCATCGCCGTACTTGCAGTTCCCGTACAGGACAACAGCGAAGAAGTTGGAATTGGCAAGCACACAAAGGATAGGAACGACAAAGTGACGCTCACCGCCCACACCATAATTGCCAACAGGGCAAACTTCGACGACCTTGCTGATTGTAACTTCAGGAAGCTGTATCCGGACGCCTGCGATGTTATAATCGAAGACGACTACATGTGAGGACTTTTTTTTAAACTCTTTTTAAAGTTAGTCATAAACTTATTTCAATTTCAGCGAGCTTCGGTACAACTATGGCAGCAAAGGATGCACTGTGGATCTTCTCAGCAGGGACGAGTCAAACAGCAACACCATCAAGTTCACAACCGGAGTGCGGGACCGAAAAGGAAGACTCAACAAATGCCTCGACGATGTTGCCAATTTCGACAAAAGTTATAATAATATGTAAGTTTCTTTCGACTAGGTAATTATAATAAATAAACTCCCTCAAATTTTAAGCCTGCCTTTCGTCTACAGCGTGAACAACAAAGACATCGAAAAGCTCAATAATCGCCAGTACGATGGATCTGGCGCAGATTGCAACAAAGAAATGTGTCTTACATGCATGCCGCCGACATCTCTTGAAGTTTCATGGAGCGGAGGTATGGGACAAGTCTATGCCTTCACACATCTAAGTGAGTTTATTTTTTAATATTTTTATTTGAAAATACTTTTCATACTTTTCAGTCGGGGAAGTGGTGGACCAAAGAGTGAAACAGTACCAGCCAATGGATAAACAACGATCTAGCATGACCTTCGATCTGACAATAAACTCTGCGAGCGCGTTCACGATGAACTTCTCGAAACCAGAGACATTCAACGCCGCGGATAATGCTGTTTGCGTTCCAAAGGACACTCAAATCGTAAAACCTGAAACATGGAGGATCACGAATGGTGGGGAGGAGCTCATTGACAAACGACTGCTTGTCTTCAGCCTGCTTCGACAAAATGCGACTTTTGTGTACACTGATAGTGGTAAAATCGGCGGACATCCAAACGGACCGGATTGCGAACTCTTCGTCAGATTCGTGAGTTTTCGATTTTTTACCTTTATGCAGCTTTTTTTTGGTATAACTTTCTACCAATCTTATTTTTTCAGGCTACAACCGACTACAGCCTGCTCGTTGTCAACACCTCTGCAACAACAGCGCCGCCGACTACGACGACTACTGCAGCGACCACAGGAGTTCTAACAACAGGAACATCAGAGACTGGAACGACAACATCTTCATCGACAATTTCGCCTACGACCGCCAACAACTTCACTTCCATCAGAACAACCTCTCAAGCAGCGACAAAGTGCCCGGAACAGCGGGAGTGTGGCGGAGCTCCCTACCTTGCGATTGGCATTGCTGCTGCTGTTGGCCTCTTTGTCGGGATCGTCATTGCAGTTTTGGTCTGGCTCTGGATGAAGAACAAGGCAGGAAAGGATACGAAAAAGGGAGGGAAGCAGGACGCCGAACGTGCAGAGGAAGACCGTCTGCTGGCGCTGTACAAGGCTGAGGAGAAGACCAAAGGCAAGAAGGCTGTCGGGACATTTTCTGCATGGAAAAAGAATGTGAGTTTAAAAATTTGGGAAATATGTACATTTAATCAGACCTAAATTTCCCCATTTTTTCAGAGAAAGGAGGGCGAAACGAAGACTGCGGTGGGGCTGCCTTCAATCGAGAACGAGATCGCCGCAATCTGGAAGAAAGTGGAGAAGAAAAAGGCCCTGGACAAGATGCAGTACCTTGTGGATCAGTTCGAGAAGCAGAAGGAAAAAGAACTCTTCGAGCGGGAATACAAGCCGGAACTGAAAAAGAAGGGACTTGCAGCTGTTGGGTCTTTCGAGGAGTGGAAAAAGGTGAAATTTTTTTATTATTTTTTCTCTGAATCTCAGCTAATCCTCCCAATGTTTAATTTTTCAGAACAAGAACATTGCGGCGACGTTCACCTTGAACGATGGGACAAGGACGGCGATTGAATACGAGCAGCCAAAGGTCATCGAGAAGATCGTCGAGGTTGAGAGGGTCATCATTGAGAAGCCTGACGAGTGGACAATCGAGGAGAACCCGACAATTGAGGAGCAGGAGAGACTGGCGGAGATAAAGGCGGCGAATAGAGGCGCTGTGGACGGTGTTGAGGTTCCAATGTCTGAGGAGGAGCAGGAGGTTGATGAGAGGTGGATTCCGCCGTCGGAACCGAAGGATAATAATAACCCGAGAGAGGAGTTGTGATAAATTTGTGTCACCATATATTGCTCTCTCATTGTATGTATTGTATATTTCTTGTTGTTTGTATTGTATTTGAATTGTTGTATTCAATTGTATTTTTGTGTGTAGATAAATTGTTTATTTGTATTGTTTATTTGATTCGATAAATTAGGCAAAGCTTACTTCTATTTTAGAAGTACTCTATCTAATTCTCCTAGTCAAATAGGTTCTTAGAGAAGCTTATAACCATTTAATAGCGGTACAAATTAGGAAAGGGATACAAAAATAGTCAAAAATGAAGAAGGTCAAAGGGAAATTTTTTGAGTAAGTAAAAGGCCGCCACTTAAGCTTGCGCAAAGAAAAGTAGCAAAAAATATATTTTCGGAAAGATAATTTTGGTAATTCTTCGGTTTAGACCCCCCACCCACATTTTCCCTTAAAAGACTCATGTTCCCACCAGATATATGTACATAATCAAAAATTCTGAAATTTCTAAAAATGCTAGATAACACTATTAATAATGCTTATATAAAATTTAAACAGCCCAAGTCTTTATTTGATTGTTTTATTGCGTCGTGTCCGTACGCACTAGTGACATATGTTCTCTACAGACTACTAACTATATATTTTTTTTTCTAAAATTCATAAAATATATAATTTATGGCTCCAATTTTGACAGATTCACTACTTTCTCTCTATTTAAATTTAAAAATAAAAAAATTTTAAATTCAAAAATTTTGTATAAAATGGTAAGGACTCACTTGGTCACTCCCCCCATTTGTCTCATTTTTCTTCATAAATTCATTATACTGTTCATTATTGCTTTCCTCTTCGTTTTTAAAGGTTAACGAAGACTTTTTGAGTGGAATTTCATTTTCTTCAATATTTGTGGAGTCATTAAAAAATGTTTCTCTACGTTTGGAGGGCCTTCAAAGAAAATTAAAAAAAATTTTTTTTGAAATTTTTTTAATTTTTAAATTTCCCACACCTTTTATTCCTTCTAATAATACTTGCTGACGATCTTTTACAATTTAAAACATGCCCCTCTAACTCAATTTCTTGTTGAAAACACCTTGAGCACCTCCCACAGACAAAACTTCGGTCAGTATGAATTTTTAAGTGGCGATTTAAATCTTTAAAAAGTTCAAATTTTTAAAGGAAAAATATAAAAAATTACCAAATTTAAAAATAAAAGTTTTTGAACATAAAGAACATTTATGTGGCCTTCCACCTTTGTGTATCATTAAATGTTGTGTTAAATGACCTTTTTGGAAAAATGCCTGAAAAATAAAATAAAAGGAATACAAAAATAATTAAATTTTATCAGTAACGTGCGTGGCCGAGTTGATAGTGTTACAGACTTGTTTAGGGGTGGGGTCGGGGTTCGGTACCATTTCGGGTATTTTTAGGGTTAACTTTTTTTCTTGTTAATTTAAGTTGTATTTTATTAACTTGAAAGGGGTTTTACTTGAAAAATATTTTTTTTGAAAATTTTTTTAATTTTTGGAAGCCCTAAGAAGTAATTTTCTTATTCACACAAAAATAATTTAATAAATACAGTAATTTCTTTCTCTACCTTTCCACAACTGGGGCAAACATGCGAACGTTCTCCAGTATGCCACATTGTATGTTTTTTTAATAATTGTCTTGTGCCAAATTCTTTGCCACATTTTTCTAAAAATTTTTTAAAAAAATTTCAAATTAATTAAAATGTTTTTTGTTAACAGGAGACATTTGAGTACGAGACATGGAAACCTTAAATTGTTATAACTTTAGAATAAAAAGTTCGAGTCCTGTGAAATTGATATCATTCGATAGAGCAGAAAATTTTCTATAAAACATAGTAAATTGAAAAAATTAAGGTTGTTAAGACTAATGGTTAAAGCCGAAAAACTAACATTTTTAAACGATTTTTGGAGATTTTGAATTATAACTTAATTGAACATTTAAATTAAATTTTCATTTAAATTTCATTTTATAGCAAATTTAATTCTCCATCGAATGATACCAAAAACATCTAAAAATATCAATTCCTTCAAAAGTTATGGTCAAAAATAATAACCCCACTTCCCCACCCGTCTCATACTCAACTGTCCTTTAACAAATAAATAAACTTGAAACTTACCACATTGATGGGGTTGTTCTCCCGAATGAACACGTAAATGTGTTGCCAATTCCCTTTTAACACTAAACAAAGCCCCACACTGATTACAACAATATTGAGGTCTATCTCTATGGGTGTTTGTATTGTGCAATTCTAAATGTTCGCGGCTTGTAAAGGTTTTGCCCCCAGGGCATTTTTTGCAGGTTAAATCGGCCAATTTATTTATTATTGTTAAATTTGGGGGAGGAATAGAGAAGGCGCTAGAGGGAAAAGTTGATAAATTGGAAGAATTTAAAAGGTGTTGTTGTTGTTCGATTTCGGATTGGTCAAAGACTGTTTCTGGTTGTTGAATGATCTGTTGCTTAAAAATTAAAATAAATTTAAACTTTATTTATTTTGTTAAAAAAAGTTTTAAAAATTTAAGTTTTAAAATTATTTTTTAATTTTTTAACCCACTTTTTAAACTTAATAGCTTTCTAGAAAATGACAATTCAGTCCCGGCCCTATAACTCGAGAATGGGTGGACCCTTTTTAATGATTTTGGTAGCATTCGACAGAGAATTAAATTTGCTATAAGATAAAAAAGAATGATAATTTTAACAAAAGCAAACAAAAAATTAGGGATTTTAAAGTTGAAACCCCTCAAAAATGTCATATTTCTGTTCACAACTTTTTTATTTAGCCATATAAAATTTTATTTTTAATTCGATTATGTAGCAAATTTAATTTCTTATCGAATGGTGCCAAAATCATTGGAATAGGTCTACATGTTCTTAAGTTATGAAGCTGGAACTGAGACGCACTCGATACCCTGTTATCCCTAGCTTTTCAAAATTTCAGAAAAAAATCAGAAGAAATTCTGATTTTTTCTGATTTTCCGATTCTGATTTATTTTTTTTGCCCTGTTATCATTAGTTCTCCTACACACTTCAGAATAAAAAATAAATCAGAAAAAAAAATCAGAATTCTGATTTATTTTTCAGAATTATTTTTTCTGATTTATTTTTCTACTATTCTGATTTTCTGATTTTTTTCTGACCTTGTTCTGATTTTTATATTCCCCAAAAAAATATTTTTTTAACCCACCTCCTTTTCATTATTTTCTTCAATCTTCACATTTTCCTTCATTTTCAACTTATTTTCATTCCCCTGATGTTCATCACGCATATGTTGATCTAATAATTCCATAGAATGAAAAGATGTACGTGGACATAAATTACATAAATAGGCACAACAATAATTATTATTTAATTGTAAAGGAAGTGGAGAAGAAGAAATTGTCTCCGTTGTCTCTGTTGTCTCAGTTTCCATTAAAAAAATAAATTTTTTTTCTACAAAATATTTTTTTTTAATATTTAAATTTATTTAAATGAATATTTAAATATTTAATAAATATCAACAGAGCTGTCAAGTCTATACAAAAACTTATTTTCGAAATTGAAATGTTGGGAGTGATTGGGATAACTGATAAAAAAAAAGAAATTTTGAGGTATACGTATTAGGGATTATGAGCTATATATCAGGGGTGTGCCGAAACGGATTTTAAAAGGCGAAACGCGAAATGCGAAAAGCGAAATTAAATTTAAAAAGCGAAACGCGAAAAGCGAAACTCGCACACCCCTGCTATATATTCAATCCAAAAATCAAGCCTTAAAAGTAGGGTAGCACCGCGTCCCTCGAAACCCCTACCCCGAACCAGAGGTGGGTCGGAATTCCGACTTCCGATTTCCGACGTTTTTTTCCTTCCGATTTCCGAAAAAAAATTTTGATTTCCGAGTTCCGACTTTTGAGCCATTTCCGATTTCCGACACCTCTGACTGTTCCGACCCACCTCTGCCCCGAACCCCGACATACCCTTCCCGGCAAACACTATCCCCGACATAACCGACCCCTAAGGGGTTGGAGTGCTACCCTACTTAAAAGAATAGTTTAGTGCATGAAAAAATAAATAGGAAAAATAAGCCTGTAAATATTAAAAAAAATTTTAATAAAATTTTTTTTAGAAATTTTTTAAATAATTTTGGTTTCTCTTAAATTTCTTTAAAAATTTATTTTTGGCGATTTTCTTGTAAAATCACTTTGTGTTAAATCACTCTCTCCCTCCTCAGTCAGGGCATGTTTATAGCAGCAAAAAAAGTATATAAGGGGGGAAGGCCGGTAGTGCTTGGATATATTTAAAGCAAATTAAAAAAGGCCAATGCTTGTTTTGAAAAAGGCGAGAAAAAAAAGTGAAAAATTAGAAAGGGGTGTTGGGATAAAATGTCACTTTCCCTCTCTTTTTCTCTCTCTCTCTGCTTCCCTCTTTGTATATTAGCTAATAATAAATTTATTTTTAATAAAAAGAGACTGGCAGTGGCGATCAAGCGTCATGATCTCTCCATTGCTGGTTGTTGTTGTTTGGTAGTGTTCGCCACACATGGATCGAGACTTAGCACTGGGAGGTAGTGACAAGTACCATATTTTTAAAGTTTGAGGGAAAGGGGTTGGAGAGAGATGAGGGTTTGAGGAATGACCACAAAATGAAAAGAGAAAAGTTTCCAGGATTTGTTAGGGTTGTTAAAAGGATGGAGAGGAGTAAGGGGAAGGGGAAGGATATGTAGAAAGGGGAGAAGGAGGAGGGGAGAAGAGGAAGGAGAAAAAGAAAGAGAGGAAGCTGAATAGATGGAATCGAGTCCGATAGGTCTGAATAGATGGAAGGTCTGAATAGATCTGAATAGATGGAATGGTCTGAATAGATGGAAGGTCTGAATAGATGGAATCGAGTCCGATAACTTGAGTACTCGAGTTAAGTACATACTCGTGTTTTGGTTGAGGGAAGGAGTCGGAAGGGGAAGAAGGGTTGCTATCGGCCACCCGGGCATATTTCAAACACGGGTTTTCCAGCTCTAAAGGTCTGAATAGAAGGAATCAAGTCCGACTGAGTTTGACTACTTGAGTTAAATCACTCGAAGTTTTAATTGAGGGGAAGGGTTAGAGGGAAAGAAGGCATGCTATCGGCCACCCGAGCATATTCAAACATGGTTTATCAAGCTCCATAGGTTCGAACTATAAATAACAAAAGCATGTGGATACGGGTAATAATGTAGTCTTAAGAGTCCCAGTTTACTGTAAGTGATTAAGAGGGAATAAAGTTAAAAATCCATTATGAACAACCCTTATTAACCCCCCTCTCCTTGGTACATTTTCGATCTATTGGGAAATCGTCCTGATGGAAGGACAGCTGGCCGAGTTATATGGCTTGGCAAAAGTTTGAGAGAGGAGAATTGATGGGGAATGGACAACGGCCATTTTTTACCCTTAAAAATGACAGGAATAAATATAAAAAATGAATGGATCATCAGTTTAAAAAAATAGAAAGGACGGCGACAGGAACGGCCAGGCCAAAAACACAAGCATTTTTATTGGTGAAAAAACGAGGGAAGAAAATGTGTCCAAATGCCATCGGCCACCCAAGCAATTGGTAGCCATTTTATGATGCTTTAAAACCCTTTATATCCTTGGTCAGTATTTGAGCTTGTAGAGAGATCGTATAATTCTCTTATAGGCATAAAAAAGACAAAAGAACTTAGGTCTAGGGCCTATTTAAGTTGTCCACAGATTCCGCATTCTGTGCATAGAAGCAGAATCTGCGGACAATTAAAATAGACCCCTGGGAAAATTAAAAACCAAGGGTTAAGGAAGGTGGTAAGGGAAGGAACCATTTTCAGACTCTAATGAACCCTAGAATAATGCTAACAGAGTTAGGGAAGTTGATAAAGAAGGGAACACTTTTCAGACTCTAAAGGACCCTAAAAATTAGAGGTCGGTAAAATCGCATCCGGGATCCCAAAACGGGATTCACTTTAAAAATTTTTTACGGGATCGGATCCCACGGGATTAATCCCGCAAATCCTGGTAATCCCTTTTTCGCTGAAAACCCGGGATTCCGGGACGGGATCCCGTAAAATCCCGTACGGGGACCGTCTCGTGCCGAGCTCTACTAAAAATGATTTTTACTAGAGGTAAGGAAGTTAGTAAGGGAAAAACAGAATCTTCAGACTCTAACAGCTCTAAAAAATATATTAAAAAATCCTAGATTTTTAGTTGAATTCTAATTAAATTTAGAATACCTATTCAGAAAAATGCCAAGAGAAAAATTAATTAAATAAAAATGAAAGGCAACAAGCAGAAAAAATGGTAAAAGAATAGAGAGGAGGGAAAATGCTTGAAAACTCCGCCCAAAAAAGAATGGACTTCTTCTCAAGGAAATGGGCGGCGTTAACAAACAATGAATGGACTAACTAAAAATATAACAAAATACCATACATGGACAAACAAATATTATGGAGGAAAGAGGAAAATTAGAACAAAACATGCAAAAAAAGAGGAGAAACTCATAATAAGGACGTTTCGGCGCGGAATTATAAAACAGTAAATAATAGACCTAAGAACTTGAAATTTTGTATAGTGGTACTTTAGAGTCTCTATTAGCCTAGTTTAAAATTTTGTAATTTTAGGTTACGTATTTCGAAAGTATGAAGTTTCGGAACGGTAGTGGTCTAATAAAAATATAAAAAATCAGAAGGAGGACATTCGGCGCGGACTTATAAAATGGCTAATAGCGAACCTATGAACCTGAAATTTCGTAGGGCTGTCCCCAAGAGTCTCTATTAGCCTAGTTTAAAATTTTGTAATTTTAGGTTACGTATTTCGAAAGTTATGGGTTTCGGAACGGTAATGATCTAACAGAAAAATTAAAAAATCAAAAGGAGGACATTTCGGCGCGGGCTTATAAAACGGCTTAGGGCAAACCTAGAAACTTGAAATTTTGTAGGGCTGTCCTCTCGAGTCTTAACTTGTTTACTTTAAAATTTCATAATTTTAGGTTCAGTATAACGAAAGTTATGGATTTTTAAAGATTGCAGACTTGATAAAAAAATTTAAAAAAAAGTGCAAGGATATCCGTTTTAAAAATATTTTTCTTTTAAAAAAATCTTTAAATAGAAACACACAAACAAGCATTTTTGAAAAAATTTTTATTAGTTTTAAATTATCTGCACTTTTCTTTTCACTATTTTTAAAATTTGTTCTTTAACCTTAAAACTTGTTTATAAAATAAAAATGCTTGAAGCTTGAGAGTTTGTTGCTACTAGAGTTGTACCCCGACCCCGAACCCCGACCCCGTTCCCGAACGATTTTTTCACGATTCTCCCCGCCCCGAAACATTTCGAAAACCCCGTACCCCGACATACCCGCCCCCGAACGTTCGGGGTACAACCCTAGTTGCTACATACAAGAAATATCTACACTATTTATTTTTACAAGGGATTGAAAAAATATCAAGTCAAATAAAAATTATTAGATTCTTTTAAAAGGGAAAAAATTAGAAAATAGGTACCTATTTTAAAAAATCAACCCCACCAGAGTCTTGAAAATCACTAAGCTCTCAAAACTAAGAAGCTCTCATATATCAGGGTTGGGGCCCGGATTTTGGTCCAAAGAAAGATTCGAATGTCAACCCGTTCGAAACTCCAACCATAATCCAAACCCTTTTAGTTGTCCTAACATGATAGAAACACTATTTTTCATCTTTGAGATATCCCAAATATATTCTCAGATATCCCATGTTTCAAGTTATGGAAGGCAAAGAGGGAAGTGTGGTTAAAGAGGAGGATAATCTAAAAGACGAGGATGACTAAAAAATTAGAACAAAAATTTTTTTTTCAAAATTGGGACAAAATGTCCTCTCAATGATTAAATGAAAATGACTCTAATAAAAAAAAAGCTAAACAAAAAAATAAAACATTAAATTAATTAATACGTTTAAAGTGTGTTTTGAAAGCTTAAAAGTAACAAAAAAATAAAACACAAAAATCAGAAAGTTTGGAGGTGATAAGAGAGAGACACAATTTTTGGATACTTTGGACGTCAGAAAGAAGACTTTCTTTTGGAAAAAAAATTTTTTGGAAGAAAAATTAATTAATTAATTTTCTTTTTAGACAGGTGACAAAAAATCCCAATAAAATTTATTTTTGGCATTTTTGGGATTTTTTGTCATTTTTGGGATTTTTTGTCATTTAACAGAAAAAGATCACTGATCAAAAAAAATTAAATTTAGGAGGGAATTTAATTATGTTTTAATTTAATTTTGGGGGGAAATGGATGGAAAAAATTTATTTAAAAAGTTTTTTAGGTAAAGAATGAAGAAAGAAAAAAGTTTCCCCCTATTTTTTGCTCTCTGTGCTCTGATCAAATGTTTGTTGGCTGCTTTTGCTTTACTTTCCCGTGTGAATCACACGCTTTTTGTGATCAAGTGGCAGCTAAAAAAATTTTTTTGGAATTATTACCTAATTAAATTTTTATAGCCTACTAAATACTAAAACATAAGAGAGAGTACATTAGAGTCTGAAATCTTAAGAGTATGTAAGTTTGAGTATGTAGGTTTGAGTCTGGATAGGGAAATGTCTGCTATATCTTTTTGTCCTTTTTATGAACCTTCCGAGTCGGGATAACGGAGAAATTGGGATATGTGAGAGAAACTGTGATAAGAAGGTATGGACAATAGAGACGGTGAAAGTGATGGGATAAGAAGGAGAGGTAAAATAGAAAGGGATAGGAAAGGGATTCAGAAGGATGGGATAACTAGGAGCTTGGGAGGTATAAGATAAAGACTTTAAAGAGAGCTTGGGATCATACATATGTGATATTTCGAATAAATTAAATAGCAGGAATAAGTAAGAAATTGAATCTTTGTATTGGGAAGGAAATTGAGAGAGAGAGAGAGAGAGAGTGGGAGGGAGAGAGTGGGAGAGAGTGGGAGAGAGAGTGTGTGAGGGAGAGAGGGGGGAGAGAGAGAGGGAGGGAGAGAGGGAGAGTGATGGAGGGAGAGTGATGGAGGAAGAGAGGGAGGAAGAGAGAGAGAGGGAGGGAGAGAGAGTGGGAGGGAGAGAGAGGGAGTGGAGAGCGGGAGAGAGAGGTGGGGAGAGAGATACAGTTTAAAATGAGATACAATTACGAAATGCTTTCCCATCTTATAGCCCAATTTAACCCAGCTCCCAAAAAAGAACAAAAAATCATGCTTTCTAATCTTTGTATTTTCAGACTCTAAAAGCCCCTAATTCAATCATTTGTTGCTTTATTTGTTTTCTTTTGTTTATTTCTTTTTTTAGCCGTTCGTTTTTAGTAAAGGAATGGATAAATGGAAGAAAAGGATTGATCACATCCACTAAAACTAATCATTCCCCCTTGTTCATTCTTTTCATTCCAATCTATTTTCATCCATTCTATAACCTATTAATAAACTTTGTTAATTGTTTATTCTTTTTGTTTTTCTCTAACTTTCAAATAAACTTGGCTTTATAAACAAGGCCCCCATATTTGATAAATACCACATTTTGCCAATAAGGCTAAAAATTTACATTTTGTCAATAAAGCAGTGTTGGCAAAATGTGAATTTTTAGCCTTATTGGCGAAATGTGGAATTGGTCAAATATATTTATGAGAACAAACTTTTCTCTAATTTTCTCTAATACTCTCTTATATTTCCCTTATCTCTAATAAATAAACTTGTTATAAAATAAGCTTTGTTTTCTTTCTTCTCTGCAAAAAATGTTTTGTCCCAGCTTACAACAAAAGTTTCTTCTTCCCCTAATTATTTTTAAAGGACCAATACACAATAAAAAAAGACGGCATGGCAACAAATCAACTTTAAAAGAATGCAATAAAAAAAGGACAAAAATAAAAATAGGTGTAAATGAAGGATTAAATGTTCTTTTTTTGTTGTTGATTGGGCTAAAAAAGAGAAGTGTTCGTTTGTTTGTTCTTGCAAAAATTAAAAATTGGTTTTTAACCTTTTTATTGGAATTTGGGATAAAATATGAGAGACGATTCAAGTGAGTGACGGCAATTGAGAGAAGGATGAGTACCGTATGCTCTCTAATTGTATGCCCCTCAAAGTGATGCCCATTCCCCTCTAATTCGAAGCTCCTCTCCCTCTAATAGAATACCTCTTTGTAAGTGAGGCAATTGAGAGAGATAAGTACAGTGTACCCTCTAATTGTATGCCTCTTCAGTTGATGCCCTCCCTATCTAATTTGATGCTTCCCTCTCCCTCCTCTAACAGAATTCCCCTTTGGAAGGTGATTAAAAATAGAATCCTCGGGCATTTATTAAAGGAAATACGGTAGCTGAGACAGTTTTAATAAAATTTTCCCCGAATTCCATTCTTTTCAAAATTCGGGGAATTTTGGCGTTCTGTTGGCCTAACGTCAACTAGAACTTGAAAAATTAACGTATAAACTACTATCCAAACTTGGAACAACTCAAAATTAAAAAAATAAAGTAAGAAAGAAAATAAAAACAAATTGTTATGTTTTTAGACTAAAAAAATTATGTAAAAAAAGCTTCAATTCTT